ACAATGAAGCAAAACTGAAGGAACAAAATGGCAGCAGACTCAGAGATTCCAAGAATGAACTAGTGGTTACCAAAGGGGAGGAATGTGGGAGGGCGGGTGGGGAGGGAGGGACTGAGGGGTATTATGTTTAGTACACACGGTGTGGGGGATCACGGGGAGAACAGTGTATCACAGAGAAGGGACATAGTGGATCTCTGGCAACTTGCTGCACTGATGGGACAGTGACTGCATTGGGGTGTGGGTGGGGACTTGATAATATGGGTGAAGGTAGTGACCACATTGTTTTTCATGTGAAACCTTCATAAGAGTGTATATCAATCATACCTTAATAAAAAAAAATGTAAAAAAAAAGTGCAATTACAAGGGTTAGCAAGAAAAAAAAAAGGAGTGCTCTTCTAAAAAGCATACTTTTACATCAGGCTGAAGTTGTACTTCTGAACTGTCTTAGTGAAGGTACTAGATTTACTGTGATAGCTTTAATAGTTGGCAGTGGTTCTAATTGTGTGTCACAATAACTGATAGAAACCCAGAATAAGTGGTGGGTAGATGAGGTTGAGATACTGGAAATTGCATAATATAAAAGAGAGAAAGGAATTCAAAGATTTTGCAAGATAAGGACCCAGATTAGACTGAGCATATGCTCCCTTCCCCACTCTCCCTAAATATGTTCCTTTCAGAAACCAAGAGTTTGCGCCCTCCAGCAAGGCCTTGAGGATACACTGGAATGGAACCTACAGCATCATGAAATGATTCCCACTTGGCGTGCTGTTCAGTGGGGCATATTTCCCAGGTGTTTAGATGAGAATCCACACTGAGGGAGCCTGACACAGCATGAGGGTGATGCGCTTCACATGGACTCACTAGGCAGACGGAAGAGAATTTCAGTTGAAAATGAACATTTGCTTGGAACTTTCAAAGTGTCAACCACTCAACATTGGTGAAGTCTGTTCTCTTTGAAAATGCAATGTGAGAAATTTTTGACATTTGAAATTTTTACTTCCCGCCCCAGCAATCAAAAAAAAAAAAACTCCTGAAAATGATTACTCCCAGATTCGGCAGCGTGCTTTCTTTACATGGGGTATGGGGGTGATCTGACTTAAATGCGAATGGTAGTCATGGCACAGCATGATACTGTGAACTGTTCTATTTTTAAGTGAGGGATGCAGAGATGGGAGATGACCTTTGAAGGGGACTCTGGTGGTATAGCAGAGAGTTCTGTTGGGGAAATTATCCCCTGCTCAATGTCCCCAAGGACAATTCTTATTGGGATTAGTCACTGGGTAACTGAGACACTGAATTGTAAAATTAGAGAAGCCACATGCAAAAGGTGAGTGTGCCTGGCAGACCCTGAAGCTCACCCTAAGCACACTGTCAGGTGAGGTCTCTCAGGCACGTGTGTGTGGAGGGTCAGCATCACTGCAGGGCCCTCAGATGATGGAACAAGCAGTTCTGATATGCTGGCGGACACATGCATGCAGCAGGGGACTCCCTGCCTGGGTGTGAGCCACTGCCTTGGAGTTGGGAGTTCAGCCTGACCTCTGGCCCTTCACTGTGTCTACAAAGTCACCCTCCCAGTGGTCACAGCTGAGTAGATACCAATAAAGACTTATGCTAGCATCTATGAAAAGCTAAGCAGTCTTGAGTACATTAAATCAAACAGCAAGCGGGACCTGAAGTGCACAGGAACAGCTCAAAACTGAAGAGGGGTGAGGCAGGGTTTCTCCATTGTAAGAGCACATTTAGGCAGCAGCTCAAAGCACAAGTACCATGAGAAGCCCACAGGTACAGTGATCCACTGATGGGGTGCCTGGGGGAGACTCCCTGCCTGGGCCATAAACCTGGCTTTGTTTCAACGAGACCGAGCACAGCAACCACCTCTGCAATGGCAGGTCCCGAAGTTATCCCAGTAACTTCTGGTCCAGCACGACTCAGTACAGAAACCATGGAACAACTCCTAAGTCTGATGAAGAAAAACACATATTCATCACAGAAGCTACCATTTTCCTTGTTTGCTCAGCAAAGTTACAGAGTGGAAACCTTGAACCCACTCAACTACAGGGGTGATAAGACAAAGTAACAAGAGTCACGGACTCAGGAAAAGCCACTTATGGTGCAGAAAACGACACACAGGAAGGCCTGATCCTGCCTGACTCTGAAGCCTTTAGACCTAACCTCCAGTTTACAGGGAATGCAAGTGAACAACTTAAACGAAACCCTGAAAAAAACAGCAATCTCTGAAAGTCGAAGACTCTCAAACCCCTGGCTGGGACTACTGCCATGATCCGTGCCCAGGGCAGCAGCGACCATGCTCAATGAAGTGCTGAGTCCAGGGGAATCACGAGCAGTGACTGGCCCCTGGCTTTGAAGACACTGGGCAGTGGGAGGTGGGGTAACTGGGGAACTACGAATACAGACAGGGTATTAGATTACCTAATAGAGCTGAAGGAATTAATATTTTCTTGGGTGTTATGTCTGCAACTATTTGGCCTAATACACACAAATACAAAGCGAATATGGCAAAATATTAACTACTGTGTCTACTGGTAGGAATTGAAATGTCTGTTTTACCATTCAAAATCTACGTTTAAAAATTTTGGTAAGTGGGAGGGGGTGGAAGAAAAGAAAAAAGGACCCACCCTAGCACTGGGACCGCAGCCCGCACCTGCTGCTCAGGAGCAGAAAGCCACTGCTGTCTCTGAGCCTCCCACTCTTCTTTGAAATGAGGAGCTCACCCTATGCCCACACGGGTCGGTCAGGCGCCTACATGCCACTCTTAATCACATGGGGATTGGGAAATACAAAGCACGGTGACACAGCTGACCTCACGTTCAGCTGCACGACTGTCGATGTCTCTCTACCTTTTCAAGTACAGCCAAAAGCAGAATTTTAAAGTTATAAAGAAACTTTTGACCAGACTCTTAAGAACTGACTGCTCTACAGAGACCTCCATTTGCCACTGGCTGGAGTCAGCCTGGAGCACTAAACAAAGACGTCCCCAAATGGACGAGAAAAACAAGTAACCAGTGTAGTACTTCTTTCTTGTCTCCAACAGAATAAAAAATCCTACTGGTCAAAACTGTAAAACGAACCAGAAAACACTTTTGGCCAATTTCATGATGCAGCGTCCTTGAAGTGGGCTTCTCCTGAAGCACTCCCTCCTTAGCTCCCGCAGAGACACGGCCGGTGACACACCAGAGCGGCCCACGGCCTCTGCAGACTGAAGGGCGGCTGAGAGCAGCTCTGTGCGGAGCAGCTGCTCCCCACGGGGCCCAGGGACAGAGCCCACACCACAGTCACTCTCTCAGTCACTTCAGATTTTCTCTCTGGAGAACTTGCCTAAACTGCAGCTTAGTTAGTTATGACAAATGATGGTGTTTATAAAGTTTTTAGGCACAGAGAAAATGCTCCAAATGATGAATTTGAATTTGAGACAGTATTCCTCCTTTTGCACACATAGGGAGGCATGTTTCTTATACTTATTTTTTGTTCCCATTTGGACATACATAAAATCCTACAACATCCATTCATGCTTCACTGGGTTAGACCTCAGAAGGCTGGTCTCATCACAGTGAAGACAGCGTAACCTGGGAAGGTCTCGCAGCCACTCCGACGGTGACCGGCCCTCCTCCCCTGCCTCTCCCTGCAGCCTGATTACCTGACGTTTCCTCCAGCCTTCTGTATTCTCATCCGCTCTTCATACTGTGTTGGATTATGCTCCTTGCTGAGGCTTAAGGCTGCGTGCTTTTGACTCTCCTCATTATAACGACACAGGATTGCCTGGGAATGTGGAGATGACACCAGTCGTGAAATTCTAAGTTTTCAGTAGAAGAGAAAAGTTAACAATGGAGTTTCAGATTCAGTCTCCTGCTGACAAACACAAGCTCAGAAACAAATACACACACAGGATCAGGCAGCAAAGTGGTACCACAGAAACACCAGCCAGGGAGAGAAGCCCTGGGGTTTGGGTCCGGACTCAGATGCAAACCCTGCTGGGGGCCAGGGGCGAGTGCTCCCCTCCTCTAGGTGCTGTCTTGTCATCTCTGAGAAGGGAGGTGCTTAACAAGTGTGAACAAAGCCCTCTAAGCGTTACTATCCATGTGTACAGGACGCAGGACAGGGCAGTTGGGCAGGCTGACTACATGCGTTTCTGTTTCCATAACCACGTGCCTTGTGCTAACTTCTGGGTAAACCTCCACTTCACAGAGGAAGCTGAAGTTCAAAAGAGAAGGATCGTGTCTGAAGTCATATAGTAGGGCCAGGATTCAAATTTGAGTGTGACTCCAAAGGCATGTGTGTGCGCGCGCCCACATACCCACATGTGCGCTAAGTGTACTCATGCTACTTTTTAAGTCATTTGGTCTAAACACCCATGTGCTAGAGACAGTCTGCTAGAAGATCACCAGACTGTAAACTCACTAGGACAGACTGTCACCAGTCACCAGTCATGTCTGCTGCTACACCCCCAGTGCCTGGTATGTATCTAATCCATACATCACCCTAAAAACCACAGGGTTAGGGGCAGCCACCTCTAGGTCTGAAGATGCTGCTAAGAGTGGGAAAGGTCACTTCAGGACTGTGACTGAAGGACCACGGAGGCTGGTGGAACACCCGTCAGCTCACTGAAGACACTGCCGTGGGAATGCACACACAGCCCTGGCGGGAGAGACGGAGGCCAGGAGCTGGCTTTGTGGAGGGCTGCCCTCTGACCCTAAGCCATTCCCCACAACTGTGACCGGGACACAGGAGGCCACCAGTGGGAAGTAACTGGCTTTTCTCCGTTGGACTTAGGGACTGGGGTCAGTGGATGAATGACACATCCCCTAACACCTTTCTAGCTTCAGCTTTTGAGTTATTCTGAAATCATCATGATTTTGAAAGGCAGAAGTTACTATTTTTCATTTATTAGTGTCTGAGATCAGAGAAATGAAGCTGAAGAATATTTAAGCTACTTGCATACCAATTAAATTCCAACCCACAGCACTATCTAGAGTATACACACACACACACAAAACCACGGAGACAGGGAAACAGAATGGATCTGAGTTTTAAAGCACAAGAGGTCTGCTAACAGGGCTCTAGTCTTTCCCCAGAGAACAAACTGCCTCAAGTGTAGCTGCTACTCCCCTACCTACAACTTAATCCCTGTAGCCAACCCCTGCAGGGAACCCACTGGAAGAAAAACTGCAGGTCTAGCCATTGTCATTTTAATCATGTTCAACAAGTGCTTGCTACATTGGTTCTCCCCGGGTAAAACATGCTATTATCTAAGCGGGTAGCTGCAAAGCCACATACCCGACTATCTCCAAGGTTGGCAATGTAAAGAATGTTGTCTACGGCCAGAACGCACGTGGCAGTGGACCCATCTTTCCAGGCAGGCTTCCTGGGGAGAAACACATCAGAAATATAGTCACCACCAACATGCACTTTGACACTAATTTCCAGAGTTGAATGGGAAGAGTCTTATAAAGTGCACCATTTCTTTGACAACCTGCTTTGTTCCTTGTTTCAGATTTAGTTACCAGTTGTTAAGAGCTTACTCGGTGCTAGGTACTTTTCAGACAGTGACCATTAGTATTAAAGCACATCAGGAGACCTGATACCATTCAGGAAACCACACCCCCCCCCCCACTCATACTTCTTCACATGGTTATACTTACTGGCTCGAAGCTTGTTTAAGGAACTCTTCATCAGTGTGCTTGAAAGTGTCCAAAAGGCATCTCTTCACCGTTTTCTCTACACTGATTACATCTCCTGTCACAGAAGGAACACAAGAAAACAAATTCTTGAAGGAAAGCCATCCTCCTCCCACTGTCACTTTTGTTTTATGACCAAGAACAATCTCTTATTTGCTCACCTATTAGGCAGAGAGCCATTTGGATTTGGTTTTACCAGCCTCCCAAGTGTGACGGCAAAACACTTACTTGTACCCAAAGGCATGTCCTGAGCGGTGTGATCACTCGGACACGTGGTGGTTCTACACCAGACACACTTGCCTGGCCACTGCCCCAGCTGCCTCAGAGTCACCAATGAGTCCTTGCTGAAGCTCACATGACATAACTCACCAGCTCTCACATGCAGCAAACACGAAGATGGACATGATTTATATCTCAGTCTCACCTTTAGGAAACTTCCTGATTAGGTTCTGGTGCAAATTCTGTGCAGCAAATTTTGAGGCTCGAATTCCTCCATGTCCATCGAAAACAGCAAAATATGAAACCCGGGTACTGGAAGAATGAATTGAGAGTGAGTGAGATTCTCACAGCAAGGATTACTCTTCTCCACTAAAGTTTCTACACTTTATTTCAAAGAGTGAATATTAGTAAGACAGAGGAAGACACCAGTCACACTGTCTCACAAATGGAAAAAAAAAGGCTATAACATTAACTAAGACAAATGTTTAAGTAACTTTCATGGCATTTTTAAATTTAGAGTTAAAAATTACCACTTTTTCAAAAATAAAGATGTTAACTCTGATTTTTCACTGAAGTTGAAACTAACATTCAGTTTTTCTACTGAAACCAGATTTAAACACTAACACACAAGATAAATACAAGACAGTCAAACGTATCTATGAGAGCAAGGGTAGCTCCTAAGCTGTACACAAATTCTAGCCAGTATCCAGTTCTCGGAGCCCGTCTTACCAGTCTTATTCCTACCTTCTTTCAAGTTCAGCCAGAAAATTCATACATACGGAATAAATGGCATTAAATAATGAACTATTTCAATAAGGGAGGAAAAGAGCCCATGAGACATGACGTTTCCTCTGCAGAGCGGCCCTTTTGCTAACTTTTTCTGGAATTCCTCTCCAATATGGGGCACGATGAGCCAAGAGACAATAAATTCAATCTGGTCTGTGACTCAGAACTGTTCTCTGACAGCATGCTATTTGCTAGGTACGGTTTCATGTTCCCAATTACATCAGTCCCCAAAGGATCTGCCCCCCTAGAGCTCTGCAGAAGCCCCTATCCTGTGTGAAAACCAACTCCAAGGCATCCTCACATGTTGGTGAGCAGCGGCAGGGCAGCAGCAGGGAGCTGTGTGACGGTCACCTCCGCAGGTGACTGGCACTCTGCAGGGCTGTCAGCTCCTCCCGACTAGACCCTATCAACTGGACAAAAGCCACTGCTTCCAACACACTGTATGTTAGTTAATGACTAACTGGTGTCAGTTAATGAACACAGCATATACTTGTTATTATAGGAATTAGGTGGCATATGTATCATATAATACACACGCTATTATATATGTAAATACAATTCATGTTAGTGACCAACTCAATGTCCTAACCATCTGGCCGCTTTTCCTTCAATTTTTCCTTCAAGCCTAACAGATGGCTCCACTTTAGTTTGTTTTTTTGTCTTCTTTCTGGGCCCTATCTGCGCTAGCTCCCCCTGATCACCACTCACTGATGTAATTAGTGGCTTCCAACTCTTATCTTCTGGGGCACAGAATAAGAATACGCCCTGCTAGGAGTTCTTCAGATACTGAAGAATAGAACCCTTCAAAGACCCACCACACAGACACTCATTTCCCATTTGGGAGGGTTTCCCAACTGCAGCATGACAGATATTTTGGGCTGGACAGCTCTCTGTGGGGCTGTCCTGTGTGTCATACAGATGTTTAGTAGCACCCTGAGCCTCCCCGCCACCAGATGCCAATAGTACACTCCTCCATTATGACAATAAAAATTGGGGGGTGGGAAGCCTCAACCCAGCTAAGAACCCCTGATGTTGAACCAAGGAGCTCAAGTGATACGTTAGTCTTGTTGATGCATAATACAAACTGAACACAGTCCACAACTCTAGTCGTAATGGAAACATTTATGCCAACCAGACTTGCAGCTTGGACACTCACATGAGGGATGATGGGGGCCTACATTCCTCGGTGATGTCATTCAGGATGACGTGGGCATCCTGCATCTCCTCCCGCTCACCCTTCCGCTCGGCCACATAGCCTTTCAAACCAAAGATCACTGAAGAGGCTAAGGAAAAAAGAACAAAGCCAATACAAAACTGTGCCCTGTCCTCAGGAAGCCCTGGTCCCAGAGCAAATAGAGGGATTCTGGCTGTTTTACTCAGCAATGTCCTAAAGGTGCAAACACTTAAGCCGTACCTCTCAAGGCATCTATTGCCCTGGCTGCAAGATTTCAACTAAAATCAGACCACTGCCGGGCAGGGCCAGTATCTGAGAGGCTGAACGGTGGAGAGGAGACAGAGCTACAGCCAGTTACTACAGAAGCGCTTAGTTTAAGGCGGCATGAAGCCAGAGCACAGCAGCAAGGGGTGTGCAGTCATTTGCAGAGTAGGATTTAGGCTAGGGGCAAGGATTACATGCAAATCGAGTCTCATCAGTCATTTAATGAGGCAGAAAATTTCCTAGTTTAGAGAAACAAGTAAGTAGAATTTATCCCAAACACCCTGCCGGGCATCTGAAAACATGTCCTTTCAAGCTTGAGGCTGGTGAAGAATTTGAGCAAATGGTACGATCAGTTGTTTTAACTGAGGGAAAAAAGGATAAATGAGTCTACTGTAGGCAAAGAGACTTACTTATGTTTAATGGCCAGGCCAGCTACTTAAGCTGTTTGCTGAAACACTAGGGCCACGTAAATAATAAAATGAGCACTTTTTGAGGTGCTGTTGCTAGTAGGCCGAATGCTCTTTGGCCAAAGCCAAGCTGAAGAACAGGTCTGTATAGCAGAGCTGGGGCAGGGCCTTTCACGTGCCTCCCTGGGTACCCTACAGCTTTCATTTGAGATGGTTTGGGGCAAACAACAGGGTGGTCTGGTGCAGCACACAGAAGGCCACAGTGCTTTCTCTTCAGTTGGCACTTTTCATTTCTTCTCCCCTAACTTTGACAAGTTCCAAAGCTGACTACAAATTTCCACCGTTTTTTCCAGCCTCAGCTTCTCTCTTGGGAAGCTGCTTACTGAGCTAATCACAGAATTCAAAGTGACAGTCAAGAGACTGTGAAAGACAGGAAGTCAGAAAGAAACTGACATTTAATAAGCTAACCATTCACTGGAGGAGAAATCGAACTACCTGGGTTTGTGAACCTTGAGGGATGGGGGTCGGCATCCTATCTGACCAAAGGTGGGGTCAGAGACAAACATCAAAGTAAAGAGAGAGGAAGCCAGAGTAAACCGGCAGGTAATCCGTTTGCAGAAAGGGAACCCTACCTGCTTCTTAAATGCAGACATAAGCAGCTAGTACCATAAATCAGAGTGGAACTTGCTTTTGCTCTGGGTTGTTTTAAAATATGAATCTAATACATTTGTTTTCAAACTGTGTGAAAACCTTTACAAACTTTCTTTTCCACAAGCTCTTCGCTGCCGTTCTTCTCTTCTTCGGGGGCTTTTCTCTTTGCTCCTTTCTCTTCATTCTTCACCATCTGGCACATCGAAGTGTCAAGAGAACCTGGAGATAAGTAAAAGCCAGACAGAAACAGCTGTAGAATGTTAGAGAGTCCCTAGCACACCAGGCTCCATCCCAGCCCTGAAAGACAAAATTGTAAGTCAGACCTAGAGGGGTGGGGCAGAGGACTTGGGTGCTCACCACAGGAGACTGCAAACTCAGAAAGATCCAGGCCCTGCTCAGACCAGCCATGGGAGGGGTTACAAGATAGGGCTTCAGGAGTAAAAACACACATATTTTTGGGCTGTAGCACATACACGATATTTTATATCACAGGCTCTTTTTATATAAATAGGCAAGTGTCTAAAACCTCAAAGTGACAGGTCCTGAACAAGTTCAAAGAAGTAACAAGAGCCAAAAAAAGGCTTAGTATGATGTAAACGTCAGGTTTCAAGAACTTCATGTATCCTCGAAGGCAAAAAAAGGGCTGCTGAAGCTGCTTCCACTTGTAGAGGGCTCAATGTGTACTCAAAACCAGTACTGAGAGCATTTGTAGTGAGCACACATCACAGAACAGGAAAAGTCGTTTCAAATCCCGGTTCTGCCATCTAAGACATATGCCCTTACAAGTTACTTAACCTTCCAGCCTCAGTTTCTTCATCCATAACACGGAGAATACTGTCATCTCAAAGGGCTGTTTTACAACTGACAGGGACAAAGTATATAAAGCATTTATGACAGTACACTGTCCACCAATTATCTACTGGATGACAGCTGCTGTTGTAATAGTGGCCGAGGTACTCTCTGCATTTAGGTAATAAGCATGCAACCATTTATTCAACTGCCGTGTTAGATGCTTCTCAGTAGTGAGGAAAAAGGCAAGGGAAAGTCCCTGCCCTCAAGAAGAGTCAATTACTTACAAAGGACAGATTTCGTCAACAGAATGTACACAGACATCCCACCCCACATACTAATCAGACAAATTCACTGAGAATGGTTTGCAGATGTTTCCAGCAGACTCCTGTCACTTACTGGGCGTGTTCCAGTTTTCCCAACATGTATGTAAAATCCTCCTTTCTTTTAAATTGCAGAACATACACATTTTAAACCTTTGTTGTTGACTTCTAACAGAATCACAGTGTAGTCAGAGAATGTGGTATTCGAAATCGATTCCTTATTGGGACTTACTTTATGGCCTCGAATGTAGTCAATTTTTGTAAACAGAGAAAAATATAGAGTATTTCTTCTCAAGAAATCCAAAAAGCGGATGCAAACTGTATTCTATATCCACCCCCCGCACCCCCCCCTCCCCCAAAATCAAGCTTGTTAACAGTGGTGTTGAAATCTGTTTTTGTCTTTTGCACTACGGTTAACTACAACATAGCTATGTCGAACCTCCCTTTCTTTAATTAAATCTGTTAAGAGCCCTATTTGCAAACATTTAAATTCATTATAACTAACAGTATTGTCTTTATTGGGAGGGTTTTAGGCTAAACTGTATGAGAATGTCGTAATTTTTTGGTGTAGGTTCACAGCCCTAAAAACCTGAGAATTCTTATGCAAGATGACTGTGAAACTTTTCCTAAATATAGGAACTAATTTAATCCATACTTTCTAGACCAATTCCAGTAATTTTATAGTAATGAATTAATAATACAAAAAAAATCTACTGGAAAAGCAGCAAGTTTTCTATTTGAAGGTTTTTATACCAGAAGAGAAGTGCTTATGAAAAGAGCCAGCCTGCACCCCTACTGCCCCACGACATGCATCGTACTCCACTCCCACCCCCAGGGAATTCCACGTGATGTTCTCCCGGGTTGGAAAAACAGATTCCCCATTATGACAACCTAAAGAAATGAGCTCTATTCATCCCTCTTGCTTAATTGGGACATAAAAGGAAAAGGTAAACATTTACAGAACAGGTAGAGCCAAGTTAATAGGCTTAAAGAAAATGAAATAATATCAATAAACAGAATCCTGAGAATATGTAAGAACTGACTGGAAATTAACTCAGGTCTTCACTTCAAGAAAATGTCTGTACCAGTCACTAAACCAATGTCATTCAGACTTCACTTTCTAATTATCAAAATTCTTAAGTAACTGGCATAAGACAGAAGACATATTTATCCGAATGTATGGGTTCAGGGATATATAAAGTATTTTAACTGTATTTCATATATTCAGACACTTTTGCTGGATACCTTTAGGTCTGTCAGGAACATAAACCCAGAATCACAGTCCGCATGTTTTTAAAAAACAGTAACAACAAAGGTCAAAGTAAATTACTAAACTCTTAATTCTTAAAGTCAGTTACAATAGGTCAAACCCCAAGGAGAAGATAATCACCACAAAGTGATGTAGCAGCATGTGCCTATCTTTTCGCTTCCACCTGATGTACCTATTTAGTTTTAAGAAACCTTATGCCTTACACAATTTAATGTCATCCTAAACACTGTTGAAACTTTAAATAAATAAATTTTACATTAAGAGTAAAGTACTATGTATTTCTTCCCTCAGCACATTGGACTTTTCCCTACCACTTACCTGAATCACCACTGCTGGCTGGTGGGAGATCATCAAAAAGCAAAGGTCCCCCCGATCCTGAAACACAGCAGAACACTTGGTGAGCCACATACCCTGGAGGAGGCTTAAGTCTCAGAATCCATCCCACCAGGACACCTACGCAGGTCATTTGAAACAAACTCAGAACTCCTGTGTCAGTCCAGTGGTAACTCATACTTCGGTAAATAACGTCTCGAACCTATTATATTTTAAAGTCCTATCATTTTAAAGGAAACAAAAACCTGCCTTTAAGAGTTAAAGCTTATTCCAGCTACTAAGACAAACACTCAAATGAACCAGAGAAAACTGCTCAACACTTTTACGCAGCTTCTCAAGGCTAGTGACTAGTGGATTTTTCTGCCTTACCTGATGCCATGGATTCAAAACTTAAGACAGTCCAACACCTAAAACATCTGCGTGTTGAAAATGGGGGAAAGGGAAAAAGATTGAGACAACTACAATCCCAGGATGACGCGTTGACACACACCTGGGAGAGCCTGGAGACTGTACCTGAGTCAGTACTGCTGGCGGGAGGGAGGTCGTCGAAGAGCAGAGGTCCTCTCTGAGCTTCCTCGTTCCCTAAAACACAGAACACATGCTTAGAGAGCATGCGGTCAGCAGCCAGGGTGGGTTTTCAAAAGGGGACACCTGTTGAGACAAGTTTGCCGCTAAATTCAATTTCCTCCTCTCTGTTGGACAATATTTACTTTTAAAAGTATTTTACTGACAGCTATTTAATACGGTCATTTGCTTCCAACAATTTACAGTCAACATAAACAGAATGAAAGAGATCCAACAGGTATTATAAGGGCCACTGGGTATTCTGAGGAAAATAAATATTTTTCTTGACAATTTCACTATAGAAAGCAAAAAACATTTAAAAATCTTTCTTTAAAAGTGAGTCCTGGGAAGAAAAAAACTTATTCTACAGGAAGGAAACAGTAATTTGGTGCCTCAAGACAGAACTTCAGAGATAAGACTCTTAAAAAATCCTGTTTTGACTGCATTCTGAATTAACCACCAAGCAGAATCTCAAGCAAAGGAGCAGAGATTGTGAGAGGCCGGGAAAGCACATCTGAGTTAACTTGGCATCCCCATCATAGCACCCAATTCAGTTAAATATCTATGGAGAAAAGTAGGAATTTCAGATGCTCCAAAATAAACTTTTTTTTAAGCTAATTTTTTTAGGCTTTTATTTTATCTTATTTTTTTATTAAGGTATCATTGATATACACTTATGAAGGTTTCACAAGAAAAAAATTTGTTTATTACATTCACCCTTATTATCAAGTCCCCTCCATACCCCACTGCAGTCACTGTCCATCAGTGTAGTAAAATGCCACAGAGTCCCTATTTGTCTTCTCTGAGCTACACTGTCTTCCTTGTGACCCCACACACATCATGTGCACCAATCATGATACTCCACAATCCCCTTCTCCCTCCCTCCCCACCTGCCCTTCCCCACCCCTCCCCTTTGGTAACCCACTAGTGCCTTCTTGGAGTCTGTGAGTCTGCTGCTGTTTTGTTCCTTCAGTTTTGCATCCACAAATGAGGGAAATCATTTGGTATTTGTCTTTCTCTGCCTGACTTATTTCACTGAGCGTAATGCCCTCTAGCTCCATCCACGCTGTTGCCAATGGTAGGATTTGTTTTTCAAGTTAAATTTTTAATCTAAAAATCTGAACATTCACACACCGAAAGTATTTGTCTTAAATGTTTTATATTCAATTATCCCTTCCCACATCAAATGTCACCACCATTCCTCATTCTCCAGCTTTCCCCTCCAATTCCCAGTTCAGCAATTAAATGGATGAACTCGCACAGGAACGTGGGGGTGAACACAGGGCTGAAGATGAAGGTGTGGGCACTCACATCCCAGGAGATCCCACACACTGTCCCACCTCTTGTTCACAAGGTCACGTACAGGAACAGAATCATTTAAATGCAATTCACTCGCATGCTCCAAAAGGCTCATCCATAAGTCTTTGTGCCTCTACGTAGAAATGAGCTGGTTATCAATTCTCTTTTAAATGCAAAAACTTGAATTAAAATTTATTAACTCCAAGAAAGAAATTTCTTCAGGCATCTTTAGGTCAGAAGAACCTTAAATACCTGAAAAATCCCTGATTCAACAAAAAATAACTCCTCTGCTTTATACCCCAATACAAATAGTAAACATCTACTTCATTAAACTATATTCTTACCCCCCAGGGTTACCCTAAAGTCAAATACTTTAATTTTTCACGCAAGTATGACAAAGACTCTATAGAAAGTATTCAAAAACCAGTATTCATGGGACATTAAAAGGCATTTTGGATAACCACTTACTCACTGTATTATTAATCCTTCTACAAGAATCCCTAATATTCTAGCAGACCACCGCAAGGGGTGCCCAAATTGCACTGGGTTTAATCATCAAAATGCCCATTGTCCTAAGAGACTCAAATGGCATGGGATGATCCGGAACAAACGTGCTGCAGTCCACGGAGTCAGAGAGCCGGTACCTTGGGAGAGGGAACACTGCAGGGGGGTAGGCCAACCTGAAGAGCAACCAACCCTTCCACTTGTGCCAGGTCAGATTTTAATTTCTGAAGTAAACTCATCAAAATCAGGTCTTCCCAGTGCTGATGTCCAACGGGGAATGTCTTCTCTTTACCAAAGTAACACATCTGCAGTTCTTGCAAGCATTCCCCACGATTCCAGCTTAGCACTGCCTGGCCACCTCCTTGGCTCCAAAGCTGTCTTAAGCGCCCCAAACTGAGCACCACGTCAGAGAGTGGCCTAGCTCCTGGGGCAGAATGGAATGAGCCTCTCCTTCTTCCTTTCTCACTCTGGCATTCTATGTGTTGTTATTTCCATTAAACACAAGGAGATCATCTCACGTTTTTGTTGGCCATAACTGAGAATGGCTTATAAAAATAAAAGTAACATTTACTGCTTGCCAGGCTCTTTCCTAGTGCTCTACATATTTAATGCATTTAATCCTTACAACAGTCTTATGAGGGAGGTGCTATTATTACTGTTGCTTACAGATGAGGAATCTGAGGCACTTAGGTTAAAAAACTACCTGAGAGAGCCGGTGAGGAGTGGGGGTTTCAAAGCCCAAGCACTCTGGTTTTCCAGTCCCTGCTCTTGGTGGGGCGCTACATGGCGTCCATATGCTGGCCTGGCACCATTCTAGGAATCTCATGTGGACTATTTCATTTAACCCTTACAACCACTCCATGAAGACCTTACCTGTAAGATCTCTGGAATACCTTTTGCATCATCAAGAGGATCAAACTTGGAGTATGTTGCATCCGGACTCTTAAAAAAAAATCTGTAGGTCACAGATGCTATAAAGGGAACTTCTGATTGGCCAGAATACAATTTTGGATAAAGAGTAATTCAAACTACCTGGGATTGCAATTATTGGACAAAGTGTGACCTTGACCCAAAACTTTGGAAGAAGTTCCTCTGAATTCGTCCCCCCCAGGATTACCCTAAAGGCAAATACTTTTTTTGTAAAAACTTTCTCATTACAGCTAATCTGTAATGAAACAAGACAGTTTTTCATTACAACTAATCTCCCCTAAGATTTTTTTCCAGTTATCTACACTCTGAAGCTGAGTCTACTGATAGTCATATTCCATGCTGAGAAAAACACTCTTGGGTTTATCATAAGAGTACATACAAGAAAACAATAAAAAGATAAAATATTGTGTCTAACCAGTCTTTTATTCCTGAATTTTCTTTTCAACCACAAACAAAACACACATTTTCCAAACACAGCACAAGTATAAAAATACAGCCTGGCCTCCCCAGCAGTCCCCCACCACAGCAGCAGTTGAGTGTGTTTGTTCTACTTTCCTTTATGTTGATGTACTTGTATAGGTGTATTTTAATTGTTAAAAGATAGAAGCATACTGTACTCAATACTCTGTATTCACTGCTCACATAAGCCATCAGTGCATGTTCAAGGTCAGCACATCTGGGCCTAGTTTTTCTTTCCAATAGCTGTTTACTATTCTACCTGGGAAGGGCTGCCACTCACTGATGGGCATGCAGGCTGATTGCGGCTTTTCACGTGACACCGTCACGATAAACAACCTTAGATATATATCCTTTCTTAATCTGCTAAACTGTTGGTCAAAGAGTATGTGCAGTTAAATTTGACAGATGCCAAATATGCTCCCAAAAAGTTGTGGTTCCTTCTTCCAACACACTATGAGAATGTCCATTTCTCTACAATCCTCACCATGTTGCCAGTTCTTGATGTGACTGTGAGCAGCCTAGGCGAGCAGCCTGGTACATCAGGGACCTGCTATATCTTTCCACAGTGGTTGAGGGAGCTGAACATGGATTGATGGGCCACTGGCATTTCTTCTAGAAACTGTCAGATACATCCAAAGAATTTTTCTGACATGGGGTATCTTTTTCTTACTGATCTGTATGAGCCTCACACTTCTCTGCTATAGTAATGTGTACCGCAATAGTTTTTTCTGTTTGTCTTTTGCTTTTGTGATTTTTGTCCTGCAGAAATTTTTGTTTTTACACTAGTTAAATACATTTATATTTTCTATAATTTGAGTTTTTTCTTGATTAACCCTGAAATTTTACGTCTAAGTTTTTTTCTAGTATCTTAGTCTTTTATATTTAAAGCTCTAATTTTTAAAAAATTCATATATTGAATATGGTCTGCCAAGCAATATTTATTTAGTTCCTGACAGCATTTGAAGTATACTCGTGTAGCAACCTAATAAATGAAAGAACCACCCTATAGAACCAAAACCAAGTTGGGGCTGAAACAACTTTAAACCAGGATACCTCGACCTTGTTTGGATTACCATATATAATAAACTGCCCATCTTAAAGACATCAAGTCAGCACTTTTATGAGTATGAGAGAAGTTCCATTTGTCTGATATGAACATACTTCCTCTTTTAGGTAAACTATACATACACAAACTTGAATAACTACTTATTTGGGCTAAAATCTGATGTTTAATGCGTTCTTTCTACAAATGTCTTCAGGACATGAAGAGAGGCTTGGAGGTAGGAATTTTAGATGATATGTTTATAACAAAAATCAAAGAACTGAACAAAATATGTGATCTGAGCAGTGTGGTAATTCTTCCCTTTGGACACTTAAGTGTTTTCACAGAATCTGTTTAAGAGTGCATTTTCTTCTCTTTTAAACAGCTATTAAGTTACTGGCTCATGTACTTGCAGCTAAGCACTGACCACGTGCCCACCCTGAAGGAAGCACTGTACACGGAATGCTCACTCCAGTCCCTACACTAAGGGCGAGAGGCAGCACGCTTACTACTTCACAGATGCAGGAACAGTTAAGGAGGACACAGTGAAGAGCAGAGTTGGGACCTGAAACCAGTCTGATCCCACGCCTGGAACAATTCTTTTCAGGGATTGTGAAAATGACTAGGTCTCTTACTGTTCCCTGCATTAGTTCTGAAATCTCTGGCACCCGCACATCATGTGTGAGGGGCATGATGGCACAGTTGTGCCTCATCTTTCCATCTACTTTACGAAACCAACCTTATGTTCCCTTCATTTACTGTTTTTTAATTTTATCAATCAATACCATCAATTTTCCAAAATAATGTATGGCACTTAAATTAATTTTTCAAAAATCGCATATTTGCACAAGGTTGTGAAATCAGATTCTGTTCTTGTTCAAATGATTTTTTTAACCTGTTAAACTTCACCTCATTGAGTCTAACTGCCTGTCAAGATAGCTTTGGATCCCGATTCTGTCACTCACTTTAAGTACTCCTCAGCTTCCTGCGGAGAAATTCAGAAAGCATGCTTTGTTTAAAAGCTATTTTAAAAATACATTCAGCCAAGCAGGACCTGACAGTCGGCGGACTCTCCTCGGGCGGGGCGCAGTTCACACACCCACTCTCCAGGGAAGCAGGGTTTGAACGCCCTGCGACCCCGCTGTGGCCCCGGCATCTCAGCCTCGGCTGGGTATGTCCACCCCACTGTATTTGGCGACGGGCTGCCAAGTGCCAACTTGTAAGACTTGAAGAGTTGTCAGGTTTCCTATCACCTCAAGGGTGTCTTCCCCGAGGAGACCCAAATTAATTTCGGGTAAAAAGTTACAGAGATTTTTTTTTTTAATACAACCTTACAGGCACATCCGCAAATCCAAACTCCGTCCCAAGCACATGCAGTCAGCAGCCACACTCCGTCAACAGAGACTTGCATACACAAAGCTCAAGTTTTTATGCACGACTAGAATAATCTAGAAAACGAATAGCCAAGTAGAGCACACAGTTATTTGTATGCTTCTGTACCACCACAACGGTCAGTGGGGAAGGGAGTAATGGCCCGATGAAGACTGGCCGGGCCTTTCCCATGTGCCAAGGCAGAAGCCAGGCCTTGCGGAGGGCAGCACGAGCCCTTTCGGAGCCCCAAGCCGCGCCGCTCCCCCACGCCGGTGCTCTCAGGCAAAGCGGGGACCGGTTCCCCCCCATCCCGCCCTTGCCTAGAATCTGCAGATCTCAAGTCTAACGGCCGTCGGAGACCCGCTTCCAGCGCCACCTCCTTCCCCGCTTCGTCGGGACGACTACCGACACCCGCGTCCAGCCCCCGGGCACTTCCCGGTCACTAACTTCTGCCAGTGGTCGTCATAAGCGCCCGCACTCGGAGTCGTGCCCTCCGACAGCAAAGGCTGCTCTCGCCGAGGGGTCCCCAGGACCCGCAGGGACGGCCAGCCGAGGTCCTCTGGGGTTTTCCGAACACTGAGAACGACCTTATTCCCCGACTTTTCGATTTGGTGCGGGTGAGGTGAGCCCGTAAGTCCGAATTCGTTTTTAAAGTCTTCCAGTTTCTCTGCCACCAAGTCAGGCTCAGACTCAAGTCCCAAACTACAGCCTCCGGCCCGAGGTCCTACACGCGAATCAGGACGTCTCGCCGAATTACACCTGGGGTCACGGCCCGACGGCGGGGCGGCGCTACCAGGGCCCGAGGGTCCAAGCGCGGGCGCGCGGGGCTCAGCCACAGCCCGCGGGCCGGGCACCGGGAAGGGCGGGGGCGCACCGTGAACCCGGGGCCCTGGGGGCCCAACAAGGAAGGCTCCCTCCGGGCTTCACCCCCACGACGCGTCAAGTCAGCGCTCGCTTCCATTACTGGGGCAAAAACAAAGCAAACCGAAACCCTGCGCTCGCGGCCCGCCCGGAATAACCTCGCTCCCGGGAGAAGCGGTTTGAACGCAGGCCGCAGAGCGGCAGCGGGCGCGGGGCCTGGATGCCGCGCCCCGGAGGGCCGCTCGCTGCGCGCGGACTCCGGGCGACCCGGCCGCCGCCCCGGCACGTGCAGGCCGCACACAAAAGGGCGTGGCAGCCGCGCGCTGCCCCCGGCCCGGCGCCGCGAGCGCGCCCTTCCTCCTGCGCAGCGAAAATGGCGGAGGCCTCCGGGGCTCCCGGGCCCGGAGGCCGCACTCGCCCGCCCACCGCCGCCTCAGGCGCCGCGGCCTTCCAGCCGCCGCGGTCCTGCCCTCAGCCGGGCGGCCACCGCTTACCGGCAGCTGGGCGCGGCGAGCGCTCGGGCTCGGGCAGGTCCCCGAACAGGTCCATGGCGGAGGTGGGCGGCGGCGGCGGGCTCTACAGCCGGCGGCGGCGGCAGCGGTGGCGACGGCGGCAGCGGGGAAGCAGCGGGGCGGCGGCGGCCCGGACGCCGTCAATCACCTGAAGGCGGGCCCGGAAAGCCACCAATCGGCGCGCGGCTTGCCCTGGCCGCCCCAGAGTCCTACGCGCGGGAGGGGCGGGGGCGGTGAAGGGGCGGCTCGGCGTCGCGCGCACGCGCGTTGGTGCCCGCGTCTGGGGTCGCGCTCTCGCGCACGAATCCCCGGAGTGTATGCCGCGCCGCCATGTTCCCCGCGGACGCAGGGGCGCCTCGCTTCCGAGAGGGCCGGTGTGGGGACGATGGTTGAGCTCGTGGGCAACTGTAGGTAGCCGTCGTGCCCGGGGAGGCTCCGTGGAGCTTTTCACACCCGTGCCTCCGCCCGCCCTCACGCAGGCCTCGCTTCCTGCCCCGTTCTGGAGGTTGAGCCCCCGAGGCGTGGCGGCGCCGGCCGGTGCGGCGGGACGAAGCCCCGGCGGCGCAGGGTGCGAGAGGCGGCCCGAGCTGCCTGCTGGACCCGCCCGGCAGCACGCACGGCCGGCCTGATGGTCTGCTGAATGTGCACCGCTTAGTACATCCCCGACATCGGGCTCTGGAAATGGGACAAAACGAGGCCCCATCGTGTAAAACAGAAAAAAAACACGAACATAGTCTAAGCCACAAAAGTGACCAAACATCGATCTGTCGTGGCTACTAACAGCGACTGCTCCTGCTTTACCGGCCGCAAGGTTCGCCTTTGTCTAGTCCTGCCTCCTAGGACATCAGGCAGGGAGTTGCCTCTCGGGGACGTGATCCCAGCAAAGCAAAGCTCGCTTCCCCCAGCCAACCCGGGTCTGCCCACCGCCCCTGCGCTCTCCCGTGGCAGGGGTCTCCCTGCTGGGTGGGTGTAAACCAGCCCGTCCTACCCGAGAGGGGTCTGGTGGTCTCCGGCTTTAGGACCCCGGCGGCCCCTCCACCCTCGTGCCTCTCATCTTGACCCCCGCTCCTCAGGCCCAGCAGGGGAACCGCCTCTTCCCAGCTGGAGCGGTAACCATACCAACCACCGCTGCTTCCTCAGCTCGGCCGCTCCTCGGCCCCCAACAGCGCCCGCTAAGCTCCCCAGGGACTCCCCCCTCTATTGCTACGTGTTCCCGATCTTTCTGATCCTCACCGCACCTGAGTCCCTGCAGGCCCGACACGATTCGCCTCTCTTGCCCTTTGGTGTGTGGACACATTACTCTCCTGGGTCTACTGCCCTCTGGCTGCTCTCTCTCTGTGTCCTTTCCAGGCTCGGCTGTTTCTGAACAGCTGTTAACTGACCGAATTCTTTACGACTTGATCCTGGGTCCTCTCCTCATTCCATATTCCCTCCCTGGGCAATCTCATCCTCCCTTGGTTTGGGTTACCACCATTCATCCGAACATGATTTGCTAATTTGTATTTCCTACCAGTTCCAGGTCCACATGGTCAAATAGGTATCCATGCGGTATCTCTGAATGTCTCAAAAGTCCTTCACACTCAACATGTCCCAACTGAAATAACTTTCTCTACTCCCCACCCTATCCCCTTCAATCTGCTCTCCTTGCAGGGCTGACACCCCTCTGTGAACCCCTCTCTGGAGACAGTCTCTAAGATCCCATCTCCTAGCAGTCAGCTCTCGTGCTTCGAGTGTGGTCAGGGCCTGGGACTTGCTGTGGCCAAGAGTCTAGTGAGAGTGTCCGCAGGTATGTGATTATGTGCATGTGATTCCTTCACATGGGTTTGCGTCCCATCCTGCTGAGATTCTCTCTGTCCTTCGCTGACTTTGACAAAGCAGGTTGGCAGGCACGTTGCGAGCTGGCAGTACGGAGAGGACCCCAGAAAGGAGCTGAGGGCTGCTTCCAGCGGACAGTCGGGAGGGCACTGAGGCCTTCGATCCAAGAGCCCACAAGGAAATAAATCCTGCCAACAGCCGGGGGAGCTCGGAAGTGGATCCTTCCCAGTCCAGCCTCAGAGGAATCCTCAGGCCTGGCCAGCCCCTCGATTGCAGCCTTGCAGGGGACTCTGTTGTGCCCGTCCTCCTGGCCTGCAGAAACGGGGGGATAATAGGTGGGCGTGGCTTTAAGCTGCTATGTTTGTGGTGGCTTGTGATGCGGCAGTAGGTAACTCCTGCCCCTCCACCACCAAGTCCTATCAGTTTTATACCGTGATTTCCACCCTGACCTCCACCCTCACCAAGTCTGTCACTGAATCACAGCCCCCCTTCAGACTCCCCCCGAGGCTTTTCCTCGATCCCGAACACTTGTCTTTCTCATGTGGGTCCCTTGGCCTGGAATGCGCTCTTTCCCCTTCTCCAGGGTGAACTGGGTTCATTCCTCGGATTGCAGCGGGAAACCTTTCCTGAGAGCCCAGGTGGACGCCCCCTCCCTCTGCCCCCATAGAGCTTCTGTCGTGGCTGCTGCCCTCCGGTTCCTTGTGTGATTCTCCCAGTGATGATCGTATCTCCCACCAGAGTGGAAGCAGGAGGAGGTCAGGAGCGGGTGGCCTTTGCACATTACTGTTGGTACCCCCGCCCCTGGCGCATAATAGGTGCTCACATGTATTGGCTAGATGGATGGATCAATGAGCGAAGGACTGTGTCCCTGCCTGATGCTCAGAGTGCACGGCACGACCCTCGCTACCCCACGAACGTCAGGAAGGTTGGAGCCAAGAATGGTGCCTCCTGTGGGCTTGCTCAGGACTCCCCAAAGTTCACTATTTTGCTCTTAGAAAGGGATGGATTTCTGATTATGAGACTTTAAACTGTCTAGAGATGATGAAGTTTCCTGGTGTCCCAGGACATTATCAGCAGCTTATGTGGAAGATGGAATTTTCCAGTTTGCTGAAACAGTATCTCCCATCCCACCTGGTCTTCAAAAATGAGTTCTTGCCACCCCCCGCACCCCCCCACCCCCCGTCAAGAGGTAGGCTCAGGGCCTCCTCCCCCTGAACCTGGGCAAGCTGTGACCACGTCCACGGATAGAGAATGGAAGATAAGCCATTATGTGATTTCCAGGGCTAGGTCATAAAAGGCCATGCAGCTTCTGTCTGATTCTCTGGAGACAGTTGCTCAGGGGAGGTCAGTCACCAAGGAAGAAGTCCGGCTTTTCTGAGGCCGCCCTGCTGGAGAAGCTGCGTGTAGGCCGTGTTCAGCGATTCCAGGTGAGCTCCCAGCCAGCAGCCAGCACTGACTGCCAGCCTCTCGGAGTGAATCATCGCAGACATCCATCCTGGTAGGACCCCCAGATGACTCCAGCCAGCACCTGCGTATGAGCTCATGAGGGCCCCAAGCGATGACTGCTGGCTAAGCCCCTTATGAATTCCTGACCAACAAAATCACAAGCAAAATAAAAAAATGTTTTTAAGCTGCTAAGATTTGGGGTTATCTGTTAAACAACGGTAGCAGTACTCAGAGGGGGATGCTGACAGATCAAAATCGCACACCATATGGTACTGTCCTCAGGAAGGGCCTGAGAAGACTGTCAGCGGCCCCCAAAGGGCCTCACGGCTGATGATGAGGCTTGAAGAAAAGTGAGAAAAATGTTATTCGAAGATGGAGAGAAGAGTACCATTATTAAGTGCTGGTGGAAAGTTTAGCAAAACTATTGCCTGCAACAATGGGGAAATAGAAAATGGACCCAACGCGCTGATGAATCTGGCTAAGATTTCCAGGAACAATGTCGGAAGTACCAATGGCATCTACATGAGAGACCTCAAGCACGAGGGGCCAAGCCAAGCCCTGATGGAAATCCTATCCCACAAAATACAAAATATGGGCAAAATGAAGTGGTCGTTCTAAACTGCTAAATTGGTGGGTGGGGGAGAATACCTATAATGCAGAGATAATAACTGAATAACCTGTTACACAGCTTGTTTTGTGCACTGTGACAGAGGGCTGAAAAATAAAGAAATGACAACAGTTCTTCTCCTGTGGCAATGGGGAGGGGGATATTATAGCAACTCTGGTTTGGAGAAGTTTAAATAGATGCCAGAAAAACTCTCTCACACTGCAAAAATAATCAACTTTGCTATTTTTATCGTGACCCATGTTCTGTAAGGAAGGGGCAGAGAACTGTGAACGCCACATGCCTGTTTGGGACCAAGTAGGCGCTTTGCATGTGTGAATTTGATTGAACCTCTCCACAGCCTTGCGAGGAAAACAATGTTGCTTGTTGATAGGTCTGCAAAGCGTTGCCCTTGAATGTTCAGGTGAGAGACAATTAGCACTAGAGTAACATACCCACCGAGGCCGGGGAAAGAAAAACCAGGAAGGAACAGGCACAGTGATTCTCAAGTAGTTCCTCTATCCACTAGCAGGGGAAAGTCCTAGCAATATACGGGACGCGTGTGTGTGCACGCAAGTGCATGTGTGCGAGCAAATGCATGTGCGGAGTGGATAGATGTGGCCAAGGGATCTGAGGGGACCTGGACTGGACACTTCACAGAACCATCTACCTGGGGCTTTGAAAGTTGGATGTGATTTTAATATACCGAAATGAGAGATTCATTTTGGGTGGAGGGCAGAGCACAGAGGCCTGGACATGGGGCTGTAACATCTCAGTAAGGGATGGAGGAGTTGGGCACGTGGGTGGGACTTCGGGGTCTCAAGTTAACTTGGGCTTATTTCACAAGGGGTCCTGAGTGACTTTAGCTCAATGTGGGAGCTAAAGACCTTTTTGCAATTAGAAAAATGTCAGTGTTCCAAAAGAGATGGATGGGAGCAGCCTCTCCTGTTCTCCCCCACCACCATGTGCTTGATCTGTAGCCATTTCAAGGGGTGACCGACCCATCTATTGTCACAGCAGAAACACCCCCAGAGGCCTTGTAATCCCCCACTTCATGTTAGAGGAGAAATGTGGCCAACACTGAATGCTCTGTCCAGATTCAATTTATTGGCTTCTCTTTATCTAGATGTTGGTGTGCCCCAAGGCAGGGTCTTACACCCTCATGTCTTCCAATTTACTCTCTTCCAAGGTCACCTTCATTAGGTCTTTGGCTTTAAGTACAGTTGTATTCTGGCAACACACCTGTGCATACCTCTGACCCTGACTTCTTCTCCAGCCCCACATGCATATGTCCCAAGCTGTTTACTCAGTGACCCACCTGTATGTTTAATAGGCATCTCGAATCATGCCATTTACAGCATTGGCCAAATACAGCCCTGCCCTCTCCCCAAATGCCTTTCCTCCCATGTCTTTCTCAAACTGCCATCCACCCAGTAGGTCCTGCCAACAGGTGTCATTTTTGATCCCTTCCTTTCCCTCATCCCACACACCCAGTTCCATGGGAATGGGAGGTCTTGCCTGTTCTTCCAAAACTGCTCCACATCCCATTTCTGCCACTGCAAACCCAGACCAACCCCCATTACAAATTTCTTTCCCTGATGAAAGAGACTGCCTCCTTTCTGACCCTTGTCTTCCTATGGTTGATTTTCCAGGAAACGAGAGAGGTCTTTTAAAAACATAAGATGGCCCTCCGCTGCGTTGTCTTTCCATTGCTTCAGCCAAACCATACTCCTTGCCAAGCTCATGAGGCAATACCGCCTGTGGGTATCTCCAACCTCATGCGCCCATCCTGACTGGCCCACCTGGGCTCCTTTCTCTGGGTTCACTGGCTGCTTGGACTCCATCTGGGCCCTTGCACATCCTTCCAATAGGAAGAAGGTCCTCCTGCTCCAGAAGTGGCCACCACCTGCCCAGCCCCCTGGACTCAGGTCAAAGGTCACTTTCTGGACCCCCCTACTCAGGCACTTAGGTGAGCAGTATCAGTTTTATTGGTGCACATGTTGGACTTCCCACAAATGAGATTTGATCAAACATTTTTTGAAGTTTTTTACCCAGGAAAATAAATTTGCCAGGAAACTTTGATACTTTATTCTCTTAAGAAAGTGACAAATAGTTCACTGCTGTTCACTTTTTAAAAAAATTTTATTTTGGTTTCAATAATGTACAATTACATGAGCAACATTATGGTTACTAGACTCCCTCTATTATCAAGTGCCCACCACATATCCCATTACTGTCCATCAGTGTAGTGAGATGCTACAGAGTCACTACTTATGCGTGTCCCCCCCACTACATTATGTGTGCTAACCATAATGCCCCCTTTTCCCCCTTATCCCTCCCCTCCCACTCATCTTCCCCAGTCCCTTTCCCTTTGGTAACTGTTAGTCCACTCTTGGGTTCTGTGAGTCTGCTGCTGTTTTGTTCCTTCAGTTTTTTCTTTGCTGTTATGCTCCACAGATGAGTGAAATCATTTGATACTTTTCTTTCTCTGCCTGGCTTATATTTCACTGAGCAAAATACCTTCTAGCTCCATCCATGTTGTTGCAAATGGTAGGATGTGTTTTCTTCTTATGGCTAAATAATATTCCACTGTGTATACGTACCACCTCTTGTTTATCCATTCATCCAGTCATGGACACTTAGGTTGCTTCAATATCCTGGCTATCATAAATAGTGCTGCTATAAACATAGGGGTGCATATGTCTTTTTGAATCTGGGATCTTGTTTCCTTTTGGTAAATTCCTAGGAGTGGAATTCCTGGGACAAATGTTATTTCTATTTTTAGTTTTTTGAGGAGCCTCCATATTGCTTTCCACAATGGTTGAACTAATTTACATTCCCACCAGCAGTGTAGGAGGGCTCCCCTTTCTCTGCATCCTCACCAGCATTTGTTGTTGTTTGTCACTGCTATTCACTTTTAAAAAAATTTTTTTTTACTACTTTATTCACACCAGGTTCATGATTTTCTGCTGTTTGTAATAACTAATTTATGTATATTTTTAGTAAATTTTATGGAAGTAAAACTATACTTATAGAAAAGTACACAAATCATCAAAAGTACAGCTTGATGGATTGTCACAAAGTGAACAGGCCAATTAACTAGGGCCCAAATAAAAAAATTGACCATTTCATGCATCCCAGAAGCCACTTGCGGTCACAACCCCCAAGGTTGCTAGGTAGACTCATTTTGCTGGGTTTGTACTTGACATAAATGGGACTCCCACGGTGTGCGCTCTAGCTCTGCCTCCTGTCACCCCACACGATGTTGGTGAAATCCCTCTGAGTTAAGAGCCATAGTTTGTCCCTTCTCATCACTGTGTAATGTTCCTCCGTCTGGGATGTACCACGGCCTGTTGATGCATTCTCAGCTTGATGGACAGCTGCACTGCGTCCAGTCCGCGCTGCTGCAAGCATTCCTGCACGTGCCTCTTGGTGAACGCTGGGACTCATTCCCACTGGGAGATGCCCAGGGATGGCATTACTGGGCCAGAGGGCACATTTATGTTCAGCTTAGTCGATACTTTCTTTAGCTGAGTTTTTTACTGTGGTAAATATACCCAATAGAAAGTTTATCATTTTAGCCATTTTTAAGCGTCCAATTCAGGGGCACTAAGTACATTCACAATGTTATACAGTCATCATTAGTACCTATTTCCAGAACGTTTTCACACCCCAAACAGAAACTCTGTTCCCATGAAGTACATTGTAACCAAATGAAGAAGTTGGTCTGTCCGCCTCCGCACTGTATTTGCCTCCTTTGCTGTCTTAACCTTTGGGCCAAAAGTTAAAAAAAAGGAAATGGGGTCCAGCTCAGCCCCGCAGCCCTGCATGCAGGCTTGTTGATCATCAAAAGGGATTTTGCTGACAGTTTGACATTTCTGCAAAAGCTCCTGCCCAACGCGTGCCCCCTCCAGGAGATAGGCAAATAATGATGGCCTTGTGTCAGAATTTTAGGAACATTGCGACCGGACCTGGGTTGGCAAGAGTCAGCTAACCAAGGACAGAGTTTGTCAGCTCTCCTTGGACACTCACTGGCGCCCAGATGCCTGCGGCCTTGAGTCACTCGCTCACCTGCCTCCCTCCTGCCCTCTGCTTTTCCTAACGTAAAACAATCTTGCAAACAACCCTGAGTTACGATGGGGCCTCAGGACATGGGTCCTCCACCTTCTAGGTCTGCAGGCTTTCCAAGGAGTCGCTTTCCTTGCCTCAGTGCCTTGTCTCTCAACTTACTGGCATGGTGCATGGTGAGTAGCATGACTTTGGACTTGGTATCAATATCCCCTATCTTTCCCTTCCCCTACCCCTGGTAAGTCCTAGTCTGTCTCTGTGAATCTGCCCATTCTAAGTAACTCATATAGGTGGAATCACACATATTTTTTGCATTTACCTTATATAACCTAGCAAAATGTTTTCAAGATCTTTCCAGGTGTAGAACTTCATGCCTTTTCTTGGCTAAATAAGATTCCACTGTTTAGACCCCCCCCATTTTGTTTAAACATTCATCTGTCGATGGACATGAGTTGCTCCCACCTTTTGGAGGCTGACAACAGTGCTATGAACATTGCTATTTCAATGATCTGTTTGAGTCCTGTTTTCAGCTCTTTTGGGTATATTAGACCCAGGTGGAATTGCTGGGCCTTACAGTTATTCTATGCGTAGTTTTTTAAAGAATTGTCATACTCTTTTCCACAGTGACTATACTATTTTACATTCTCATAGCAATTGATTTCTGTATTTTTGCTACAAGTTTTTATGTATACCTCCTTGTTAATATCTTTCATATTATGCTAATCAATATAAATTATCCTGTTATAATTAAATCATATTAATATTTTCAAATGTATCTAAAATTTTGTAAACAAATATGGTATCTACAAAGTCAGGTGGTACAATATTCAGGAAAAGAAAAAAAGTATAAGCAGAAATGGATCAAGTTAGAAGGGACAACTACAAGTTTGCCTAGAGAAACAGTATTCCAACCACTGAAAATGAGGGCCCTTAACATTGACATTATTAGAACAGAATTATCATCAAATTCAGTTGAAGATTCTTCTTCAGAAAATGAAGAGAAATATGGGAAATTTCAGGAACTAGTGAATATTAGTGTGAGCAAAAGTCAGCAGATGCCACTTGACATGTATTTTAATAATTCTCCATTGCAGCTGCTACTTTGTGATAAAATAAAAATGATTTTTTAAAATCACAAAACCAAGATGTAGATTTTAGGACTCTGCTTCATGTGATGACCGAAGATTTTTCTAAGGACTATTTATTTTCCTTAAGGTTCTAATGGCATACGAATTCACTATGGCCCATTTCTTTCAAAAAATTATCTTTATTTTTCACACATACTTTCTACAGTAATACACAGATTCAAATTTTTGAAATTCAGAAAAAGGTCTCAAAGATTAGAAAAATCCAACAAATGAAAATTTGCTGTTTCATTGTAATGGTCTCTAACATGGATCTGTTAAAAATAGTCCTACTGACAGTTTAGTAGATGATACTTTGTGGAAGACAAAATTGGAGAGAAGAAAATGGCAGAATACTTTGAGTGATTTTTAGATGTCACTTTTCGAACAAAAAATAACTTACATCCTAGGAAATCATAAATTATTGATGTGTCTTCTCTAATAATTAAATTCAAAACGAATGTATAATGCTCCATGCAAACTATATTAGGTCTGAAACACTACCAAGAATAAAGGAAGCAAATCCGTTTCCTCACTTTGTGATTGCATGCCAGCTGTGGTCCACTGTGAATAAGTGTGTCAGACCAGGCAACCTGCTTGCATTCAGAATAATGTTGTAACAATAAAACAAGTTGTATTGACTTCATTGAAATGAAAGAAAAAATTTTCTATATTTAGTTTATGAAATTAGAGGTTGGAAAAGATACTGACATAAAAATGCTTGTCATCGGGGATTTAAAAACTGGAGCAAATATGGCAGGTTATATATGAATATATAAGCCATTATTTTCCCAAAATATGATTATGCCAAATTTGTGCCTTCTTAGCTCATAATCTTAATATGCAAAAATGCTACTTCTGTGAAATCAAATTTGATTTAACTTTTTCAGCATTGTACAAAAATATATACACTTTTTTTGGTGAGTAAAAAGATGAATGAGAAGATAAGATATTCTTACATCTGTTTGAAAACCTACATTAAAAACACAATGTAAGGGGATCAAGATTAAATACAATCAAGGTAGTTCACAAAGACATACATACTGAAATATATACCAAATGAAAAATGCATTATGCTGACACCTAAAACATCTTGCTGTAAGTAGATCATATAGTTGTTTGCAATCTATCTGTGTGGGATGATATTCTAAATTAAGTGTAAGTGTTAATGAGGCTATATAATAAAAAAATGACTATACATAAAGCTGCTTGCTTAATAGAAGGCTTGCCCATTTGCTTATGACAAATGAAAGTAATTATGAAAGTATGTTTGAATGTAAAATTTTAACAAAAGATATTATACTGCCTGAATTTTAAAATAAAGGAATAAAAATTGGAAGCAAATCACTGCATGATAGTGTCAATTATTTTGAGAAAAGTGCATATCAAATAGAAACTGATGCCCAAACATTACAGATGCCCTAATTTCACCTTTGAAATGAATATATAAACAATTAAAGTGTCTTTGGATTTTGAAGTTTTAACTGGAGAAAAGTTATTTTCTGTGCATACATCTGATTCACAGAAAGTAACCATTTATTTGATTCTTAAATACTCTGATTTAAGTCCTGTAGGAGTTCATCGGAAAGCTTCAGGCAGCGTGCAGTAGCAGTAATTTACAATGAAGTTAACACCAAGTCCATCTTGTAAAACTGATTCACAAATTTGCTTAGTGCAGTCCTATCCGGTTTGGAAGTGGCCTGGAGAAGGCTGTTAGCACTACCAGCCCCAGGGGCACCCTGTAAGACATTTCGGTAAGCTGCAGTTAATCAAAAATTATTTAAGATCATCACTTGGGGAAAAGAAATCAACATGGCAGTTCTCTCCATTGAAACCCGGAGAAGTAGATGACTTTGAAAATATTGATGAGTTTGTTTCCATTAAGCCCAGGAGAGTAAAGTTATAAACTGGATTTTGTATAAATAAAATATCTAAACTTAAAATATCTTGAGTTTTAATATACCTACTTTTTAATTTTTCAATAGTTTTTCACCTACTTTAACGTTCTGGGAAAAAAACCATTAGATACTGTTTTCCTTTTGCTGCAGTATCAACAGGCAGGGCACAGAGTGGCTGCTTCTGAGCGGGAGTGGGGACTGATTGGGGAGGAGAATGGGGACATTTTCTGGGGGATGGGAATGCTCAGCATTTCAATAAGGGTTTGTGAGTTACAAAAGTGCATTTGTCAAGACTTAGTAAATGTTCACTTGCAAGCAGGGCATTTCACTTTAAGTTTTACATCAAAAGAAAAAAACTGAATCATGAACTCTAGTTATGTTGTGCATGCTGAAGTATGTAGGGGAAAGCATACTTAAGTCTACAGTTTACTCTGAATGTATCGAAACTAAAATGGATTAATGGATGGAGGCTGGTTGCCTAGATGTGATAAAGTCTAGTAAAATGTGAGTGGAGCCATTAGAGGTGGGAATACAGATGTCAATGTAAAATGCATTCAACTTGTTGTGTTTGTAAATCTGACGAAGTGTTGGGGAAAAGAGAGAATAACTCTAGCACTCTACACTTTGCTTCAAATGCTGGTCCATGGGGAGCCCCCTCTGCCCTGAGTCTCTCCAGGGGCACGAGGGGGCGGATGTGGATATAGTACCCTGAGGCAGATGTGGGCAAACCTCGAGGGGGATGCATCGAGCCTTGAAGAAGGGGCAGAAAGCAGAATTGGCGGTGGGCGAGGGGAGACACGGAGTACACTCCCAAACTGGCTGGGGCCCGGGCACCTCCCCTCATTTTCCTGCCTTTCTGTCAGGCACAGGCAGGCCAAGGCTGACAGATTTGCTCACAAAGCAATCTCGAGCCCTTTCAAATTCGGTTTCTTACACAGACTACAAACGAAGAGTATCCTGCAGAGCCAGCTTGAGTGGGCACTGCCCACTGCAGCGCTTGTGGCTGCAGACCCTCCCCGATGCTGAGGGCCACGGCCCCTCTGGTGCAGCTTCAGACCTCAGGGGAACCTGCCCGCCGTGGGTCATGCTTCAGGACAGGCTCCGGCCTGCCCAGCTCCTCCCGTGTTCTCCTGTTCTGGGAGCATCACGAGGCCTTCCGCTGGGACTTAGGTTCAACTGTGGTCCAAGCCTCGCCTGTGTGGCCTGTGTGGATACATGCAAGGGTGCCTGGGTCCCTGCACTTTCTGCTCCAACTTTCCTCCCTGTTGCTCCAGCCCAGGACTGCACCATCTGCACCTCTGGAAGTATGAACATACTGGGGGCCCACAGGCTCAGAGGAAAATACAAGTAACTTGTAAGCTTAAGAGAAGATGTTCTGATAGCCAAGATATGGAAGCAACCTAAGTGTCCATTAGTAGATGAATGGATAAAGAAGATGTGGTACATATACACAATGGAATACTATTCAGCCATAAGAAAGAAACAAATCCTACCATTTGCAACCACATGGATGGAGCTGGAGGGTATTCTGCTCAGTGAAATAAGCCAGGCGGACAAAGACAAGTGCCAAATGATTTCCCTCATTTGTGGAGTGTAACAATGAAGCAAAACTGAAGGAACAAAATAGCAGCAGACTCAGACTCCAAGGGACTGACTCCCACACTGCCAGCCCCTCCTGGTTTTCCCTGTTCCCCCATGGGTGGTGGATGACTTCACTTCAGGCAGGAGAAAATCCCCAGGAAATTCTCAGGTCAAAATCGGGGGCTTGGTGACCTCTGGGGTCTGTAAGGCAAGTCCTCCTCTGCTCATCAGCCTCCTACCTCCGTCTGTCAAGGTCACAGTGTGCTGCAGGGCTCAGATGCCACCTCCTCTAGGAAGTCTACAGGGGCCTGCCTGTGTGTGCGTGTGTCGGGGGTCACCTCACCTTCTTCTTACCCCAGCACTATTCACTGCTGTACTCTCCGGCCTTTGTTCCTTCGACATTCATGGGCAGGAGGTCGGCCTCCTCTGAAATTCCGTTCTCCTTAAGGCAGAGGCCCTGTTCCCCCAGGAGGCAGTGAAATTTCCTCCTGGGACCTCTCTTGGCTGCAGGGTTCCCAGGCTGCCCATAGGCATTTGTTCTCAGCTTCTGTCAGAAGGGTATGCATCCCCCAACCTCTGCCCCCTGCCCTGCTGGTGCCACGGAGCCTGGCTGCACTAGAGCACACAGGGACAGGCAAGCCTCTGAAGTCCAGGGATGCAGGACCTTGGTACAGACTGAGTCTAAAGGCAAAGCCTGAGGACAAAGGCCAAGAGCTCAGTGCCCAGAGGACCTGCAGGGGCTTCTGGGTGGAACCAGCCGGCAGCCAGCCACCCCTGAGGGTCCTGGGGCCTGTGAGGAACTCTCGCCGGAGCAGTGGAGAGAAGTGGGGCCTGGGCTCATGGCCTCCCCTGTAGCTGGGGCATATTCAAGCACAGCCCACGTACCAGTTCGTATGGGAAATTTGCTTGTCCCAGCATCCCCAGCTGAGCCGTGGTCCTCTACTGAAGTCTGAAGTCCCCCTAAAGACCCTTCCCTTGCCCCACCCCTCAGCTATGCTGACTGGGTGGCCCCTTTTTAACTACCAGCATCATGGCCAGCAGGCGCTGTCCTGGTGTAGAGGGAGAAAAAGGGACAGGAGCATCCTGCCCTTCCACCCAGCCCACCTCCCCATGTGGGCCAACGACCCCCCAGGACTCACCTTAGCAAATGCTGTGCGTGCCTCCTCACTGCCCCCAGCAAGATGGAGCTGGCAGCCGCACGTGCCCTGGGGAGGGAGGAACTCAGACGCTGCAGCGGAGGGACAGAGAGGGAGTCACTGGCCCTGCAGAGGCTGTACTGTCCCCCGACACCCACAGCCAGATCTGGGGGCAGGCAGGCTTGGCAGGGCTCCTCTTTGGGAGGGAGGCTGAGCAGAGGGAAGCTGGAGAAAGAGAAGGAAAGGCCAGAGCAGAGGCCGGAGGCCGAGAGGGCCCATGGAGGTGGGTGTGGAAGATGAAAGGAAAGGTGGGGAGAGGAAGGTGAGGAAAGAAGGATGGAAGGAGGCCTGAGAGAGGCAGAAGAAGAGAGAGGGAGGCAGACAGAGGAAGAGAGCACGACAGCAGCACCAGGCCCAGGTGACTTCAAGGGGACGCTTTCAGGACTTAAGGGCTGTGCCAGGCGGATGCTATCTGAATTGTTCCCAAACACAGACATCCAAACCTGCAGCGCACACAAGAAAACTATAGATTTCTTACGCAAAATTCCTTAAGAATGTTGGTGCCAAAATCCTACAACACATGCTGGAAAAGGCAAAACTATGGAGACAGTGACAAGAACAGAAGTTGCCAGGCGTGAGGAGAGGGAGGGGTGACCAGGCGGGGCACAGGGCACTGTTACAGCAGTGAGCAGGCTCTGATTGTTACTGTGTTGGTGGCGACAGGTCACAGAACATGTGTTCAAACCCACAGAAGGTACAACACCCAGAGTGAACTGTCAGGTAAACCGTGGGCCCCGGGGGATGATAATGTGTCCATGCAGGTCCATCGGTCGTTACAAATGTCCCATCTGGCATGAGGTCAACAACGGGGGAGGCTGTGCATGTTGGGGACAGGGGGATACAGTGAATCTCTGTACCTTCTGCTCAATTTTGCTGTGAAACTAAAACTTCATTAAAATGTAGTCTAATAAAAACAACTTAAATGATCGGAAAAAAGATGGTGGCTTGAGAAGTGTGGCTGAAATCTCCTCCCAAAAACCACATATATTTTGAAAATACAGCAAATATAACTATTCCTAAAGGAGTGACCAGATGTAAGAGTGCACCAGCCAGTCTACGTCGGGGAGAAGTAAACATCTCATGGAAAAGTGTGAAGTAAAAAGGCCGCGTCCTGCTGGGACCCGAGCACTCACCCAACCCCAGCTCACCGGCGGGAGGAAGCGAATCGGAGCAGGGAGGGAGCGGAAGCCCAGGACTGCCAAATACCCAGCCCTAGGAATCTACTCTGGGAGCACAGACCCACACTGCATGGTGCTCAGGAGATTAGAGGGGCTGAAAACCAAAGTCAGAGACTAAGACTGCGAACGGGTTCCCGCAACCTGCTGCTCTGGGACAAAAGAAAGGCGGGCTCTTTGAAAGACTTGTCAACAGTCAGAAAACTGCTAAAGGCGAAAGGGTTCAGGAGAAGGAACAAGTGGCCAAAACTGTCCTGGCACCCTCAGCCCAGCAGGCTGAGAACTTCAGGTGCTCCATCCCCCTGGCTGGCAACACAGCCCCAAGGTCCCTCACCGCGATAAGCAGACTCCCACTCCTTCCTCCCCACCAGCACCTGTGCGCAAACCTGCTGTCCCCACCACTGCTGCAGACCAGCTGGAGGGCAGCCCCGCCTACAGCAACTACACAGCTTAACACACAGGCATCTCCCTGCACGCGGCCAACTGGCTCTGAGAGTGGAGACAGGCATGGCGACTGGGAAACATGAAAGGGATTGGCCCTCTTGGCAAACCCCTGTGCTGCTAGCCTGCAACACTGCCCTCACCCGAGGCCATCTGGAGGGCTGCCCCGCCCACGGCAGTTTAGGGGATTAACCCAGAGGCTGCTCCCTGCACGCGGTTAACCTGCACAGACAGCGGAGACAGGCACGGCGGCCGGGAAGCATGAAAGGGCTTTGTCCTCATGGCAGACACCTGCGTCGCTTGCCTGCGACCATTCCCATCCCTCCAGGACTATGAAAAGGCAGAAGAACATGGTTCGATCCAAAATCCCTCAAACACCAGAAAGAGGGCTCGGTGAGACTGAAATCACCAATCTTCGTGAAAAAGAATTCAAAATAAAAGTCATAAGCATGCTAATGGAGCTACAGAAAAATATTCAAGAGCTAAGGGTCAAATTCACATAAGGAGGGAGACAGATACCTTAAAAAATACAATAACTGAAATGAAACAAACAATGAAGGGATTTAAAAGCAGATTAGATGGGGTAGAGGAGACAGTAAATGGAATAGAAATTAGAAAGCAGGAATACAAAGAAAGGGGTTGCCATCCAAAATATATAAAGAGAGCTCACATGTCTCAACAAACAAAAAGCAAATAACCCAATTACAAAATGGGCAGAGTAGCTGAACAGACACTTTTCCAAAGAAGAAATTCAGATGGCCAACAGGCACATGAAAAGATGTTCCACATCACTAATTATCAGAGAAATACAAATTAAAACACAATGAGATATCACCTCACACCAGTTAGGATGGCCACCATCCAAAAGACAAACAACAACAAATGCTGGCAAGGATGTGGAGAAAGGGGAACCCTCCTACACTGCTGGTGGGAATGTAAATTAGTTCAACCATTGTGGAAAGCAGTATGAAGGTTCCTCAAAAAACTATAAATAGAAATACCATTTGACCCAGGAATTCTACTCCTAGGAATTTACCCTAAGAAAACAGAATCCCAGAATGAAAAAGACATATGCACCCCTATGTTTATCGCTGCACTATTTACAATAGCCAAGAAATGGAAGCAACCTAAGGGTCCATCAGTAGATGAATGGATAAAGAAGATGTGGCACATATACACAATGGAGTATTATTCAGGCATAAGAAGAAAACAAATCCTACCATTTGCAACAACATGGATGGAGCTGGAGGGTATTATGCTCAGTGAAATAAGCCAGGTGGAGAAAAACAAGCACCAAATGATTTCACTCATCTGTGGAGCATAAGAACAAAGCAAAAACTGAAGGAACAAAGCAGCAGCAGAATCACAGAACCCAAGAATGGACTAACAGTTACCAAAGGGAAAGGGGTTGGGGAGGATACGTGGGGAGGGAGGGATAAGGGGATTAAGGGGCATTATGATTAGCACACATAATATAGGGGGGCACGGGGAAGGCAGTATAGCACAGAGAAGACAAGTAGTGACTCTATAGCATCTTACTATGCTGATGGACAGTGACTATAATGGGGCATGTGGGGGGGACTTGATAATAGAGGGAATGTAGTAAGCACAATGTTACTCATGTGAAACCTGAGCATAAGACTGTATATCAGTGATACCTTACTAAAAAAAAAATCCTACATAAAATTATATACAAATCAAATGCAGCTACACCCTGACCCTGCCATGACCATTTGGGGTTCATTACAGAAATAGCAGAATGTCTTATTACTGGTGAATCCAGTCACAAAACACCTCATATCGACAGGTCAAAGGACAAAAATAAGAAAACATGGGATTATCTCAAAAGATGTTAAAAGGCACCTTCAAAATTCAGTATCTTTTCCTTTTTGTAAAATAAAAGTTTTAATAGTAGTAAATGAGTGAAATAGGAATGCCTGCTATTAATGAGTGTGGAAAGGTGCAACCCTCATCCACTGAAGTTGGAAGGGTAAAGAAAGAATTTTCAGGGCAGCAATCTGACAAGATTTACAAACTTTTCAATGACATACCATTTGCTCAGCCATGTTAATTCTGGAAAACGTGGCATATTGCAAAGTCCACGGGATGTTCACTGCATATTGATCTCAGCAAAGCCTTAGAAAACATTTCTACCTCCTAAGTGGGGGACACACTGTTGGTCTAAAGTACATGAGGACGGTCTGCATGTACTGACCTAGTGTGCCAGGTGGGCCCCAGGTGGGAGGGGCTTTTCCCCCTTGTCACTGTGTCCCCAGTGCCTAGGACAGTGCTTGGCATGTAGCAAGTATACAGTCTATATTGCTGGATAAATGATTTTACCGTTGGGTTAAAAAAAAATTGCAGAATGGTCATGTACAAAATGGTCCCATTTGCATTAAGACACATTAATTCTAGATCTACATACTTGCAAATACACGGAATGAATGAAAAAGAATACCAGAGAAATTGTGACCCATGGATCTCCTGGAGAGAGGGACAGAGGGATGGAGTAAAATGAGAGCGGAACCTCTTAGACTTTTCACTGCAGGCCTTCTTTAAAGCTTGACTTTTCCTGGAAGAGTGTATTGCTTTTCTAATAAAAATCTAGTTTAAGAAAAGGTTACTTAGTCTATCTGGGCCTCAGTTTCCTCATCTGTGAATAATCCCTATCTCAGAAGGTTATTGTGACATTTAAGGAACAGATAAGATCACATGCACAGCACACTTTACATACGGTCCCCTGGGACCCGGTGTCAGTGAATGTATGCTACTGCAGTTACTACTGAAACACAGAACAGACAGAAAGGCCAGGGACCCAGCTGCACAGGACCCTGTACAGGCCTGCCCAGTCCTGCCTCCAAGCCTTCTCACTTGCTGTTCCGTCTATCTGGAATGTGCTTCCCCAGGTTGGCTGCTTGCTTCTTCGTGCACATCACCAGTTCTCTGCTCAAATCAAACCCAGCAGACAGGTCATGTGTACTCGCCTTACTGAAACCTGCACCCTGCTTCCTCACCATCACTCCCTGTCCCCTTGGCATGATGTATTTTTTTCTTCTTGTCACATGAACACCACCTGCCATATAAATATATTACATATAAATTACAGTATAAGCATGAGAAGAAAGTTTGTCTCCAGTAACTAGAATAATGCCTGACAAAGGGTAGGCACCCAATAAATATTGTGGAATGAACAGATAAACATTGCCTGAGATATGCCATCAGGGAACCGAAAAAGAAAAAGCTTGGTAACTACATAAAACCAGGGTAACCAGGAAAGGCTTCCAACAGAAGGTCACCTGGGAGCCAAACCTGAAGGCAGGTGGGGCAGAGCAGTGGGCCAGCAGCCCAGCAAGACGGACACCTGGCGAGGGGCTGGGAACAGGAGAGGGGCTTGGAGGCCAAGTTGTGGAGTCAGGCTGACCCACGGCAGTCAGAGGCCTACCAAATGTTGCTCGTCTGCAGTGTGGGGCTTTTGAAGGACTCAAGTTCAGGAGGCAATACTAGATGGAAGGTTTTCTTGCTGTCCACCGCCATTCCCCAGGTGACAGAAGAACCTGAACTGAGAATGTGGCAGCAGGGCCAGGGACGTTCACTCATTCAACCTAGTAACAAGATAGAACTGCCAGTTCCCAGATGCTGCCTGGTGGGGCTGAAGGGCAGGAGGCGCCTCCCTGACTCTGAGGACCCCTCCGTGAGTGGTGCAGGACGGCCACGCTGCTCCCGGGGATCCAGGACACGAAAGGAGGTTCCAGTTTTGCAGGAAAGCTAAGCTCAGGCTTGAACTTGCTGAGTTTGAAGAACTCATGGGGTATCTGAGAGGCAACAACCAGGGATGAACTTGACTAGAGCTCCAGAGGGGACTGGGCGGCAAGTCAGTGACACAGTCAGCGAAGCCATGGAGATCGCACCGATTGTAAGAAGAGCCAAGGAAAGACAGGTGGGACACAACAGTCCTCACAGGGTGGGCCGCGCAGAGCCCTGTCTAGAATCTGAGGAGGGGCTGAAGGGGATGCCAGAAAACTGGACAGACGACAGTGTTTTTAAGAAGCATGAGGTTAGTGGCCGTATCAAATGCAGCAACATTTCGGTCAGATGAAAACTGAAGAGTCTACTTGGCAATGAAGGCATCAGGCAGCCAGTGTCTGAATCCTGCACTTTGGGAAATGGTGGGAAACATGGGCTATGCTGACATTGTGTGATCAGCAAGCAGGTGAGGAAATAAAGAAAATGAGAATGGCGACTGTTTTCAAGAAACCTGACTGTGAAGGAAATACTAGGACAGCTAGGAGACCTCCACAAGGTCTAAACAAGTTTCCTGGGAGAGAGCAGGCGGGATGGAAGGCTGGGGCTACCTCACTTGAGATGACAGGATCCATGGTACAGTGACTGACTTAGATGTCTGAGGGTACACACGGGACTTCCCGAGGCCGAGGTGGGGCAGGGTCTGCAGGGGAGAGGACAGAACGCCCTATGCAATCCACTGACAGTGGCTGGAGAGCATGGCAACAAGCGGGGACAGATGGGTGTGGCCATGCACCATCCTCAAGGGAGGGATTTTTTTTACATGAGGATGTAAAAGCAAAGAGCCTCGGAGCTCCCACGAGGGGCTGGAAGGCCTCTGGGTCACGGGGTTAAAACCTCATCCATCTAAATCCAATACGCTCTGGGATCCCCCGGCTACGCTCCAGTAAGCAATGCCTTTGCTACCTGCGTGCAGTTCGCCGTGGCCCGTGCCTCTCTGTGGGCTCTTGCTCACCTTAAGAGAATGCAAGTCCCGCGACCGCAGGGCTCTGCTCCGTCTCGTCTCGGTGTCCCCGGCCCTTAACAGTGCTCAACGCATTTGCAGAGACGCTGAGCAAAGCAGAGGCTTGGTCTCCGGCACGGGCGGTAAGGCTTGCGCTCCGTCCTCGCGAAACCTGCTTCCACTCCACAGCCTACAGCCCGTTCCTTGGACACCAGAGACTGCAGGCTGTACTTTCGCACCATTTGGGGGCTTTTCATACTCTACGGTGGCCGGCCAGCGGCCCTGGGCTGGGGACGGCGCAGGCGGCGGGCTGCGAAGGGCCCCAGCTGGGGCGGCGGCGCCATCACCTCCTGTTCCGGTCGGGGGATGCTGGCGACACCGCAGCCCGCCGCACAGCCGCCGCAGCCACCGCGCGGGCTCCGGGTCACCGTCGGGAGCCAGGCTCGGAGCGCCGGGCGGCGGTGGGCGTGGGCGTGGCCTCCGGGCGGGGAAGGCCTCTGGTGGTCGCGGTCCCGACCTGGCCCGCCACGGCCTCGACCTGGCCCGCCACGGCCTCGGGGATCATAAAATCGGAAGGCGGGAACTACATCTCCCGGGAGCCCCGCGGCGGCGCGGTGCGGCATGGGCGGAGCCAAGGCCCTGAACCCCGCCCCCCGGCGCGCCTCCCGGAAGTCTGCGAACGGTTACGGAGCCGCGCGAACCCCTCCGGCGCCTCCTAACGCTGGAGAGCACGGGGCGCGGGCTCCGGGGCGCCGCTCACTGGTTCACACGTTCTCCGGCCTCTCCACCACCGGCTCCGGGCTGCCCGGGAACGGCTCACCGGCGGCGCGAGCTAGCGCGGAGCCGCAAGAGCCAGGGCCCAGAGGCGGCAGCCAGGCACTCCGCGGGGCCTGCTGCCCAGGCTAGGCTGAGATGGGGGTGCCCGGACCCAGTCGGTGGAAAGAAGACCAGCGGAGATAAGGATCTAGAGTAGAGATCATGGGCTTGATGAAGTGGGAGTGGGGTGACAAGAAAAGAAAGAAATCGAGAGTGACCTCTAGGTTTTCTGCCTAATCGTTGGGGTGCCATGTAGTGACTGGGGCAGTGGCAGTGCGTTTCGGGATGAGGATCGGTTGCACTCTGGCAGTGGCTTGTGATGCCCATCAGACGTCTAAGTGGAGACACTGAGGAGACAGGAGGTAGAGGGGGCCAAACAGGATGGAGATGGGCTTCGGTTCAAGGACACACGGATGAAACAGACCGGATGGGCCGAGTGCGGTTACTGGGCGCCGGGACAGGGAAGGGCTGCGCCCACATTCTGGGGTTGGCAGGAGAGGAGCACCTGGCAGAGGAGACCGAGGGTGGCTGGTGAGGTAGGCGAGCTGAAGCTCCTGAAGCAGAGAGGAGAATTTCGGGGCGGGGGCAGTGATAACCCGCCCGTAAAGAGTGCCGCACTGAAGGTTGAGTAAATTGAAATTTAGAGATGTGGAAACACAGAGGTCCCTCGAGGCCTTGACGAAGGGAGGGTACAGTTTCTCCACTGGAGAGGACTGAAGCCAAGGGAGAGGTGTGGGTGTGGAGACCGAGTGTAAAAGGTGCCTTAAGCACTTGCTTTTGAGCAGAGAAAGGAGGCAGAGGCTAACCGTACTGCAGGTCCAGGGAGGTTTTATCCCCCCTTCTGCCAGACGGAGATACTACAGCTTGTAGTCGATGAGAATGGTCCAGAGGGAGGAGAGATCAATGATGTGGTGCGGGGAGCAGAGCCACTGAGAAACTGGGCAGGACAGAATCCAATGCCTGATGGAAGGCTGGCACCAACTCCATCAGGATGGCAGGCAGAATGCAGAGGCCTGGGTGGGTGCAGCTGGCAGAATAACAGCCCCCAAAGATGTCCACATCCTCATTCCCAAAACCCACGAGTATGTTACCTGATATGGCAAAAGAGAATTTGCAAATCTGGTAAAGGATTAAGGGCCTTGAGACGGAGATTATTTTGGATTATCCACCTGGGCTCAACGTAATCCCAAGGGTCTTTAAAAGTAGAGGGAGACAGAAGAGGGGTCAGAAGGTGATGCTACTGGAAGAAAAGGCAATAAGATGCAAGGTGCCTGACTTTGCAGCTGGAGGAATGGGGCCACCAGCCAAGGAATGTGGGTGTCCTCAGAGAAGGAAAGGAAGGAAATTGATTCAGCTTCAAGCCTCCAGAAAGGAATGCAGCCCTGCCCTGGTTTAGCTTCACGAATCCTGCATCAGACTTCTCACCTACAGAGCTAGAAGAGAATAAATTTGTTTTCAACCACCAAGTTTGTGGCAATTTATGGCAGCTGCAGAAAACTGATAAAGTGGGCCAGGAATTTGAAGTGGGAAGCAGGCAAAATCATGAAGCAAGGCTATCAAATGCCATGTCTTTGAGTGATGTCTTTGAGGTAGCCTAGGAGATTTCTGACCTGGGCCCAGTTTGACCTCATATCAAGCTGCTTGGAACCATGATGCTTTCACTTCAAGCCATGAACTGGGTGGCTTTCTATGTCCCTGAAGTCCCTGGCTCTAGGGGAAGCTCTCTCTTCAGTCAAGAAAAGTGACAACCTAACACAGCAGGCTAACATCTGCATCATGCCCATGGATCTTAAGACGGGTCTTCGAAAGAAACTTCCAAACCACATGGCCAGCAATTAGGCATTAGTTTTCTTCCTGGAAGCTCACGAACCAGAGAATGTTCTGTTTTCCTACTGCTTAGTTATTCTGGAGACAAATCTCACGTCAGTGGTATCCATCTCCAAGATGCACACAATCCCCAGGGACAGCAGGCCAGGACCAAGGACCTGCAGGGGAAACCCATCTGGGACCGCCTGGCAATAGGGAGGTGGACACACTGTCCACTGTGAGACATGGCACTGGGCATCCTGTCTCCACTGTCACTCTACTCACTTTGCTGACAAAAGATGAGAGGTTTTAAAAACATTCCCCAGCATTAGATATACAGAAAAAACATGCTTCGTTTAGTATTTACACATTTGACACATTAATGACACTGCGTTAATTCAGTCATATTTCAGAAGGGTAACTAACTCCAAAATCCTTTAATAGAATTGGAACATTTGATGGCAACCTAATACACAAACTCAAGTGTGCTAAATACAAGAAGTTCAGAGAGCCCTTCTCTCTAGCAGCTGTGGCCAATGCTACAGAATGCACCTGCCTTCCCCGTATCCTGCCTGTGGTGGCAAGTTTGAGCCTCTGCTCAGGCCAGGTCTGCCAGGGCCAGGGGTCTCCCCTGCCTGGACCCCAGCCCAGCCCCGAGGAGAGACCCCCCACCACTCTGGTCACCTCTGCCTGCAGGCCCACAGTGCCTGAGGAGGCTGAGACAGGTGAACCCTGGAAAGCCCTAGGAGCTCTGTGAGATTCTCCCTCCCTCCACCCATCTGGGGCACTGCAGAATCCATAAAAGTTAATGCCTTCAGAAACAGGCTAGGGGCCTCATTGGGCTGCTCATCCAGTACTGCCCTGAAAGCCATCTAGGAGACATCAGGACCCTGCCCCACCATATCTGGGCCCCAGGGAGGAGGGAATAGAGCGTGGGAAGGCTGATGGCCACTCTCTCCCGGCAGGCCCCCAGCTGGCGTAGGTCACCAAGGCCTCCAGACGCTTTGGGCTATACGAGCAGCTGTCAGGCCGCCTGGGGCCACTGGCACCAAGCCCAGTCCCTCAGCAGGCATGCGGTTCAGTTCAGCCTCGGGGGCCTCCTCTAAGTCAGAGCAGGGGTCATCCCCAGGCCCCTGAGGACTGGGCAGCGGGGAGCCCAGGGCCCCTCCAGTGAGCCAGCAGCTATGCTTAGGGGCTCCTGGCTGCCCGGCCAGGGCGTCCCCTAGCAAATCTCGGAAGCTGCTCCCCTCCCGCAGGGGCATAGACTCCAGCAGGTGGTTCAGGAGCTCAGCGGAGACGGTGGCATCGATGGCCTGGCACGTGGACACGAACGTATGCACTTCATGCATGCACTGGATGTAGCCCGCGGCGAAGCGCTCGCTCGCTTCCGCCTGCAGTTGCTCACGTTCTGCGCCCAGGGTTGGAAGGAGAAAGCCGCGTCCGGCCTGGTGAGCGACGACGGCTGCGGCGGCCATTCGCCCGGCCCGCGAGGACGGGGCTCACCCAGGAGACGTGAGAACGTGCCCTCCTCCTCCGAGAGCCCTCGCCGCCGATGCCCAGAGGCGCCAGGCGGGGAGATCCTCGGTCTGGGGCGGGGCCGAGCTGGCAGAACGCGCCCCGCGCCCGGGTGGCAGACACCCACGGCCCGCGCCCCCTCCCGCGCGCCCCGCCGCCACTCACCGCGCGCCCGACCCCGCAGCGCGCCCTGCACGCGCCGCACCGTCAGCTCCAGCACCTCGGCGTTCTCCAGCTTGGCCCGCACCTGCGCCGGCGGGAGCGCCGGGTGGGGAGGGGCGGTGAGGACCGGCCGCGACGCCGCCCGCCGGCAGCCGGCAGCCCCCGGCCCTCCCAGCCGCCTCACCTCCGCACCCGCCAGTAACAGCCGCAGCTCCTGCAGGCTCTCGTTGATCCGCGCGCGCCGCTTCTTCTCCACCAGGGGCTTCCGGGCCTGTGGGAAGCGGCGTCTGAGCCCCGCCGCTGCGCAGCCCCCGGCCTCCCGCCCGCGGCCCCGACCCGCACCTTGCGGTTCCCCCTCCTCTCCCAGCCGTCCTTGTCCTCCCGGCCCGCGCGGTCCCGGCCGGGCGCCAGGGGTGAAGTCATGGTTCGCACCGTCCGGTGCGCGGCGAGCGCGATGAGCGCCCGGGCCCCGAGCAGCTCCAGCCGAAACGCCGACGCCTAAGCTCCCAGAGATCTTCCGTCAGCGGCGGCCCCGCCCCTTTTATAGCATTTATTTGCATCTCAATGCGTCGATTGGTCGCGCGGATTTAGAGCCGGCGGCCGAAAGGCGCGCCTCAGCCAATGGCAGCAGTTCTCTTTGTCGGGCCCCGCCGCCGGGGTCGCAGGCAGCTGGCAGGGCGTGGCTGACGGCCGGGGCCCCCCGCCAGGCCCCTGCTAGACCGCGGCCGGGTGCAAGCGCGGGGGCGTTGGCCCGGGGAGCCGTGTCCCGCTTTGCGCCTGCCTCCTCTCTACCTGAGCAAGTCCCCAGGTGCGCTGTGCGCGCGAGCCGAGTCCCTGCCTCTATCCGTGCATTCACGCGCTCGCTCTTGGTGCCTCCTACCTGGAGAGGGGCGCTCCTGCGAGCCATCCGGGCGCTAGGTCCTGGGGCAGAGCCACGGTCAAGGCCGCAGTCTCCGAACCTGGAGGGGTCTACAGATCAGGGCTGGGGTGGCTGCGGAGCCCTGGGGAGGTGGGGGCTCATGGAGCAGGGGGTAGGAGCGGCCCGGGGGCCCTTGGAGTTTCTTGGGGATTTGTGGGTCCCGTCGCTGGACTGGACCTCCGAAGCCACGCTCTCTCCGCACGGATCTCGTGGGGCGGGGTCCGCGTCGCTCCTCCTCCAGGCTCCCTTCTGGTAGCTCCCCATCCCGCCCCTCCTTTCCTGGTACCCCCCACCCCCCAAACGAGCCCCTGGTTCTTTTCTGGTTCTCATCGCCGACCCTCTGAACCCCCACCGTCTCCCCCAATCTCCTTCACTCCCCTGCGCCCACCTTTGACCTTCCGTTCCCTTCCACCCTTCCCACCGCCCATCCTTTCCTGGTCCCCCACCCCACCCCCCGCCAGGCTCGCGAAGGCCGCCGTCTGGTCCCCGTAACTTGATGCCCGTGACAGTTGGCAGCTGCAGCCGCTTCGGCTGAGAAAAGCGGAGGCCGAGCCAAGAGCGACAGGTGTTGGCCGCGCCTTTGTCTACACTGCTTTGTCCTGCGCGCGGGCGGCGGGCGCGCCAGGGTCCGCTAGACGACTGCCACCCCCCACCGCGGGCTGCCCATCTGGCAGCCCGGCCTCCGCGGGTGGGGTGCCGCGCCCTTGGGGAGTGCCCTGGGGACCCTGGCCTGGCACCTGCTCCACCGGCCTAGGTCCATCCAACACCCAGCAGAGCCAGAATGCCAAGATGCCTTCTGGCTGCCGGGCATTTGCACACCGAGCCTTTGCTTGGAACACCTCCAAACCCCCTTCAATGTGTATTTCCTCACTGTCAGGTCTCAGCTTCCCCAACCCTGTCCCTGGTGGGAACGCACCGTTGCCTCACAACTCACTGAGGATTGGGGTTGTCGGGGTCTGTGCCCCTCCAGGCTATGAGCATCCCTGGTCAAGGGCACCGTTTGCCCCAACCCTGGCTGGAAGGCAGTAGGGGAAGAGAACATCCGTGGACTGCAGGGCCATGGGGTGGCAGTGCTAGGCCACAAAACAGCCCAGCCCACCCCAGCCACCTAAAGATGCATCTGGGAGCCTTCCCTGTAGCTATGTCATTCTGGGATCCTCCCAAGAGGGAGCTTTATAGGCAGGGCAAGTTTGGTGAGAGGTTTGAAGTTTCCCAATGTCACTTCACTGCCTCTGTAATTATCCGAGAGCCCCTTCTGCTGATTCTTACCTGTCTGCCCTTGCTCTGCCTCTGTGTTGCGTCTCTGAGCAGGCCCCTGAGACCCCGCCCCCACCCCAGCCAGCCCTGCACACCCGGCTATGAACCGACACCTTTACTTCCATCACCTCCTCTAGTCCTCAGTCTCCTCCACATGCCAGAAAGCTCAACTCTCTTCTTCTACCCTGCCTGGCTGCTTGGAGACCCAGTGTGCTACTCCCCTACTCCTAGTTGTGGGGCTGACAGATGGGGGTGCTTAAGTGGTAGACCCCAAGAGAGCACATAACTGGCTTGTGACTTAATTGTCTTCAACACTCAGACTTTTCACCCCAGAGAAGGAGACCCCCCCCACCGCCAAATACAAGCTTTCACTACTTTGAAAAATGGCAATATGGAAAAGTAAACTGAGTGATATTTCTTGTCCTCTGATTCATAGCCTTCCCATTATTCACTATATTGTTTGAACAAACAGGTATTTTAGAATGCTCTCCATGAAAGGCAGTTAATATTGGGATATGATGACTGGGGACCTGGGGGCAGCCTCTGGGAAAAGACCAATTATCACACCTGATTGGATGAGGCATAGGTGTGGGGGATGGACGGAGGCAAGATAAAGGCAAAAGGTGCCAGCAAAAAATGAAAGGCAACTAGGAACTCCAGGAAAAACAAAAAGCTTCCCCAAAGGAGAACTGTATTCTCAGCATATTACTTGGCCTAATAATCCTTTCTCAGTCGCAATAATGCAACACTGTTCATAGGGCTTCAGCATTTAATCTCAATCTATAGAGAGGACAAGGAAGACGATTGTGGTTATAGGACATGATGTGAAGTTGGATTTGTAAAAATAAAAGGTCAAATGACAGTTGTCGGAAGGGAGGAAGATGAAGGAAGAGCTAGGGACCTCAATGGGCTTGTCTTACATGGAGGATGGATATTGAGCATTGCTGTCTAGAGTTGAAGGAAGGAGAAGCGAAGTGCTGGGATATGTCTCTGTGTGACCAAGTACCTTTGGAAATAACAGCATAGGGACAGAGCAGGTTTAAGAGTAGCAAAATCCTTCTTGGTTGGACAGAAAATTGTCCAAGGTCCCATCTTTGAGGTCAGTCTCAATTTCTCTTAGCAGGCTCATTGGCTGGCTGGCTGGGCCTTTTCCTTCCAGAAGCCTAGTTATTCCCTTTTGGGGCCACCAAGCCCTCTCTCCCTCCTTCACACAGCCTCTCCTAGCAGACCCACTTCCTGCCATTTGTCCCTCCGACTGATCCTACCTTCAAAGTTTGCCTGAGCATAGACTTCCTGAGCATTTGGGCCTTTTGATCCCCCAAGATCCAGGAACAGAGGCCAGCAGAGGCTGTGCAGGGCTATAGTGGTCACAGGGGGACCAGTTAGTGGCAGGGGTGACAGGTCATAAGTCCACAGGAACAAAGGCAGTGGCCAGCCTGTGGATGTTCAGGCCCCTTGTAGGCAATCAGCCCAGGAGATTAGGAGAAGCTCCTTTTGGTTTGGAAATAAAGCGGAGGGGAGGGGGTGCCCTTGGTGTTACATGGTACATGAAAATGCAATTAAAAGTCCCCAAAGGCACTCAGGTCAGTGAAACACCCAAATCTTGCTATTTAGGGGGAGTTAGCAGAAGCCTCCGTGCTCACAGGGAGGACTTTGCCTTTTGAGTCCCCCTTCCCGGGGCATGGCCAGGGCAGGACACAGAACTGAGCCCTCCTTCCTACTCAGAGAGCTTCTCGGGGGCTGGGCTCTGAGTCCAGGATCCATCATCTCCTTGCCCCACCTCCATGGTCCTGGTGTGAAAAGTGGGAAGGAGCAGGGAGCTGGCCTCCACTGTTTTGACCAGGCCCCATGGGGCTTCTTCACTATGGAAAGACTGGGCAGTTGGGGTGGGGGGAAGATTGTGCCTGCTGCCTGTATCACCTCCAATGGACATGAGACCTTTCTGGCCGGCACCCCTCAGACCTTTCTACCTTCAGCCCGGTGGCCAGCATGCAGGTGTCCGGCCCAGAAGGGAGAGACACCTGGGGCAGGGCAGGAGGGAAGTGAAGGGGTACTGGGGTCACCTCGGAGTGGAGAGGAGCTCCAGGGGCTCAGTCAAGCAGTCCCTCTCCTGCACCTGCCAGTGAAAAGACGGGGAATGCTGGGTAACAAGATTAGGTTTACATCACAGGAAGTCCACCCAGCTGCCCGGCAGCGTGGTGAGGGTGTAGAGAGCCCTGAGGCGTAGGAAGGGGGCGGGGAGAAGCAGGCTGTGCCTGGGGAGGCACACAGGAGGCCTTGGTGACAGAAGGATCCTTGATACAGGGTTTCTAGAGCTCTTTTTGAAAAAAAACTTTTAATAATCTTTTATCTCTTGTTTTTATTCTGTACTACATTAAAATACAATTAAAAATAAAAATATACTTTATTTACCAAGTTTCTAAAGGGCAGAAAGTCATAAAAAGACATAAGCAGTCAAACAGATATACTGCACTGGGTGAAGAAAGTTTGGTTTGCACAGGAACAAACCAATTGTCTGGCGAGGCTGAACAAGTCATTACACAGACTCCGAGAGTGTTACATCTTTTTAGGAATATATTAAAAAGAAGGCTCAGTTTAAAATTGAGAGCAAGTTTTTATAAGCCCCTGTAAGCATACATACTAAAGAGTACACAATCTGATACATGGCACAGTGTAAACAGTTTCACAAAATGCGTACTGTCAACTTCTCAGCACGTGCTGAAGCTACGCAGTTAACAATCGACGGGTATGCATTCAATGGTAAGATACCGCAGATGGTAACCACTCACAGCAGTAGAGAATGGGCAGCTTTGAGTTTAGGTAACACATGGAAACTTGACTGACATCAAATCCCTTAATGGTCTGACTTTAGAGGCAGGAAGCAGTTGGAGCATCTAATTTCCACACAAATGCACAACTACTTCATTCTGGGAATCTGACAATGATAATACTTTGCAAATAAATTTTTAAAAAAACAACTGTTTTTGTGTTTGAGTTTATGAAAAATAGAATTCATATTCAGACATCAGATGGTTTTACTATGACAACCAACCAGATTGAAGGAGACACTCTCTGTTCCAGCTCCACTGCTTCCCAGAGAATGAGAGGAATCTGCTTCCTTCTCAGCTTCTGCAGACTCACCCAGTTTTAAGTCAATGGTTTCATCAGTGGTAACTCCTGATTCACTCCAGGGACCAAAAGATGATTTTCCCAATCTCTGCATCCAGGTGATACAATTTGAGGGTTGGAGCAAGTTGGGCAGACCACCCTCACTCTTCCCAAGAGTTCCCAATGCCTGAAAGGGCTGGTGGCACTAACAGACATTGCCACAGAGACCAGAGGCTGCACCAGGTGAGGTCAGGCTCATGAAAAGAATAAGGGCCAGTGTCCCTGGCCAGGGTGCGGTGGGAGAGGTGAGCTCACAGCACCCTTGGGAACACCAGCCCACAGTGTCAGCGGCTGCTCCCTGCCAGGACCACAGCTGATGTTGGGAGGCTCCAGCGAAGAGCAGACACGAATGGGTCCCGTACGTGACCAGCAAAGCCTAGTGTGCAGAGGAGAGTCACCATAAAGACGACAGACAACACATTTTTATCTACACCTCGGCCAGGATCTGCAAAGGATGCAGAATGAGGAAATGTGCAGAAAGGCCTGGGTGTGTTAATCTGATGGAGCTGGTCACACACACCACTGGGCTCCTTTGGGCTAGACTGAGCATCTCAACGTTGTTCGCCCCCAACGAAAGCTGCGTCAGATCGAGATGTTTCCCGCCATGGTACCTGCAGCTGAAGCTGCCAGTTGCCAAACTATGCTTCACACCATTTAAAGTGAAACATTTTGAAAGAAAATTAGGAGGGGCTGGAATCTCCACTTGTTATGTTTTAAAAATATCTAGTCTGACAAAATGATAATTTAGATGAAAAGCAGCTCCTGAGAGAACAGACTTGCCCAAACACACTCTGGGGAGGCTTCCAGTGCCCCCGGCGTGGAGTCCCATATGGCATCCTAGCTCTCTGTCAGTCTGGTACGATGGGTGGGACAACCCACAGGAGGCCGGTGGACACTGGTGCCCCAGGCAGAGGCCTCGTCATGGTCCAAGGCCTTCTGGGAGCACTCAGGCAACTTCCCCCCACGTACAAAGACGGGATCCAGTCTTTTTCAGATAACAAAGAACGTCTCTTCCCCTGCCTCCCAAGCTGCATATTTGTATTTTAAATATAAAATTAATTTTTTCTCCAAACCCTTCCCACCCTCTATCCCTTAAATCACCCCTTCAGAAAACTATATATTTTTTTCTAAAACAAAAAAAACAGTGTAAGCGTATCTGTCCATTCCGTTAGAAACAACGTGTAGAAGGTCCATCTCTTCCGCATCATCTAAGGTAGGTCACTGGCTGTCGGGGTGTGGCCAGGGTCATGTCTGCTGTTCATTCCTGTGGCTCAGTGGGGGCCCCTCCTCTTCTCTGGTGTCTGCTGCTTCAGTGAACCCCAGAGGAGGCATATCTTCCTCATGGGGCATGCAAGTGTCAACTTGTCCCTGGCTGTCACAGTAAACACATTCCTTAGAAGAGAAAAGGTGGAATCAGGAATGAAACAAGATCTTCATTACAGGAAAGTGGTTCAAGCTGAGGGTGGTGCAGGGGCCAGGGGTCAGCTGGGCAGCTCCTGGAGGGGTGTGAGGACAGGCGGCCTCTGCCTGCTGCTGGGCCCTGGGAGCCCCGCCTGCTCTCGGGAGAGGGCCAGGCAGGAGCTGGGCCCACATCTGAGAGGCGGCTTTGCATAGTGGAGGGCTCCATCCCTGCCTGTGGGGCCTGGAGATCAGGTCCAGTCTGGCTGCCCTCTCTGACCTTGGTTCTCTGGCCTGTGAAATGGGACGGCGACCATGTGCTGCCTCATCTGCTCATCCCCGACTATCTGTTCAGTGCCCGTCATGCTCCAGGCATGTCCTGGGCACTGGGGTTCAGCAGTGAGCAAAGACAAAGGTCCCTGCCCCAGTGGAGGTGACACCAGTGGGGAGAGGGTAGGAGCCTGAACAAGACATGCTCTGTGCTGTCCTGAAAAGGTGGGATGTGCTGGGCCGGCGTGGGGCGAGGCATGTGCGGCCATCTGTGATTTCACAGTGGACGTTCGGAAAAGGCCGCAGGGAAGGTGACAGAGGTGGTCTTAAGACTTGTCTTTAGGGCTCCCTCAGGGGGTGGAGCCCTGCCCTCAAGCGTGGGTGGGACTCAGCCACTGGTCTGCAATGAAGGGGATGTGATGACAGGGACAGTGGTGGCCCCTGAGGCTGGCTCATGAGAGGCGCCGCAGCCTCCCCTTGTTCTCTCTGGGGAAGAGGGCTGCTGCGCCACGAGGACCGCGTGGTGAGGGGGCTGAGGCCGGCCTGCAGCCTGCAGGCGTGCAAGGGAGCCTCCCCGCAGGGCACCCTCCAGCCTTCACATGGCAGAAGCCCTGGCCAATATCTTGCCTTCAAACTTAGGAGAGACCCCAAGCCGTAACTCCACAGCTATGCTGCTTTTTAAATTCTCACCCCAAAGAAACAGCGGGAGATAATTTTATTGTTTAAGTTACTAAGTTTTGGGGTCACTTGCTATGCAGCAGTAGATAACGAATACAGTGGCATGTGAAGAAAGCCCGAGGGAGCCATGTTCTGAGGAAAGAGGATTCCAAGCAGAGGGAAGGGCAGATGCGAAGGCCCAGAGGCAGGAGCCTGCCTGATGCTCAGGGCCCAGCCAAGGGCTAGGGTAGCTGGAGAGGAGAAAGCCAGGGAGGTAACAGGAGATGGGAGGCGTGAGGGGGCTGGAGGTGCATGGCTTCACAGCGAATCCTTCTGGGGGAGGTGGGCACCACTGGAAGGACCTGGGCCGAGGGGCGGCATGACCTGAGCAGGGGGGCGGGGAAGCAGAGAGTGCAGCTGGGGGGCGTGGGTGACAATCCAGGCAGGCAGCACCATGGCTTGGATCGGGGTGGTAAGGCTGGAGGTGACGGGAAGCAGTTGGTTTCTCTCCATCTTGAAGGTGGAGATGCTGTGGCTGGGAGTGGACTGGATGGGCCTGAGAGGAGGAGGGTCCAGGATCACGGCAGGCGTGTCTGGGCACGTAGAGTCAGGGTGGCACCCTGGGTGAGCAGGGCAGGTGTTCTCTGGGGGCACCAGGAGTTGGGTCTGGGGCAGATCAGCTTTGGTTGTGGGCTATAGGGGACTTCAGCACGGACGCTGTCCCATTGGGAGGCCAGGGCAGGTGGTCCCGGGAGGAAGCGAGTGCAGACAGATGAGAGGTGTAACCGTGAGCCTGGGGCACTCATAACTGGACCTGTGCCTCTGGGAGGAGCAGGGAGCCCAAGAGCGGGGCCAGGCGGCCAAGTGGAGCCCCGAGAACAGAGTCTCCCACTGCTAAACGCCAAGCAGCGCCTGCAGGGCGAGGACAGACACGCGGCGGCTCCAGCTGCGGAGGACCCCGATGCCTTGACGAAAGCAGCTGGCCAGAGGGTTGGGGCAGAGGGCACGGGAGGTGTGAGGGAGGTGCAGGTGGCCTGGCGGGAGCAGGCCTGGGCCCTGACTCCATCCCTGTGGTTATTTAATGGTCTATGTGGAAGTAGAGGGTTTACAATGAGAAAGGTGTTTTTTAAAATTGAAGATGGAATTGAAAGAAATCCTGGCTGTCACAGTAAACACATTCCTTAGAAGAGAAAAGGTGGAATCAGGAATGAAACAAGATCTTCATTACAGGAAAGTGGTTCAAGCTGAGGGTGGTGCAGGGGCCAGGGGTCAGCTGGGCAGCTGCTGGAGGGGTGTGAGGACAGGCGGCCTCTGCCTGCTGCTGGGCCCTGGGAGCCCCGCCTGCTCTCGGGAGAGGGCCAGGCAGGAGCTGGGCCCACATCTGAGAGGCGGCTTTGCATAGTGGAGGGCTCCATCCCTGCCTGTGGGGCCTGGAGATCAGGTCCAGTCTGGCTGCCCTCTCTGACCTTGGTTCTCTGGCCTGTGAAATGGGACGGCGACCATGTGCTGCCTCATCTGCTCATCCCCGACTATCTGTTCAGTGCCCGTCATGCTCCAGGCATGTCCTGGGCACTGGGGTTCAGCAGTGAGCAAAGACAAAGGTCCCTGCCCCAGTGGAGGTGACACCAGTGGGGAGAGGGTAGGAGCCTGAACAAGACATGCTCTGTGCTGTCCTGAAAAGGTGGGATGTGCTGGGCCGGCGTGGGGCGAGGCATGTGCGGCCATCTGTGATTTCACAGTGGACGTTCGGAAAAGGCCGCAGGGAAGGTGACAGAGGTGGTCTTAAGACTTGTCTTTAGGGCTCCCTCAGGGGGTGGAGCCCTGCCCTCAAGCGTGGGTGGGACTCAGCCACTGGTCTGCAATGAAGGGGATGTGATGACAGGGACAGTGGTGGCCCCTGAGGCTGGCTCATGAGAGGCGCCGCAGCCTCCCCTTGTTCTCTCTGGGGAAGAGGGCTGCTGCGCCACGAGGACCGCGTGGTGAGGGGGCTGAGGCCGGCCTGCAGCCTGCAGGCGTGCAAGGGAGCCTCCCCGCAGGGCACCCTCCAGCCTTCACATGGCAGAAGCCCTGGCCAATATCTTGCCTTCAAACTTAGGAGAGACCCCAAGCCGTAACTCCACAGCTATGCTGCTTTTTAAATTCTCACCCCAAAGAAACAGCGGGAGATAATTTTATTGTTTAAGTTACTAAGTTTTGGGGTCACTTGCTATGCAGCAGTAGATAACGAATACAGTGGCATGTGAAGAAAGCCCGAGGGAGCCATGTTCTGAGGAAAGAGGATTCCAAGCAGAGGGAAGGGCAGATGCGAAGGCCCAGAGGCAGGAGCCTGCCTGATGCTCAGGGCCCAGCCAAGGGCTAGGGTAGCTGGAGAGGAGAAAGCCAGGGAGGTAACAGGAGATGGGAGGCGTGAGGGGGCTGGAGGTGCATGGCTTCACAGCGAATCCTTCTGGGGGAGGTGGGCACCACTGGAAGGACCTGGGCCGAGGGGCGGCATGACCTGAGCAGGGGGGCGGGGAAGCAGAGAGTGCAGCTGGGGGGCGTGGGTGACAATCCAGGCAGGCAGCACCATGGCTTGGATCGGGGTGGTAAGGCTGGAGGTGACGGGAAGCAGTTGGTTTCTCTCCATCTTGAAGGTGGAGATGCTGTGGCTGGGAGTGGACTGGATGGGCCTGAGAGGAGGAGGGTCCAGGATCACGGCAGGCGTGTCTGGGCACGTAGAGTCAGGGTGGCACCCTGGGTGAGCAGGGCAGGTGTTCTCTGGGGGCACCAGGAGTTGGGTCTGGGGCAGATCAGCTTTGGTTGTGGGCTATAGGGGACTTCAGCACGGACGCTGTCCCATTGGGAGGCCAGGGCAGGTGGTCCCGGGAGGAAGCGAGTGCAGACAGATGAGAGGTGTAACCGTGAGCCTGGGGCACTCATAACTGGACCTGTGCCTCTGGGAGGAGCAGGGAGCCCAAGAGCGGGGCCAGGCGGCCAAGTGGAGCCCCGAGAACAGAGTCTCCCACTGCTAAACGCCAAGCAGCGCCTGCAGGGCGAGGACAGACACGCGGCGGCTCCAGCTGCGGAGGACCCCGATGCCTTGACGAAAGCAGCTGGCCAGAGGGTTGGGGCAGAGGGCACGGGAGGTGTGAGGGAGGTGCAGGTGGCCTGGCGGGAGCAGGCCTGGGCCCTGACTCCATCCCTGTGGTTATTTAATGGTCTATGTGGAAGTAGAGGGTTTACAATGAGAAAGGTGTTTTTTAAAATTGAAGATGGAATTGAAAGAAAAGGAAAACATTCAAATTTCAGCAGGTAATTGAGATCAGGCTTTTAGAGCTCTTCGGGAACAACGGTGAGAAGCAGACGGCAGTGTCATCATCTTTTTTTTGTAATGGACTTAACTTCAGAAGTTTTAAATTCATGTTTAAAATTTAGATTTAAATTTACAAAGACAGTTCAGGGAGCCCCATCACAGAGCCCTTTCCTGTGGTATCAGACAAGGAGCCTGTGTGCTCACCGCCACATGGAGCGCTGCGGGCAGCCCCCAGGGCTGCCCCCCGGAGTGGGCCTCCTGCAACTCCCGCCTCTGGCCCTCCGTGAACCTGGGCTGGAACTTCCGCAGCAGCTTCAGCTTCTCTCTGTCCTCCTTCAAAACCGCTTCTAAGTTCCTTCACAACATAGGGAGCAATAGGTGAGATTTACAATGTTTCAAGTGCTTTCAATTTTTTAAAGCATACACATTTTTCTACCCACTCTTTCAGTATCAATGTAATTTTAGATGATTTTGTTCGATGCAAATTTCCTTTTCATTTAAAATAAGGTAATTTATTTAAGGTAACTCTGAATCTCCTTAGTAAATAATTTGTAGTTTTCCTATTAAAATGACAATCCAGGTCATGACCTTAGTTTTACTTTGAATCAGATGTTTGGTGCCTGCAGACATTTGGCTCTGCACAGGCTGGCTAACCTGGGAGATTCTCACCGCCAAAGCTGTGGCTAGAATAACGTTCTCCACCTCCCGGCAGCTCCGGGCCACTGAAAGCTGCCCCGAGACACTAGGGGCTCCACAGGGGACAGGACCAGGACGGCTCCTTAGGGCAGCCAGCGGCCTGGGGCTGCCCACCTCCCCGACCTTGGTTTCTGTAGCTCTAAGACACACAGACCCCATTTACCCCCCAGGGTGACTGGGCAGCAGAGCAAAAGAGATGAAGCAGTTGTAGAGTGCCACCCTGGAGGGCTGCCAGGAGCCTGTCTCCCTCACAGCCTGTAGCCCGTTGATCCACAAGGCTGCGGGCACACCGTCCACACTGCAGGGCTCCATGAGACCCACAGAACCATCTAGAGGGACCCTGTGCCTCCACCTGCTGCACTCAACTCAGCCTGAGAGAAGGCTGTCAGAGGGAAGGCCCCCGATGGGGTGGTCTTACTGTCTGGGGAGCCCTTTACGCCAGCCCTTCAGGTCCGGGGACAGGCAGACTGCTCACCGGGAAGGCACCTGGTATGTCATCATCACGCTGTCATCCATGTGGGCCATCAGCAGCCAGATGGGGTCCTGGAGGACATACTTGAGGAAGTGTCCGCTGTCCCCCAAGTCTGCCTGCACGCTTGCTTCGTTATTATTCTCTGAAGAGTCAATGCTTCCAAAATATCTGCTGGTGTGACTCGTGTCACTGCCTTTAGAAACATGAAATGGGGCAGGTCAAACCTTTCATCCTAAATTAAACCTCATGTAACGTGCTCGTGTGCAGCGTGAAGGGTTTCACAGGTAATGAGCACCTGGCCGGTGACTCCCCCCTTCCCTTCCTGATTCTGGAGCTCTCTGGATAATTTTAAAAAAGGCTATCAGCTAGTGCCATGGAGGCGATTCCTTCCTGGGGAGGCTCTGAGGGGGCCAGGTGGGGCCACGTCTTAGAAGCTGTGGTCTTCCGTCCCAGGAGCTCGCTGTCTCCTAAGCCTGACCACAGAGAAGCTGCTTGGTTTTGTCAGTGAGAGGCAGCTGGCCGGGGGGAGTGAGGGGCTGTCCCCCCACAGTGGGGAGGCCTGCAGAAGGTGAGCTGGAAGCTCGCTTCAGGGAGCAGAGGCCTCAGGGTCTGCAGCCAGCACATGCTCATCCCATTACCGCAGCTCCAGGTCACAGCGGAATGATCCTGGCTGGGAAACGTGGTCCACATGCTAGGTTCACGTGAGTGGAACTAGCTGCGGAAGGCGAACCACTACTGGCTCTCCTGGAATGTCCCAGGAGCCTGTGGGATGATGAACAAGGGCCAGTGGGGCCTGAGGTGCCAACGGCGATGGGGAGCATGGAGTGGGGTCCAGCAGGCCTGCATGGGGCTAGCAGAGCGGGAGCAGGAGCCTGTGCCACCCGGCTGAACTCTGTGGCCCTGAGGAGTGGCTCTGGGACCTGCCAGGAGCTGGGCCCAGGGCACACGTCCTGTGGCATGGGAGAAGTCTAGGATGCCCATCTCTGTCGTTTGAGAATCTCCCAGAGGCACCTAAAACCGAGCAGCCTAAAACATACCGACTGGCCCAGGCCTCAGTGCCCCAGAGCCACCAACGCACCTGTCCCACTTCTGGGTGCGTCGCAGCCCAGCGCGCTGGAGCCCAGGGAGTCAGAGGTGGCTGAGGCCCCGCTCCCAGACAGGGCCGACCCTGTGGCGGAGCAGAGGTCCCCGTGCAGCAGGAGGTCGAGCAGGCCACTGGAGGCGGAGAGGGCATCGCTGTTCTGGGTATTGGCAGGCTCACCGTGCTTTAGGGCAGAGAGGACACTGCAGTCAGACCAGCACACAGCCGGCTGGGGCCCACAGTGACTGTCGGTACAAGGCCACTTGGAGGCTGGGAAGTGCCCACTTAGATCACTGGCCCTTCCTGCACATGCCAAAGAAGGCCAAATGAGCAGGCCCTGGGGTTACTGGGACTACAGCGAGAATCTTGGTGCGGGTCTATGAATGCCATCCAATTAAATTTAACTTCAGTATCACACCAAAGGCAGAGGTTCTTGGGGAAATAGCTCGAAACTTGCTCCTCTCCACAGCAGGCATGGAGGCAGGAAAGGGCCTCCGAGGTTGTCCCAGGGCTGTTCCTCACAGGGGCAGGGCTCTCCTTCGGGCTCCTGTGCCCCACGAGTGGGGACACCTTGGCAATGAGGGAGGGCCTTGGCCTGGGAGCAGCCTGGCCCTCTGATCCTTGGAACCTGGACTGTAGGTGCAGGACCCCAGAACCAGGAGTCAGGGGCAAACCCCGAGAGAGTTCATCTGTGTTTGTGGGGTTCCTTTTCCTCCCGGGAGCAAAGGTGGGGGAGCCCCCCAGGCCCCCCCTGCAGCGCCCATGGATCGCCTGCCTCAGTGAATGCTACTGCACTCCTCTGCTCGTTCAGACACGAAAGCGTTTATGGAGGTGAACTTAGAATTTTGAATAAGAAAATCACCCCCACGTCCTGTAATGTGTGAAGATGGGAACCAGAGGGTGCTGGCTTCAGAGTCCTCGGCACCCTCCTTCCCTGGGGGGAGCCTCTGGCACCCCCTCCTGTGGCTGCCCACTGAGCAGCATCTAACCTGCCTGGGCTTTGTCCCTGAGGCACTCTTACAGCTTCCAGGCCTGTAACAGGTCATGAGGTCCCCTGAGGCTGCTTGGTGACCATCAGACAGTCCACCACTCCAGTACTCTGCACTGATGGGTCATCTAGCTGGAAAACGCTAGTTTCTAGCACATGTATTTATGTCACAATGGAAATGGTGTGGCAGAAACCTCAAGGGTGTAAAACTGCCTACGTCTGAGACAAGGATGTGCCTCTGGCCTGCCCGCCGTGCTGGTCTGCTGCCTGCTGTAGAGAAAAGCCATCAGGAAATCCTTACGGTGGGCGGTGCCTCCAGCTGCTGGTCCCGGGATGTTGCAGGCTTGCAGTCGGGCCCTGCACCCGTTGTCCCGGAGGCCCCCGCCGCAGCGCTGCCCTCCGGGGCCTCCTCCAGCTGCAGCAGGTTGAGCTGCAGGGGTGAGCTGCCTCGGGACTCGAAGAGGGGTGGGGAGGCCCTGCCTGTGGGCTCGGCGGCCAACAGCGGGGAGACTGGGGTGGCTGCACGTGACGCCGGTTGCCCAGCCCGTGACTGAGGACAAGCACATGGCTGTTTGGGGAGTGAGGTCTGACCGGAAAACTCAGGCTGACCGGGGAAGAAGGCCTGCGGCAAGTTTGGGGTCACTGAGGGGCAAGAGTAGCTGGGCAACACCAATGCCATGACCGGGGCCAAGGGGGCTGCGGATGCTGAGGGCTGGACTGCAAATGTGTGCTGGGTGTCCATGGGCACGGCAGGGACCGTGAAGGCGGCGTGGGAAGCCACGGGTGCCGCTGCCGCGGCCCTGGGTGCTGGCACGATTCCTGGGGGTGGGAACACGGGCAGGGAGTAAGCCGGCCCCGGGAGGGGGAAAGGCATGGCAGGGCCGCTGGGCTGGGACGCGCCTGAGGGTGACCAGGCTGTGGCACTCAGGCCCGCCAGCGGGGGGCGGTGTGGCCTGGGCCCCCCAGACCCAGGGCTCTCAGAGGAGTCTCGAGGCTTGGCCCGTCTGGACTTCAGTTTTCTGTTCTTCCCAGTTTTTTTCCAAGATGAATCTATTCCAGAGGTATTTCTCAGTCCAGGAGCAGCTAAAATAATGGAAAAACCACCAGTTAAAAATGTAAAACTGTGCGCAGAATCTCAGACATTCGAAGGTGACCCCTAGTCCAACGACCCATGTTTCCCAGTGGCGGTCGGGGGCCCGTCAGGTCCACCCTGATGCTCAGTGAAGTGAGAAATCAGAGCGAGACGTAAAGTTTGCATGAACTAGACTCAATTTAAAGGGCCACCCTTAATTGCAAGGTCACATTCTTTGTTTTCTTCTGGTATTAAAATGTGTTTTCTTTATGGAATAATAGTCATGACAAATGGTATTAAAAAGGATTTATTTGTTCCCCCCAGAAAACCCCATTAAAAAGCCAGCAAGTCTATGCTGGGCCCCAACAGGGGTTTGTGAGATCCGAAAGGAAGAGGGACTGTCTCATCTGACCCCATTTTCCGACTACACAAGCTTCGTCACTACCGCTCCGTCAGGAGAGCTGTCCCCCGCTTCACCTGCCAAATGAGCCCGACTCCACTGCAAGTGGAGGTCAAGCGGTGGAGGGCACACTTGCCATCAGAAGCCAACACTTCCTCCCCAATGACCAGGACTGCAGAGGCGAGGCCTTCCTCAGGGGGCTGGAGGACTCGGCCAGTCACAGAAGGGACTCCGGACTGCCCCCACGCCGCCCCTGGGCACAGGCCGCACTGGGAGCACTGCAGGCTGGGAGGCGTGCCAAGCTTGGTGTGGGTGGGCAACGGCACGGGCCTGTTCTCCCTCGCATGTCAGTACGGTGACTTGGGGCTCTCGCAGCAGGTGCGTGGGGACATGTCCTGACACCCGTACTAAGGGCCTTTGCTACCTGCTTTAGGCAAAGGGGCACCCAGAGCAAACCACTAAGTGGGTGGAGGTTTTACGATTCAGACTCTGGTGTTCTTCCTGTAGGAAACCTGTCCCCTGGTGGGACTGGTGGCTGACGCAGGGCTCCTGGGACACCAGTCCAGGGTCTCGGCGGGGCCGCTGTGGACAGGTGTACTACACAGACTGGAGTGCAGTTTGTGGGCAGGAGAGAGCTGCCACTGCGCACAGGCCCGGCCCAGGGGGTAGGTCTGCCCAGGGCTGGGGCGGCGCCTCTTCCTGGTTCTTACAGAGGTTCCCTTCACTCTGGCAGTGCCCCTGAGTCTGGGGAAGAGGAGAGAAGGAGAAGAGTGGGGAAGACTTGGGCTTTCAGGAAGGCAGCACCCTCTTCCACGTCTCAGACATTCGCTTCAGTGTATCTGCCCAGCGACCCCAGGGAAGCTTATGTGTGTCAACGGGCTCACTAGCTCTGATCCCTGGGTCAGGCCTTGGAAGCCCGGGAAAGAGACGGCATCTGTCCCTGGGGCCTGGGAAGGAGGCTGGGGGTCAGATGCCAGGTCCTGGACCAGAAAAGGGGCGAAGAGGCTGGCCTATCCTACTTCACCCCTTGCCCTTTGGCTGCTGGTGGCTCTTGGCTCATGGGTTGTCTGGCTTTGGAGTCTGTAGTCCAGCCCTGAGGCCAGCCGGCCAGGAGGGTATGTCCCTGCGGAGGACATCACTCCGTCATATGGTGACAGCCAGGGCGCCCTCCTTCCTCAGGAGCCCGCCACCAGATGCTCTGTCAGCGAGAGCTCCTTCCCTCTGGTGAGAATTAGCTGTGCCCCACCTGGTTTTTCTGAGGGTCCTCTGCGGGTGGGCAGGTGGGGGGACCCGTGTCCCTGGCAGTCACATGAAATGCCTGACAGCATTGCAAGTGCCCGGGCCCTGTGTGCCATGGGGCGCTAGCCTGGGACCGTCACCTCTTTTTAGAGCACCGCCCCCTTGGAGTGCGAGGTGACATCCTTGAGAGCATCCCAGCCAGAAAGGCTGCATCAGCAGAAAAACCCACCGCTCTCTCGGAACACCCCGGTCCTAAACGGGGGCAGCTCACACTTAGAAAACAGCCCTGGATTCAGTACCAGTAAGAACAAAGCACTTTAAAATCGCACGTTTAATCCAGGTACTCACTTCTTTCACTCGACTGCCCCTTGGACCTTTCCTGTAAGTAGTAGCGGCAGCGGGACTGGAAGACACTGAGTTTCTTTCTCTCTTTGAACTTTAGCAGGAAGCTCTGCTCCTCCTTCTGGGTGTGGGCGGCCAGCACTTCCTTGGTGAGGCCCAGCCTCCTGAAGGGCTCCTTCTCCAGGCCCAAGCTGCAGGGCAGCGGGGGGCCTGCGAGGCACTCGGGCGACTTGGGCCCACTGGCAGCGTCCTCCGCCGTCTCTGCAAGGGGAGGGCAGGCCTGCCATCGCAAGGGCCCTTGTACTGAAAAACGGGGGAGAGCCTATGCTGCGTCTGTGCAGAGGCTCACTCACAGGACGGGGCTTCGGGGTGCCCGCCGCACAGGGGTGGGACTCGCCACGGGGTCCCTGAGCTTTCCAAGAAAGGCAGCACCAAGAGGCCAGAGCGAGGACTGAGGCTGGGTCTCTGGAGTCAGTCTTCTCAGCAGAATGAACTGGGGGGACCTCTGGGTTCAGCCTCGGCGGACACGGAACATACCCCGAGGCTGTTCTCAACTTTGGGAGCCCAGCAGGCTAAGGTCACCCTGTGCTGGCTTGGGACCACAGCGCGTGACAGCCATACCCACATGGAACTGTGGGGGCAGACAGGGGCAGGCAGGGCTGCTGAGCGTCCTGCAGGGAGTCTGGACGCTGACTCTGACGTGTACCTCGCTCACCCTCTCATCCCAGCAAAGAGCAAACGCAGGATTCGTCTCACTCAGGGAGTTCTGAAGGACAGGCGGTGACCCCTTGGCCGTACTGCTGGTGCGGCCTGTGCTGGCTCCTGTCCCCAAACGGGCGAGGGCAGGGGGGCGGCCTCCACCTGGGGGGATTCCTGAGATCCCTGCTCAGTCCTGGGAGGCCAGGCTCAGCACCCACAGGGCCCCTCGCCTACTGGCACCCACGGCCACCAGGTGGCGTGAGCACAGCGAGATGGGACACCCCACCCTGATCTCCTGCTTGGATTTCCTGGGCCCCCTCACTGGGCTGTGCTGGGTTCCTCCACCCTTGGGCAAACCTGAAGAACATTTTAAGAGGGCCCTTCAGAGTTCTGAAGTTGGCTGTTAACATCAGATCGCCTTCACATCACCCAAGAAGCAGGAGGCGTACCAAGCTCAGGCTGCGGCTTCTTGTCTCCCACGTGGACAATGGTGCTGCTATAGCTGCACTGGCTGGGGAGTGACGCCACGCTCTCTGCCTTGCCCCGTGGTACCAGTGAGGTCAGGTGGGCGCTAACATCTGTGCAGCTGTTTGCCTTGGAGGGCGATGCCGTCTCTGTACAGGAGAAAATGGGAGCAGACACGAAGTGCACTGAATTGACTGTCTAAGAAACCGCTGTCTCGATGGCACCCCTGTATCCACATGCCCACACAGTCTGCACACGGAAAGGTGGAGAGGAAACTGGGCAGAGGCAGGTGGCCGGGCAGTGTGGGTGCTTGCGAGCAGCTGGCGCCCTCCCTGTGGGCCAGGGCACAGGCCGTCTGTCCAACACGGTGTGACTGTGGACCTGCTCGTGCTCCTGGCGACTGTCTCTGATCCAGCAGCCCACCCACAACACAACGTTTGGGGGTCAGAGAAGTAGTCGGACTCCTGGTCCGTGGCCGGCGCTGAGACACAGGGAAATGGGACCTGCCCCGGAATGACGACGAGATGCCCCCAGGCCTCCAGCAGCCCCGGCGATCCTGGTCTCGAGCCCAGAATCACCTCTACCTCCTACGGATGTTGCTGGCTTCTGAGCTACTCTGGTCACTTTGAAAGATGCCTGTGCTCACATGCGTGTCCCTGCAGTCCCGCAGAATTCAATCGGGAGGGGCGGGGGCTCCAGGCCTCCCGCTGTCGCCTGATCCCATGTGGAGGGTCTGGGTGAGTACATGTGCAACAGCTCAAAGAACAAGATACCTGCCAGCCGCAGCCCAGGGCCGGCCCTCCGCTTGTCGCTGGCCTGCGGAGCAGGGGTGTTGGCCGGGAACTCGCACTTCCTCTTTAGCGTGGTGGCCTCGCTGCAGCTCTCCAGGTACCTGCGTGGAGGGGCAGACGGGGCTTCATGGGACACCAGGGCCCGCGAGTGGGTGAGCAAGCACGGGAGGCACCTGGCGTGTCCACACCTGATGACACTGTCCAGGCAGCTTATCTGCTGGTAGGAGCCGATGGGCTGGTTCTTGCAGGCCAGCTCTTCAGGAACGCTGGCCTCCGGCAGGCTGGTCCCTGAGCTGTCCTTTTCCGTCAGGGGGACAGCTTGCATCGGAGCAGGGGAACTAGTTGGCATTTCTGAAAGATGACAGAATTGTTCTTTCAGTCAGTACTTGTTTCCCCAAAGCGTACGTTCTCTATTTTACAAAGTGTTTTACTTCTACCTAAAGAGAAGGCTGGGGCCTCAGTAGACCTCACAGGCAGGCGACCCCGTGACAGCCTGATACTCAGGCAGCCCTGTGGGCTGGGTGCGGCTGTGCCATCTGCAGAGGGAGCCAGGGTGCTGTTACCTGGCTCGGACCTGCTTCTCTCTGGGGCTCAGCGGCGACTGGTCTAGGCTGAACCCAGGTCGGCAGTGGGAAAGACCAGTTCCATACTTGACCTCCTGAAACCTTTGGGGCCAATAAGAGCCTAGATGCTTTACAGCCCAGTCAATACTGCCTCACCAGGGAGTCAGTCCTTTTAAACGGGACCCACTGGTGATAACAATCACAGTTATACTGGCCTCCGGCACAGCCTGATGGGGACACTGCTGTTCCTGCCCCCACCACACGCAGCACGTGCTGCCCCTCTGTGGGGCCCTTAAGGGCAGAGCCATGGCCTGCTCTTTACTGGGTCCCCAATGCTCAGCCAAATGTAGCATGCAGCATGTCCACTGGGAGCTGCCCAAGGCCCAAAGTCCTGGCCAGGAGGAGCGAGGCCCGAGCACACAGGTGAGCGAGAGCCCACCATGGGAGTGGACGGGCGCATGTGGGGGCAGACGGCCAGCGAGCCCACCCGTGAGGCTGTGTGAGGGACCCGGCTGCAGTGGGGCTGGGGTGACAGGCCGCCCCCGCCAGCAGGCTCACGTGAGAGGGCAGCCTAGAAGCAGAGCTGCTTGGGATGGTTTGGGTTTGAGTATCTGCAGGACAGCTGGGCAGTTCCTGGGAGCACGTGCGTTTGCTCACAGGTGTACGCACACGGCCCTCTGGCCACTCTGCAGAGGCAGGACAGGGCTATAGGGAGACATGCAGCCCCAGCCTCACCTCAAGAGGCCCCTGGGGCATAAATGTACCCCTGGGCCTCCCCTCAAGGGGCCTGCAGGGGTCAGGTGCCCCCAGGAAACAAGGACCAGCTTTGCTGGATGGTGGGGAGAGGGCTACCCTGCACTGTCACACAAGTACGCCTCTGACAGGAGCGGGCATGTAGCAGACGTTTAAAAGGTGAATCCCCTGCAGTCCAGTGGTAAGAGGCACCCAGTGCCTTTCCCTCCGGCCACTCTAGTTCCATGAAGGAGGTGGAGAACCTCTTTTCACCTGAAGCAGACCTTCCCTTTTGTTCCCCAGCTTCGTCAGGATGATGACTTCTGCTTTTGACCTTGTTACCATTTTTACAAATTCCCTTGAAGAAAAACAAAACGAACACATTACTCACTCAGGAGACCCTCCACGTATTTCAGCCCATCCCCAACAGGAAGCACAGAGAAAAGCCAAAACTATCCCAGCAACAGGGAAGCGAGTTCTGAATGAGAAATCCGAGCAGCATGAGCAGGTGAAACACTTCTGCTGGGTCTGAAGAGTACAGGCATGGCTCAGGGACACGGGGTGCGGCGCCGGACCACGGCAACAGGCGTGTCTCGTAACAGAGTGAGCCAAACGAATCTTCTCCCGGGGCATGGCAAAGTCATGTCTACACTACACCGTGGTCTCCTGAGTGTATGATAGCATTATGTCTAAGAAGACAATGTACATCCTTTATTAAAAATGTTCTATTGCAAAAACACGCTAACCATCACAGCTCTCAGCAGGTCATAACCCCTGATCGCCGTAACAGGATAATGAAAAGGTTAGAAATAATGTGAAAATCTCCAAAACGTGACACAGAGACATGAGGTGAGCAAATGTTGAAAAAATGGCTCCCTCAACACAGAGTCGCCGTGAACGGAGAGTTTGTAAAAAATGCTTTACCTGCAAAGCAAATAAAGTGAGGTCTGCCTGTAATAAAAAATAAAGCAAAACAGCAGTTACGCTCCCTTCTTTCCACCCTCCAGTTAAATCTTCACCTGCTTTGAATAATGTTCATCCGAACCTCTGGCCACAGTTTCCAGCTGCTCCCCGCTCTCCGGTTAGGGAATAAGCCCGAGTGAGCCGGGCTCAGGGAGCAGCAGGACGCGGCGGGGCGGAGAGGCCGCAGCAGCTGGTGGGGGGGAGGGAGGGTACCCCAGCACACCAGTTTCTGTCCTGAGCCCGCAGCTGCTCAGGGAGGAGGAGAGAGAGGGACTCACGGCTCTCCTGCGGCAGGGGTCCTCGTGGCCGTTGCTGTCGCTGGACGAGGCCTGGCTCATGAGGTGTTCGTGGGACCCGTTGCTGCCCAGGCTCCCGTAGCCGCTGGAGCCACTGTGGGGGACAGGCTGCGGAGACAGCAGACAGGACTGTGGACGTGGCTGTGTGTGAGGCTCGGTTCCCCCCAAAAGCCCATTTCACAGACGGGCCATGACAGGGTGGGGCAGCACGGGAGCCCTGGGTCAGGCGTGGGGTGGGCTCCCAGCCTCCACCCCCAGGGCCTGCACTAAGGGGAGACCCACTCAGCCCTCTCCCTCAGCTGGCGTGGCCGAAGGCCAGTCTCAGTTCTACGGAGGTGTTTTAGAAGCACAGGTGCATTACAGCGTCCCCAGCCTGTGGTGGCTAAGCAGAAGGCTGTCAGCCATGGCTCATGGTGCCCACACTAGTTTTCTGTGAGTACTGTGTCCCCAGGGGCACAGAGAGGCATTCTCAAGTGCTTCGGGGCCAGCATGGTGGCGTTTTAGAGTGATATCCCCCCATACAAGTGTGGGAGGCCATGCCTGGGCTGGTGCCTGGGACTCAGGGTGAGTTGGGGTGCAGGCGCTTGGGTGAGTCCTTCAGCCAACTGTCCAAAACATGGGTCAGCTACAAACACCCCAAACATGTAAGGCTGGGGCTGCCTCCACCAGGCAAATGCTGGGCACCGACTGCCCAAACCAGCTACGCAGGTGGCACAGAGAAAGGCACGGGCAGCAGGGTGCAGGGCAGAGTGGGATGAGCCTGAGAAGGACGGTGGCAACCCCAGGATTCAGAGTGGTGCCAGGCTGCTTGCACGGGGGAGGAGGGCGCGCAGGCACCCACCTGCAGCAGCAGCCGGTGGATCTGCTCTGTGAGCTCCTGAATGTCGGGGTGCAGGCCCTTCTCCTCCACGTGCGGCGGAGCTGAGAACACGTCCTCGTTCAAAGGGCCCCTGGGCAGTTTCAGTTTGCCTGTTAGCTGGGGCCCCAAGCTGCACACCTGCCAGACCTACCTCCTCCTTGCAGACCCTGGGGCGGCCACCTGCCTGCTCGCCACTTCCCTCCTCCATGCCCTGCTCTGCCTGAATGAGGCCCCTCCCACCCGCGGACAGGGGCAGGTCACCACAGGTGCGTGGTGGGAGGAGACCTGGGGCCTGGTCTCCTGGTCCTGCTACACCATCGGCCAGCGGGAAGTGTGGGCGCCGAGGCACGCCGGGCGCTGGCAGGACTCACACCCTGACTCTGTGTCTCCCGATGATGAAGGAGATTTTCCGGCTCCACGGGTTGACGAAGCTGGACCAGCTGGTGTCCAGGGTGATGTACTCGCCGTTCCAGGCACGGAAGCGAATGGGAGAATAGTCGAAAGGCTGCCCACCCGACTGCACAACTAGGAGAGTAAAGCGAGTGTTCAGGACGGGAGGAGAAGCAGCCAACGCTCACGGCACGACAGAAGCAAGGTGGGATGCATCTGACTTTGGAATTATCTGGAGATGTAAGCGATGCCAACACCCCCCTGCCAGCACCTGCAAGCCCTGCTTTAAGTTGCAACAAGAAGCTGCTTCCAGCAGGGTTATCACATAGTTCAAGAGCTGTATCTGCGCTTGCCTCGGCTGGCTTCCAAGAGGGACGCTCAGTGCCACCTGTGCCTGTGAGGCCCGGGCTTGCTGGAGACATGTGGGGTCCACTCCTGTGGCCTGGCCAGCAGCTCCCTGCCGCAGCCAAACCTGTGACCCCCTCCCAGCTGCCGGGGAAGCCAACAGTAAAAATGAGATGCCAAGATCTCGGGACACGACCACTTAGGAGCCCCGTGAGCTGACCGGCTCTCCAGCGACAGTGTTAGGACTGGCATCCATTCCTGCACGCGCTTAGCCCAGCTGACCTCAGGAAGAAGCCCCAGGGGCGCCCCAGCTCTGTCAAGCCCCTCAGATCTGCTGTGATGAGGGGACCTACTCTTTTTGTGGATGGCGAGCATCAAAGGCCTGTCACTGGGGTGAAGGTGCACAAGCAGAGGGCTCTCGATCAGGTCCTGAGGCAGGTAGCCCAGGAGGGGGACAGCCCTGCAAGGAAGCACAGGGGGTCACCACTGCAGCCGAGCCCCTCGCTGCACCTCGGACACGTTCCGCAACACAGCTGCCACACGGCCACACCACCTCCCAGAACCCGTTGGGAAAAAGAGACAGACTCCAGATTCCCCAAAGATCAAAAACTGGAATTAGGATAACAGAAACACTCTTTCAATTAATTAGCATACAAAACATTACAGCACCGCCTGGTCCCCTGGGGTCTGAGACAGGAGCCCAGGCCCTGTAAGGCCCCCAGTACAGGCTCAGCTCTCCAGCTTTGGGTCTTGTTTCCTGAAAAAAACAAGCCATGGTAACACTTGTTTCTCTTCTTTTAAGATCTTTTTCTGTTTTTGGATCATTCTTAAGTTCAGCCAGATGGGGCCTCTTGCCTGGACTCTGGGAAACCTGTCTGTGTGCATCTCTTTCAGCTCGAGATGCTCTCCTGTTAACTTTGGCCGCCATGTCTCGTCTGGTTTATTGCAGTCCTGGGAGACACCTTTTCTGGGGGGGAGAGCTTGCTCTGTGCCCACGGGGTCTTCCCTTGGAGCTGCGACCGCTGTAGGCCGAGCTCTGTGCCCCGCCTGGGCCCGGCACCTGCTGCTGGCTCGGCCACCGGCCCTCTGCCCGCCGCCTCTTCTCTCTCAGGCCAGTCTTCTTTGCAGCCAAACAGACTTCTTCTCAGACTCGTCTGCCCACGCGGGAGGACATTCTCCCGTCTTCCTAGTGAAGGCTCCCGGCTCCCAGTGGTGTGGGACTCCTTGTCTGACTGGTGTCATTCTTATGACTTTCTCCTGGTCCGAGGCATGCCCTCTCCAGGCCTTGTGTGTCCCTCTGGACAGGATGCAGAGAATGTTCTCGGCGCCCTCCCAGCCAAGGGCTGGCCAGGGGAGGGCGGGCGGGGAGAGGGGAGGGAGGAAGAGGAGCGGGGGGCAGGCGGGGGAGGGGCTAAGGGAAGAAGGCTCCGCAGACGGCCGGCCCACGCGGACCGGCCCACCGACTCTCGGACGCACGCGAGTGAACAGACACCGGGTGGTCCTTGAGTCCTGAGACAGCTCTCAGGCTTCTGGAGGGAGAAGCTCGCCCTGTGCTCGCGTTGTGAGTGCGGCTCCCAGGCCTTGCCCTGTTCCTGAAGCCCTGCCTCTGGCGGTTCTGCCCCAGGTCCGAAAGGCACAGCCGAGCTGCCTGGGGCTGGAGGCTGTCGGTCCCTGGCTGCAGGAGAGCGGAGCTCTCCCCGGGGGCTCTGGGGCCTTGGTCCGGGGGCAGGCTGCCCGCAGGGCCCAAGGGAGGGCCAGTCCCTGACAGCAGCTGTAGGTGACCTTGGCCATCTCAGAAAGCCCGGCACGCTAGCACCTCTAGGTCCCTTCCCACGTGCCTTCTGAGGAGACTCCTCCCTGGCCACTGCCAGCGGCCGGTGGCATTTTCTCTCTTCATGAATCTGTGCCGGAGCTGGGAGGAAAGGACCCTGAGGCCTTGGCCCAGCCACAGCCCACCCAGGGCCCCTCAGAACGTCGGTGCTCCCAACTCCACGAGCCTGTGTGCACCATGGCGGGGAGGCCAGGGAGGGTCTGAGTGAGGCCCCGGCACGGGGCACGGAGGTGGGCCCGCCAGAGCGGCCTGTGGTGCGGTGGGGCCTGTACTGGGGCTCTGGCCTGACACTGTCTTGGGCACGCTGTCCCCAGTTGTACCATCCTTAACTTGTGTGTCCAATTTTGATACAAGTTTAAACAGGATAATAAAGACACTCAATTAGAATAATTGCCAGCCCCCCAGAATGCCCCATTTACAGTGTTGATATCTTAGGAGGTCTTTAGTGTAATTCCATAATTATCTCCCTGCCTGTATATAGTTATGTATTTTTTTGATTATCACATAAGTAAAACCAACACAAAGCCTTAGCTGTAGCTACGCAGCTTCAATATAAAAAACATGAAAGCTCATTGAGCTTTACTTAGTTGTTACTGAATAACTACCAAGATAATGAGATACTGAAGATCATGTAAGCAACCTGCTGATGTGAAAGGTGCGACATGAATTCCAAGGCGATCAAAGCGTAAGAGCCAAGGGCAGGCGGAGGCGACGGCGCCCCACTGCTTACCTTTCATCGACATCCTGGAATAAACAATTTGGTGTATGGGTGGTCGTAAAAATTCTCTTTTCAGAAGGAATTCTAGGAGCTGAAAGAATAGAATTTTACACAAATTTCTGATTCTCAGGCAATAAAATATGAAACACATACTTAGTGTAGTTATATTACGACTACCAGAAAATACCACAGAGACCCACAGCGGGGTGGCTACTGCAAGAGTTAGAAAGTGGCCTGTGAGCCACAGACCCAATGCAAAGACAGCAGGGCAGGCCCTACGCTGGTGATTGCCGGCCAGCCTCTCTGACCGCCCTGGAGGCCACTGTGGGTCTAGAAAGCTGGGAGTTGCCACATTGACAGAACCAGGTGGATATTATAAACTTCTCTCAGCAGAATCATGCTGGAAGGCCGTCTTCATGATTTTTAAGATCCAACAAGAGTAAACTGAACACGTTATTTTTAAAAAGTGAGTTTAATTATTTAGATTCAAAATTCTCAGCAAATATCATTGTCTTGAGGCCCTCACAGTTTCTAAGGGGGCAAAAGTCATGAGTAATTTGCATAAAGGATGTCACATGTCCAGATTTTCTTCAACTGCCAAATTCATGGCTAAAACATCCAGAATTCCAGAGCTTTCATTTTTGAAGGAGATTCTGATCATTTTTGGGAATAACTGGATGAGATTTAAGTAACCCTCTAACCTTATGGACTATGTGGAAACTCATCAAACTCTTGAAAGAAACTCACATACCTAAAACATTTTGATCACTTTTAAGATACGCCCTTTAAAAAAGACATCATTAACCACTGAGAGAAGATTGTGAACAACTAAACATTACAGAGCACACTGGGTCCCTGTGGTTTGGAAGTCACAGGTGGCGCCTGCGTGCAGACAATTCTGAAACCACGCGATGCGCTGAGCCCCCCAGGAGGCCCCTGGCCAGGTACCGCGGCCGGAACGAGGACCGTGTCACAGGGCAGTTTACGAGGAAGGGTCGCGGCAAGGACGCGATCAGGGAGGCAGAGCGCCTTGGGTCCGTAGGGCTTCGAGGCAAGAACCCAGATTCGGGCTCTTTGGGAGGGGAGGCCTGAGGAGCCGGCAGGACCAGGGCACAGGGCGAGCTATGCCCACTGGGGTGAACTGGGCGCCTACGGGTGGCTGGCTGGGGGAGAAACAGCGGAGCCAGGACAGAGCCAGGAGGCCTGCTTGCCTGCAGAAGCCATTACCATCTGGAGGGTGGGAAATCCAGTGGGAGGTGGGATGGGCCGAGGCGGGGAGGAGGGGTGCCCGGCACTTTATTTCTTAGTGGGTGGGGGTGGTTTGGGGTTCTGAGCCTCTTCAGAGACAGGGAGTGCCAAAGGTGCAAGGTCTGGGCCCCGGGCCATTAGGGACCATCAGGCCTGTTCTCAGTGCGTGGCTGGGAGGCAGTGGCTGGGGAAGCAGGGGGCACCATCCTCACAGCAATGGCCTGGCTGTGGGTGAGAGATGCCAGCACCCAGACGCTTCAACCAACAGGAGGAGGTGGTGTGGCAGGGGCTACGGGAGGGCCAGGCAGAGGCCTGGGCTGGGAGGAAGCTTAGAGACGTGGTGTCCGGGCCTGCCTGTTACCTTCGTAGCCCGAGTGCACTCTCTCTGCCAGCAGCACGCAGCACAGCTGGCTCTCGGCGCCCTGCGGCTCCCGCACCCTGAGCAGGTAAGGCGTCATGCGGAACGGCAGGTAGCAAATCTCATTCTCGTGGTTGCTCCTGGCACTGCAGAGGAGGGCGTGATAGGGGCTTGGGATTGTGGCAGAAGGAATCACCCTTTCCCGCAAGTTACCTCCCCCAACGGCTCCCTGTACACCTCAGCAACCCTTTTATTCGTTGTACAGATGCCTGCAGAGCAGACCCAGGGTCCTCGCTTGGGACCCGCAGTCTGTGGTCTGTGCCTCTGCCCACCTGAGCTGGAACCCACTGACTCACTTCTGTCTTCTCCCTCCAATTTTCAGTGACATGGAGGATACAGCAGAGTCGACAGCCCCAGGCAGGGAGGTCTGCTAGCAGCCCTCTTCTAGTGTGGTCTGCATTTTAATTGGGAAAAGGGAAACTGCTCCAACAGTGGGAATCTAGCTCCAACTTCTGGGCATGCCTGTGTTTGGCCGGGGGTCACTCCTGGCACTCCGGCTGGACACTCAACCAGTCACCTTGTGTCAGTACAAAAATCTGTTGGGAAAGCTATGGGGCTCCCCAGAAAAGTGCCCCCTTGAACCAAAGGCTACCTGTGCTCTCAGGGTCCTCATGGGCCCTGGGTCCGAGCCTTCCTGGGTCAGGGCGAACCCAGGCTCCAGGCTGACATTCACAGGCGTGACTTAAATCACTCCATGGTCAGCCATGCTGTCTTAAGTCCCTGTGCATGTTTAAAATGCAGCTCATTAAAACGTGTTTCACACAGACTTTTCAGGAACACGCGTGCTGTACAGATGGCAGTGCGTGGGGATGTACAACCCTCTCCACCAGGAGCGGCTCAGGAACGGGTGGGGAGCACTTGGGGGGTGCCTCAGCCTTCAGAAGAGGCGCTGCAGATGGAATGTTTGTGCCATTTCAGATTTAGGAAAACTAGTAACTGGGCTTACCTGACACGGCAAAAGAAAGATTTCTCCTCCATGCATTCCTGAGTAAAAGAATCTAAAATAAAAAGCCCAAAGTCACTCATCCAGCCGCACAGCCGAGCATAGGCGGCTCTCTATTTCTAAAGAGAAGCAGCAGGGAGGGTCAAGGAGTGAATGTGGATTTAAAGCACAAAGTGAAGCCCTGAGAGATCTGTTATTACCATTCTGGCTAAAATTAAGTATATTTCATGAGTGTGGACATACCAAAGTATGCAATGCTAAAAGGTGACAACCAGGAGTTTCGCCCTCTTGAAATGGCACAGACACACCAACTAATAAGAGTTTAACTCTGTAAGACACAGTGACTGACTGCAGATTTTTTGCATGAAAAGCCCTAATATATCAACCTACGTATTCTGGGGGCTATTCAGTTCTATTCGAAGCAATGTGGGGCATTTCAAAGCTTACGGCAATCTTTTCAATGAAACATCAACTTTAAATGAAAATATCTATTGAAAACCTGAGGTCAACGAGGCAATCTTGTCAGAGCTCAGGGAACAGAGTTCCTCATAAAGGGATTTTTCAAAGGAAATCTCAGACTCTGTCACATAGTTTCCTTTACTCAAAAGAAATGAAGGGAAACGGACAATTACCAGTTAGGGAAAATGACATATAATTAATGGCCAGAAAAGGCCCCTAAGAAGTCACCCAGTCCTTCTCTCTCATTTCAGACAAAAATCTGGTCGCACCCATCCTGGGCCGACGGCGCCAGCCTGCTCACGCTGGCGTCTGCGTGTGGAGTGATCTCCGTCCACACGGCGACCTAGCCCTGACCGGGTCCTCGCGACACACGATAAACCTCAATGATCTGACTGGCCGGTCCCCAGGTTGGGGTGTGGGGAGCAGACAGCTCTGTGTCTGAAACAAGAAGCAAGCGTCCCTCTTCTGTGCCAACGCTGAAGCAGGCGATGCTTCTGGCCCCAGGCTGCCTGCTGTCAGGGAGGCATGGCTGTGGAGCTGCAGCAGCAGGAGTGGCGGCCCCCGGGCCCACCAGCTGACCCTGGCTGGGAGCAGGGGAGGCGGAGTGCTCAGAGGCCGGGGGACCAAGGGGAGCACTGGATGTGAGCAGAGGGGCGGGCCAAGGACGAGCAGGACATGGCTGTGGGGACGCGACCTGGGCTGGCTCTGGAGTCAGGCTTGTGTGGGGCGACCCAGGCACCACTGCCTCTCCCCAGCTCCTTCCTGCTTCTGCTGTTCAGTCTGACCCCAGCTGAGCATCAGAGCCAGAGGGGCAGCCAGACGCTGCAGGACTCACGCTCCCAAAGGGGGCTTTTGCTGGCCACCCTGGTCTCTGAAAGCATAGAGGGGCTGCAGGGAAGGCCTGAGCTGGTGGGGACCCTCTCCCTTCCAGTACTTTCTGCCAGGACGCTGTGGCACATTTCTGCTGAGACCTGGCTTATCAACCATCTTCTTCTGCACCTACTACGTGCAGGCCTGTGTTAGCACTGGGATGTGCCACGGTGAACAGCAGGGACCTGCTGCCGGGAGCAAGGAGGGCAGGCTGGGGCAAGGAGCCCCAGACAGGTGGACAGGACAGTAGGCACCCCCACACCCGCAGCCCGCAGCCTGGAGTGCCCGGGAAGCCGGAGGCTTGAGCCCAGGAGGCCATCACAAGGCTGCCTCCACCTGAGGCAGAGAGCACCTCCACGCCACTCTGGCGGCCACACCTGGTCACACCGCCTGCAGGAGGCGGCACCTGGCTGGGGCCCACCGGCCCCCCAGTGCCTCAGCCTCCCCCTCACGCTGCACGCTCCCAGCAGGCCTCCAGCTTCTCAGAGCGGCTTTACTTCTAAAAGGCCTAACATTTCTGAAATGGTTTTCCCTCTGTAATATATGAAGAGACTTTTTTCTAAGTTTACTCTGACCAACAGCTGTTGACCTCTTGTCTGGGATTGGGAGGGTGGGTGGTGCCCGTCTCAGGCAGAGGTGAAGTGGGGAGCGCGACCCCACTCCCGGGGCAGCCCGGCCGGCCCCACCCCTGCCGTGCGGCTGCGGGCCCTCACCTGGTCCGCTGCGGTGGCTCCATGGCGGGAGCTTGTCAGGCGTGGTGGAGCTGTGGAACACGCTGACGTCGCCTGGCGCCAAGAACTCCACGAGTTTGGCGTTGAGAAAGGCGTCTCTCTTACAGTGAAAGATGGAAGCAACTTGGTCAGAGATATACAGGACTTTCCCAGTGACCAGGGACACAGCCACAGCAAACATGTCCTGGGAAGGAAGAACACGGCTCCATGAGAATGGGTACAAGGGGCCTGCACAGGTCACCCTCCCCAGGGACACAGATGGGGGCAGGCAGACATAGGCCCTGGAGGGAACACCTCTCCTTCCCCTCTCGTAGATTTTAGGGTCCAAGTGGAATACTTGAAAACACTTGAGGCCCAGGTGCGGGGATCCCTGCAGGTCTTGTCCCACCCTCCTGGGCATAGGCTTCGGAAGTCCAGGCTGGTGATCTAGGAGAGGGAGGGGCCTCCACCCTCTCGCTCTCTGAGGGTGCTGGGGACTGTTTGGGGAACTGGAGACCCAGGCCCCCTGGCCCACTTCGGGTTCTCCCGGCCCACTGGCCCTCTGAGCACAGCGCCAGGGGCTCCCTGGATGTCAGGCGGCAGTGGAACGCTGGAGGAAGGCTGGGGAAGATTGGGGAGCCTGCTCTCCAGGGCCGCTCTGCTGTGACTGCATGCTGGGACCCCCAATGACTCCTGTGTCGGCTCACCAGGGAGGCCTGGGATTGGGTGGGGGAGTGCAACTCACTGCTCCAGACCTCCAATGGGCCCCACCTTCATGGGCGACTTAAAAATGCATGAGCTTTGGAGTCTCAGGAAACTGAATTTAAAACCCAGGTCCTCCTCCAAGGAGTAAAGTGAAGCCCTGAGAGATCTGTTATTACCATTCTGGCTAAAATTAAGTATATTTCATGAGTGTGGACATACCAAAGTATGCAATGCTAAAAGGTGACAACCAGGAGTTTCGCCCTCTTGAAATGGCACAGACACACCAACTAATAAGAGTTTAACTCTGCAAAACACGGTGACTGACTGCAGATTTTTTGCATGAAAAGCCCTAATGTATCAACCTACGTATTTTGGGGGCTATTCAGTTCTATTCGAAGCAATGTGGGGCATTTCAAAGCTTACGGCAATCTTTTCAATGAAACATCAACTTTAAATGAAAATATCTATTGAAAACCTGAGGTCAACGAGGCAATCTTGTCAGAGCTCAGGGAACAGAGTTCCTCATAAAGGGATTTTTCAAAGGAAATCTCAGACTCTGTCACATAGTTTCCTTTACTCAAAAGAAATGAAGGGAAACGGACAATTACCAGTTAGGGAAAATGACATATAATTAATGGCCAGAAAAGGCCCCTAAGAAGTCACCCAGTCCTTCTCTCTCATTTCAGACAAAAATCTGGTCGCACCCATCCTGGGCCGACGGCGCCAGCCTGCTCACGCTGGCATCTGCGTGTGGAGTGATCTCCGTCCACACGGCGACCTAGCCCTGACCGGGTCCTCGCGACACACGATAAACCTCAATGATCTGACTGGCCGGTCCCCAGGTTGGGGTGTGGGGAGCAGACAGCTCTGTGTCTGAAACAAGAAGCAAGCGTCCCTCTTCTGTGCCAACGCTGAAGCAGGCGATGCTTCTGGCCCCAGGCTGCCTGCTGTCAGGGAGCCATGGCTGTGGAGCTGCAGCAGCAGGAGTGGCGGCCCCCGGGCCCACCAGCTGACCCTGGCTGGGAGCAGGGGAGGCGGAGTGCTCAGAGGCCGGGGGACCAAGGGGAGCACTGGATGTGAGCAGAGGGGCGGGCCAAGGACGAGCAGGACATGGCTGTGGGGACGCGACCTGGGCTGGCTCTGGAGTCAGGCTTGTGTGGGGCGACCCAGGCACCACTGCCTCTCCCCAGCTCCTTCCTGCTTCTGCTGTTCAGTCTGACCCCAGCTGAGCATCAGAGCCAGAGGGGCAGCCAGACGCTGCAGGACTCACGCTCCCAAAGGGGGCTTTTGCTGGCCACCCTGGTCTCTGAAAGCTGAGCTGGTGGGGACCCTCTCCCTTCCAGTACTTTCTGCCAGGACGCTGTGGCACATTTCTGCTGAGACTTGGCTGATCAACCATCTTCTTCTGCACCTACTACGTGCAGGCCTGTGTTAGCACTGGGATGTGCCACGGTGAACAGCAGGAACCTGCTGCCGGGAGCAAGGAGGGCAGGCTGGGGCAAGGAGCCCCAGACAGGTGGACAGGACAGTAGGCACCCCCACACCCGCAGCCCGCAGCCTGGAGTGCCCGGGAAGCCGGAGGCTTGAGCCCAGGAGGCCATCACAAGGCTGCCTCCACCTGAGGCAGAGAGCACCTCCACGCCACTCTGGCGGCCACACCTGGTCACACCGCCTGCAGGAGGCGGCACCTGGCTGGGGCCCACCGGCCCCCCAGTGCCTCAGCCTCCCCCTCACGCTGCACGCTCCCAGCAGGCCTCCAGCTTCTCAGAGCGGCTTTACTTCTAAAAGGCCTAACATTTCTTAAGATCTGAAATGGTTTTCCCTCTGTAATATATGAAGAGACTTTTTTCTAAGTTTACTCTGACCAACAGCTGTTGACCTCTTGTCTGGGATTGCGAGGGTGGGTGGTGCCCGTCTCAGGCAGTAGTGAAGTGGGGAGCGCGACCCCACTCCCGGGGCAGCCCGGCCGGCCCCACCCCTGCCGTGCGGCTGCGGGCCCTCACCTGGTCCGCTGCGGTGGCTCCATGGCGGGAGCTTGTCAGGCGTGGTGGAGCTGTGGAACACGCTGACGTCGCCTGGCGCCAAGAACTCCACGAGTTTGGCGTTGAGAAAGGCGTCTCTCTTACAGTGAAAGATGGAAGCAACTTGGTCAGAGATATACAGGACTTTCCCAGTGACCAGGGACACAGCCACAGCAAACATGTCCTGGGAAGGAAGAACACGGCTCCATGAGAATGGGTACAAGGGGCCTGCACAGGTCACCCTCCCCAGGGACACAGATGGGGGCAGGCAGACATAGGCCCTGGAGGGAACACCTCTCCTTCCCCTCTCGTAGATTTTAGGGTCCAAGTGGAATACTTGAAAACACTTGAGGCCCAGGTGCGGGGATCCCTGCAGGTCTTGTCCCACCCTCCTGGGCATAGGCTTCGGAAGTCCAGGCTGGTGATCTAGGAGAGGGAGGGGCCTCCACCCTCTCGCTCTCTGAGGGTGCTGGGGACTGTTTGGGGAACTGGAGACCCAGGCCCCCTGGCCCACTTCGGGTTCTCCCGGCCCACTGGCCCTCTGAGCACAGCGCCAGGGGCTCCCTGGATGTCAGGCGGCAGTGGAACGCTGGAGGAAGGCTGGGGAAGATTGGGGAGCCTGCTCTCCAGGGCCGCTCTGCTGTGACTGCATGCTGGGACCCCCACTGACTCCTGTGTCGGCTCACCAGGGAGGCCTGGGATTGGGTGGGGGAGTGCAACTCACTGCTCCAGACCTCCAATGGGCCCCACCTTCATGGGCGACTTAAAAATGCATGAGCTTTGGAGTCTCAGGAAACTGAATTTAAAACCCAGGTCCTCCTCCAAGGAGCTGATGTTGCCTAATATGTCCTTACTCTCTGCTGGTATCACATGGGCCACAGTGGAGCTTGCTCTGGCACACGCCAGTATGGGATGGCATCAGCCCCGAGAGGACCTCTCACAGAGAATAATATTAGTCTGCACCACAGCTGCTGCTTCTGAACCACTGGCTCACGAGTTTTTGGAAGTGCTGACTCATTTCCTGAAACCCCAGCCTCTATTGCCATAAAGCCACTGGCCGCAGCAGTGTGGCTAGCCTGCCCCAGTGCAGATCTCGTGCCACACGCAAACCTTCCAGGGGAAGATTTCACTCCCGTAAGACACTGACCGCATTCTTCACCACGAACTCAGAGGTGACGCTCTCTATGTCCTCGATGGTGTAAGAGGGCACGCTGGCGCTGCAGGGGTGGCTCTCGGAGGCCATCAGCAGCTGGTAGTACTCCTCGTTGGCTGCACGAGAGATGGCTCACTCTCAGCAGGAGACCAGAGGGAGCAGAGAAGTTTCCTAACTGTTGCTCATGAAAAAGGGGGCATGCAAATTATAGCCCTGGGACACTGAGGGGACAGAATGCAGAGAAATGTAAAACCCAGAAATCTGCCTTTTCCCTGAAAAATCAGACTTTGATTACAGAATTTTTAAATGATAAATACAGGTTATTTTAATAATATGGACACAGAGTTCTATCTAACCCCATTAATCATGATGTGACAGCCATGGCCACCCCTGCGTCTGCCTCTCTCAGTGGCCTGGGCCAGACACTCCCACCCAGACAGAATCTGCCGCTTAGAAACACAGGCAGGAGCAAACTGCCCAGAGAGACCCTGAGGATGAGAGCCACTCGTCCTGGGTGTCCCGCACAGCTAGGGGGCGCCGGACCCCGGCCACAGCCGGCCCCGCCTCCGGGGGAGCCATCAGGTGGGTGGCCCCAGGACTCGTCCCAGAGTTTGACCTGGGATCCTGCCAAGCCCTGTGGGCCCTTTGGATCCCAAGGCTCGGGTCTTATCTGCTTTAGATTTCCCCACCAACTAAACCCAGGAACTGGTCGGCTTCTGAATATACTTTCAAGTCAAGTCCCAGCTGCTGGGAAGGGTAGGAACCGCCATCCATCTCAGGGTGGGCTGGCCTCCCGAGTTCTCACGTCACTGCAGATGCCAGGAAGGGCACACCCAGACGGACAGCCACCCGGGTGGAGCAGCCACCCACACACAACAGCCTCCCCCTGCAGTGCCTCCTTCCAGAAGGGGCTGCCTCCCACAGGTGCCCTCAGGGCTGTGCCCTCTCCAGCGGGAGGCATACCCCCAGGATCACCAGATTCTCAGCTGGCATTTTAGGCCCTAGCAGCACTGACCGGCAGCACCAGCTCTTGGCCTGCTGCCCTCGGTGGGCTGCTGAGGGAGGACCTTTGCCATGCTGCCCACCGAGGCCTCCTGAGGGTGGGGGCAGCCCCAGGGAGGCGTGCTGGCACCACCCACTGCCAGAGAACCACCTTGCCCTGCAGAGCGCGTGCACCTGGGGCAGGCTGGCCGATCACGTGGTCCCTTTTTACTGTTTTGACCCTCATGCAACAGCCACACCTAGGGAGCCTGCAGAGAAGCTCTGGGCTGGAGAGGGTGCCCACGGGCCAGCACCTGGGCCCCAAGAGCCCACCCTTCCATGCCTGGTGCAGATCTCCAGCCAACCGCATGGGACTTAGGTGTCCAAACACCAGAAGACACGGACTGTCCATAGTGTGGCTCTGTGACCATGATTTTAAGGACTGGAAATGCTTGTGCCTCGTCCAGGGCAGGGTGTGCCTTACTGTCCTGGCAACAGGCACCTGCAGTTACCTGAGACCGAGAAGATAGGGTTGGGGCCCCTGCGCGGAAAGGGTACAGTCACAGGAGAAAATGAAGGAAGACTGAACTCTCCTGCAGGATTTTAAGGGCCTTGGCGTTTAGGGAGATGTAAGGTATCTGAGCCCAATGGCTGGTATTTCAGCACATGCACGGCTTGCTCACAGGCCCTGCTCTGTGTGTACAAAGAGGGTGCATGTGTTCTCAGACGGAGGCCTTAGTATATTCCACTGACCAGCCTAAAAGCTCAAATGCTGTTATCCGCCACTGAAGCCCAAACACTGCCCTACGTGGAAGCAGGAACTGCAGGTTGGGGAGCTGCTATGTGTCCCCATGGTAGAAAGGGGTGCTGTGCCCTTTCCGCCCGCCAAGTTGAGAGAACTGGCCAGGGAGGTCTTGCGTGGGGAAGCTCTCAGATACGGTCCTTGAAGGAAATACCCGCTGACACCCGCCCCCCATCCCTTCACGTTCTTTCCTCCCGGTGTGGTAAGCTCTCGCGAAATGCTGAGCGACATCCCACCTCGCTCCACCTGAGCCGCCCTCCTTGCCCAGCCTTGCGGAGGCCAGCGCCTGGGAGAGCATGACCTGTCTCGGGTCAGAGCACGACACCAGGAAGGGCTGGCCTCCCCTAAACGCCAGCTGTCCCAGCCCAGAGCACTAAACCTTTCCATTGTAAATAGGTTTCTTTTATCAGCTAGTTTTTTACCTGCTTTTTTTTTTTCTCCAAAAGTCAATAGAAAACTTCCAATGAATTGAGGCTTCCGATCAATTGTGATTTCCTAAGGTGTCTAAGCTCCTTCTGCTCTTTCAGGACGGAGTTGCAGAAAGTCAGTACAGTCTAAGCTGTACTCGGGGGGCACTGGAGACTCGTCTCTTTAGGTTTGGAACAAGTGCACGAGCCAACGTACCTCTCACTTGCTTCACGCTCTGCAGGGCGTACTTCAAGGTCGCCAGCGTGCTGGCTTTCCCTCTGGCCTTCTTGTCTGCAGGGAGGTGGACTTTCAGCTCCTTCAGCGTTTTTATCAGTTCTTCATGTGTGTCTGCCCTGGCAGACTGCTCACTGAGGGAAAGAGGCAGACAGATGCCAGCACCTGAGTGCCCCTTTGCCATGCCTCTCGTCCGGATCCAAGCAGAGCACTGGGACACTCTGGCTGGCACAGTTCTCTGTGGCATCCCTGGCCTCACCCGATAGAGGCCAGCACACCCTCGCCAGCCGTGACATCCCAAATGTCTCCTGCCATTGCCACACGTCTTGCATGGAGACAAATTGCCCCCGGTGGTGAACACTGCCCTAACCTAAGTGAATACGGCAGAAGCCCCCAGCCAGGATTCTCCCCCATGAGGGCGCGAGGCCGGCAGGTGGACCCGCAGTCTGGCTGAGCAGACTGCATCACTGGGCTGTGCCTCCTGCCCTGTCTCAGACAGAAAGTGCAAGGGAGTACAGAGACAGTGGTGGGCTTCCTGGGGCATGGACGTGGGCGATGGGCGGGAAGGCCTGGCAGAGGTAAGGAGATTTATAGGAATGACCTCCAAATGTAGGGATACAGGGATGGGAGGAGCACAGAACAGGCGGGCACCTGCTGAAGGAGATGGGCTGTTTAAGGCACAGGGTGCAGAGACATCGATGGGAATCATGTCTCTGGGCCTCGGCCAAGGGCCCACGTGCCCAGGACTGAGAGCTGGATTTGGCTCCGGCCATGATATGAAAGTATCCGTGGACAGGAGATTATGGGTACACTTGTTACAGATATTAAGAAGGGTGAGGAATGTTCATGAGGAACATGCCTAGCACGCAGACAAGGTCTGTCAGATAAAGTGGGAGGAGCCACGGATCCAGAGCAACATCAGGGGCTCCAAGCAGGCCATGGGGACCACTGGAGTGGGAAAGGGCATGGCCAGGTCTGCAGGTGAAACGGCTGCACAAACCAGCAGGCTTTGGCTGAAGCCTGAAAAAGTCACATCACCCCCAAAACTAACCACCAATAACCAATCTTTTGATTTCTCTAAAGTCTCTAAATCCAGGGAGTCCTAATCAGCCTTACCTGCAGCTGCTTGTAGATGGGTGGTGTTCAGACTTCGCCATCATTAGGCTAAAGGCATCTGGACTATAAGCACAAGAAATAAAAGCAGAGCTCACCCTGTGCTCCATCCACTTCCCCACCCAACCAGTGACAACACGCGGGATTATGCCATCGTAGGACAACTTTAAAGATACACAGTCCAGATAAAACTGGGTCATAAAATCTTCAGGTACCAGCCAAACCAAGTATTGAGAGATGGAAACCCATGCCTCAAAGACAAGTTCACTTCTGTAAAGCGCTGCTGTTACGGGTCACCTGACTTTTCTGCCTCCCAAGATCTCCTGACATTCACCATCTACCTATGGGCAACTGGAGACTCAAATTCAACGGTGGTATCCTTACAAGGAAGGACAGACCTTAGCACATTTTAGTTATTCTGAGTTAATAAGAGTTTCAAAAATTTTGAAAAACTTGATAATCAAGATTTGAAGACTGCAAAAGCAATCAAATTACACCAGAGGGAGTCACAGGGAACACAAACGACCCGCCTCGTCGGGCTGGGCCAGGGCTGCACGCACCCCTGGTGGGGGGCGGGAGGCTCCCCCAGTGACCCCAGCTCCTTGCCGTGGCCTTCACAGTTGCTGCCCCGCGAACCCCGGCCTGTGGAGCAGTTTTTGGCGCCTTCGTTTCCACTGGAGCCACTGCTCATGTTGACGTCTTCCTGGAGCAGGGCTGGGCTGGCCTTGGGCTCCACCAGCTTCTTGGTGGGGTTCCTGGGGCCGGGGAGACACACAGCGTATTCATTCATGCTGCTCCCTGAATGAGGCTGTAAAAGAGAGTAACAGCCTCAGGCATGAGATGCAGTCCCCCGTGGGGCGCCCCACCGGATTCGCCAAATTAGCAAAGTCTGGGGCAGGCAGAGAATTCTCTGCCCCTATCCACTGAGCTCCAGCCTGCCAAGAGTTTGGAAGGCCCCAGCCCACACACGGGGCTGCTGCTGACCTCCCGCATACTCAGGAGACAAGGGCGCGGACGATCACCGCCTAGCAAGGAGCTTGGGGAAAATGCAGATTCCCACTGAACGGCTGGCAGGGCCTAGGAGCCTGCATTTTACAACCCCCCTAGGTGATGTGGGGGAGCTGCGGGGTTCAGAGACCTTGGCCCTTGCAAGTTATGGGGACACACAAACCGGCTGTGTGCAGGGGGACCCCAAAACCAGGCTCCAGGCAGGGGGCACATGGGGAGAGAGAAGGCTGAGGGCAGAGGGTGGAAGCCCTGCTAGCTGCCCAAGGATCTGGGCACCACAGGCTGTCGAGCGCTAAGGAGCACACAGGTGGGCTGTGGAGGGGACAGGGACTGGCACGAAGCTGGCATGGAGTCTACACTTTCTCCAGGTAACTAGGAGCCACAGAAGCATTTTGAGTACCAGACTCAGGTAACTTAGTTTGCTTTGGACACATCGTCCCTGCTGCGTTAGACAGAAGCTTAGCCTGGTGCTTCGCGGGCAGGTGGGTGGAGGCGAGACCAGCGCTAAGCTTTCACAGTGACCCTAGAAGAGAGGAAGGGGCTGAGCGAAGGCTGAGCATGCAGGGCAGGAAGCATCTGACCAGAGCCTGGGGCCCAAGGACCCAAGGACAGGAGGGTCATGTCCCGGGGAAAGGAGTACCCAGGGTGGTGGTCCTGGCAGGAGGCAGATGCCCGCTCAAGCCAGTGGAGAGCTTGGTGAAGGCACCACATGGGAGGGTATAGTCAGGGTTAAGGGAACAGTAAGACTCGTACCCTCGGTGTAGCCAGCTGTGTGTGCAGGTTGGTGGGGAATGGGGGTCATTAGCAGGGCTGATGGCACCTGGCGGTGAGGTGTGCTAAGAAAGTCCTTCCGGAAGGGACTCTGGGCGTGTCCGGCAACCTTTATAATCCACACCCCTTTACACACCTAGGAAGCCATTCCATGGGAATGCCCCCTCCCTGTGCACAAGGATGTGTGAGCAGGGTGCATGGAGCGGTAAAAACCCAGAAAGGACCATCAGCAGGGGGCTACTGGCATCTGTCCTGGGCACCTTGCCCACCATGACCATCCTAGCCAGGCACCAGCCTCAACTTCCAAAATGGGCGTCCTGCCCCACCTGGTGTGCACCAGGCCACACAGTGAGGGAGACCCTCTCTGCTCCCCCACTCAGAGTGTGGCCCTGGTCTGCACGAGGGTCTACAGCTCCGCGAGGCCACCTGCTGCACCCCGGGCATCTCCTCTCCTCCATCTCGCACTCAGCCTGCACACGGGGGCGGGTCCCTCTGCACAGACACCCCCCATCAGCTCTGCTCCCCTGTCTGCTCTCCTTCAAGGCACTGACACTGTCAGCCTGCACACGGCCGTGTTATAGCTGTCAGCTGCCCCTGCTGTAACCCCGGGACCTGGCACTCATTGCTGAGGCACAGAGCCAGGGACTTCTCCACTGTGGGATACTGGGGTCCCACCAAAAAGAGGAGGACCAGCCACACCAGCACGGAAGATTCTAGGCCATGAAGACACAGGTCACAGAGAAGTAAGGAGCAAAAAAATAAAATAACAGGTGGCACTTAAGCAGGGCTGGCACCTTGCTCATACCGTCCTAGGCACTGCTCTGCATTAACTTGCGCTTACCGCGCTGGGTACAGAGGGCCGGCGTCACCGCCGAGAAGAGGCCGGTCCTCTCTCCTCCCCCACGGGGATCACTCTGCAGCGGGACAAAGACCGTGAGCAGGGGAAGAGCACACCACCGACCCTTAAACAGTGCAGGGGTTGGGGTGCTGACACCCCACACACAGTTGAAAACCCTGTATAACTTTTGATGCCCCCAAAACGTAACTACTAACCGCCTACTGTTGACTAGGAGACTTACTGATAACATTAACAGTCAACAAACATGTATTTTGTATGTTGTATGTATTATATACTGTATTCTCACATTAATATAAACCCGAGAAAAGGACATGTTACTAAGAAAATCAAATTAGATAAAATACATTTATCGTATGGTACTGTATTTGCTGGAAAAAATCCACCTGTAAGAGGAACCACGCAGTTCAAACCCATGTGGTCCAAGGGTCAAGTGTACAGAGTAGGTTAATGTAAGAGCTGCTTGCTGAAGAAAGGGACAGAGCAGGGGTTGGGAGGTGTGTGGGAGGGCTGGTGCCAGGGAGGGTGCCAGGCAAGGCCCATGCATAGGTGGCATCTGACCTCATACCTGGGCCCAGTGTGTGTGTGGTGCTGATTCAGAGTACTGAGCCTCAGTCTCTCCTAGGCTGTGGCCGCTGACTCCTCCCCAGCCATCACTGGCCATACCCCACGTGGGCCTCCTGGCTTCACACCTGAGGCTGCCAGGAGTCTGGCTGTGCGGCCACGTGTGGCCTTGGGTGAAGAGTCACACCACGTGGGCCCTCGCTTACCCAGCTGCTGCCAAAGGGCCCAGGGAAGCAACTGGGCCCAAGAGAGAACACACTCCCTGGGGTGAACTTTGGCCACGGGGAGTGCGAGAGAGGAAGAGGTCAGCAGATGAAGCCCTTCCCTGTCCTTCCCTCAAATGGAGTTCTGAAGCTTTTCTTTCTGGCCTTCCTTCCTTTTTTTCTTTGGACAGACTTTCTGAGGAGACCCCAAGGCCCTGAGAGACCAGCTGGGTGTCTGCGAAGCAAGGCCATCCCTCAGTGGGGGATCCTGGGAGCGGGGCATCCTGGCAGTGGGGCGTCCGGGTAGTGGGGCGTCCGGGCAGTGGGGCGTCCCGGCAGCGGGGCATCCTGGCAGCGGGGCATCCTGGCAGTGGGGCGTCCTGGCAGTGGGGCGTCCGGGCAGCGGGGCATCCCGGCAGCGGGGCATCGTGGCAGTGGGGCATCCTGGCAGTGGGACATCCTGGCAGTGGGGTGTCACAGCAGCAGGACATCCTGGCAGTGGGGTGTCCTAGCCTTTTCTTCCTCACTTCTGTTTTCCCTTACTCTTGCTGTCCTGGGATTATACCTCCTAATAAAGTGCTATCTAGCATTTAGCTTCGGCCTGGGCCCTGCTTTTAAGAGAACCCAAATTAGGGTAGGCTGAGAGAAGTGAGCATGCAAAGGTCCTGAGGCAGCTGTTTGAGGAAGTCGGATGAGTCTGGAGCAGAGTGGCCAAGGCCAAGGCCAGGAGGGGACATGAGCCCAATCACGTGATGCCTTCCAAAGGCAGAGCAGGCCCCTGCTTCATCTGAGCGAGATGGGCATCTGCCAGAGAGCTCTGTGCACAAGAGCTGACTTAAACTTTAACGGGTTTGCAGGGTGGAAGCGAGGGACCTCCTGGGGGCTGTGTCTGTGGTACAGTGGCTGGCGTTGCCCAGGGCGCTGAAGGCGTTCTTTCACTCTGCGTGCCAGACACCACCCATCATCCCACAGGCATCCTCACACAAGCAGCTGGGCCTTTGTGCTGAGAGAGTCATGAAGGCAGCGCAGTTAAGCAAGTGGCCCCTGGACGGTGGTGTGGCCTCGGCAAGCTCCCCGCCTCCCCAGAGCTGCCTGCTCATCTGTGAGCTGGGCAGCGTGGTGCCTGCCTCCTGCTGGCTGCTGGGAGGTAAATGGCACACATCCTGTGCAAAGTGTTTGCGGTGCAGGAAGCCTCCGACATCTTTTACCATCACTGCTAATACTATAGGAAAACAGATGGGGTAACAGAAGTAATTGTTTTCTAAAAAGGAGATATTTCATTGCCCCGAAACCTGTCTCTGGCTTATATTTAAAGGACTAAGAGCTCAGCTGACCACCCCCACCCCAAGCAATAAAGACATCCTCTGGAAGAGGCCTCAGCACTTGGCTTCCCTGAGTATGGTGCTGGGGGCAAGGGAGGGGGAGGAGCAGCGCATGTCAATCAGCTCCTCAGAGCTGCTCCTGTCCTTCTCCATCTCAGCCCCTGGGAACGCCACAGGATTACCTTAGGTGGATGATAAATCTTTTTGCAAAGGGGCCTGGGCAAGCATGGCAGGAATGTGGGGCAAGAAACCAAACCAAACCACCTCAGTCCTCACTATCCCAGGAGCGCACAGCTCCGCGTGCACAGCTCTAACGGACCTACCTCGTTGTGCCAAGTTGGCAAAACCCATGTGCCAGACAAAGCAGACTTTGCCTCCTGCCTCATGCAAACACTTAGGGAGCGCCTGTTCCTGCCAGCACTCCCAGGGTTCTAGGGAGCCCCCGGAAACCTGTTTCCACCCTTGCGGGGAGATGCTCACAGCCCAGAGCACCAGGGACCCCAGGAAAGTCAAGGTGGCCTGTCCCTAGAGACCCCCTGGCTGCTCCCTTCGCGGAGGGCCCGCATTGGCTCTGCCCCGGAGAATGTTCAGACCAAGAAAAGAAGTTAAGCTTGCAGCCCTGACTCCAGTCACCGGGCCACACCCTCGTGTGAGGGTTGCCTTGACTGGACAGAGGAACATTTATTTAGACAGTGCAGTTGAGCTGAGCTCACGGTCTGAGATCTGCCTCGTCATAAAAGGAGGTGGGGGGTGGAAGGAGAGGGGCCAAGAGCTGAAACTCACCAAAGCAGCTGACAGGTTCATGAGAGCCCATTACACCATCCTCTCTGCTTTCACGTATATTCATAGTTTCCAATATAAACAGAAAACCAAACTGGGAACAAAAGCCCAGACTGCTCCCCAGGCCCACCCTCCACTGCTGTCGTAGTGAGAGCTTCTCCCACTCGGGGGAGAATGTTCTCTGCAGAAGCCAGAAACCAGGGACGGTTCAACAGCTAAGGCAATCGAAGTTTTCAAAGAGAAGCATGAGACAACAGGCAGCAAGTCCCCAGTCAGAAGGCCTGTCTGTCCACAAGCTGCGCACACCTGTGTACCTGGCACCCAGCTCTGGAGCCAGAGCTGCCAGCCCCACAGAGGCCCTGGTGGCCTCCCAGCCACCGCTGAGCCTGGGTCACTGCAGCCGGACCTCTCACAGCCTAAATGACTCTGCCTGTCCTCACACTTTATAACAGGGAGCTCACAGTCCACCCCGTGTCTGAAGCCTGTCAGCCACATTTTACAACCCAGGATAGTGCAGCACGTTTGCTACTTCCTGGTACAAGCCGGTTCCCTGAGGACAGCCTGTTGTAATCTGGAGAAAATGTTTGTCCTGCTAAACAAACACTGGGCTCTCCATGGCGACGGCTGGGTAACCAGGGAAAACGTAACTGTGGCTGTCGAAATATGGCAGGGAGGAAGGTACAGGGAGGGGCTTGTCCTGGCCCCTCGAAGACCCTTGCAATCCTCTCAACTCTGCCTTTGAAAACCTCAAATACAGGGAGACAACCATCAACGCACTAGGTTGAAGCCAGTCCTCAGGCAGGGTAGTCAGCTCAGTTGCTGGCCTCGGCATTCAGGGACGGAGCCACCCTGGGTGCTGGTGACCAGCGAGCTGTTCCCACCCCTCTGTCACCAGGAAGAGCGACAGGATCCCTCAAGGGCTCCTCTGTGGAACCCTGCCTCCGACAGCCACGTGGCCACGGCCGGTCACCCGCTGCTTCTGATGTGCTCTGGATCTGGAGACACAGTAGCAAACTCGTTACAGATGTGCATCCAACCAGATCAGGAGTTGAAAGAGGGCCTAACAGTAGAGCCCCAGAGGGCTGGATGGAGGCCCCTGTCCAGACCTCCTGGTCCTCTGTTGGGTGGCAGGTGGGTCAGCTTTCCACGAGGGTGGGGGCACGGGGTGATTACACAGCTGCGGGGTGTGTGTTTCTAGTCAGTTTTGCCAAATAACGTAGTTTTCGGTGTCACTCTTTGGGCTAAATGCGGAGCAGCCCTGCCAGCCTTGCAATGACCTCAGAGAGCCTGAGGTTTGCTGAGGCCTGCTAAAGTTACGTCATCATTTAAAAACAAAGGCGTGCCACCTGAATTTTTCTGAAAGTTAAGTGTATGCATGAGAAATAGTACAAATGAGAGGAACCCTTCCGACTGCCTTCTAAGCCGGCTGACGGCTGACGTGCCTCTCACGGGGTTAACACTACATGACCTGAGGCAAGAGGACATCGGGGAAACCACTGGAAGACCGCCTAACCTCAGCCCCTCAGCACAGATAGGACACAGGCCCAGATGTGGGAGCTGAGTCACCCAGCAGCAGCCAGCTCCCCCTTCCCGCCCAGCCCCAGCCTCCACAGAAAGCCAGGGCCGCGTTAGTTCTGTACCGTGAATCATACCAAGATGACAGTGACAGCTGAGAACACCCACGGTGCCATCCTGCACTGGCTTATCACGTAGCTCCCACTTTTAAGAAAGGAGCCCTGTTCTCATCTAACTCACCCACCTCACAGAGTGACTAGCCTTGCATTTGAGAACTCAGTTTCCTCCTCTGTCAAGCAAGGGGTCAGCTCCATTATCTGTGCACATGATCACCTTTCTGAACTGGTTTCTTCTGTGTAGGTTACAAAGACCCTGGCAATTGAATTGTCATCCCGCACCCTGGCCTTCGTTAAGCAGGCCACGACCAGGCCCCTGGTCCATGTCCAGGGCCAGGCAGCCAAGGTATGCCCCGAAGTATGGTACAACTGCGGCATCCCAAGGTGGGACCGCCCCTCCCCACCCCTTCTACTCAATCAGGAGAGAGGCAATTAATACAGGGAGGTCAAGGGCAGGCGGAGGGAGTGAACCTCAGGGCAGCCTCCGTGCCCACAGGGTTCCGGCTGTGGCCTGGCACAGGTCCCCTGGTCCCCGCTCACCCAGCCCAGGGGACCCACGACTGTCCAGGGAAAGCTCCTAGACCAGCGCCGGTGAGCGGCCCCTCCCCAGCGGCAGACGTCGGCTCTCCGGCCGCCAGCCTGCAGCAGGAAGCCAGCCCCCCGAACAGCCCTCACGTTCCCACGGACAGCCGCACTGCCCATCGGCTGCCTTCTTCCCGGCCGCTCCCCGTGTCGGGGAGGGAGGACAGGGAGGGCTCACCGAAGAGCCGCCGGGAGTCCCCCCGTAGCTCCCTGTCGTGACGTTGCCCAACCTCTAGTGAGGTCAGTTTCTTGGTCTGTAAAATGGGGATAAGAGTACTCACTCCCCGAGGCCGGTTTTAAGCCGAGAAGGAGTCAAATGGCCCCAAAACCTGTCGGACCGCGCCTCCGGGGGCTGGAGAAACCGCCGCGGGCCCCAGATTACGTAATCAGCGAGCCCGGCGGTGGGACCGCGGTCGGCGCCCCAGCACGGCCCCCCGCCTGCCGCCCGCCGCACACTCACCACTGTGCCGCGTCCCCGCTGGTCCGCGCGTCGTCTGCCCGCTCCGCGCCCGCTGCCCCGGCGGCCGAGAGCAGCTCGCAGCCCGCAGCACCGCCCGCAGCCGGCCAGCCTCTGTCACAGAGTGGGAAACGTGACCATGTGCCGTGCCCGCCCCCGGCGCCCGCCATTGGCCGCAGGGCCATTCATCTGCATACCGGGGGGCGCCGAGCCTGCGAGCGCCGCGCGTCCATTGGCTGCGGCGCCAGTCGCTCTCTTTACATAAGACGCACATGGAACTCCATGTTCACCGCCTCGGTTCCTCAATGAAGGCGCGGCGCATTCGTGCTGTCCCCCGCCGTCCCCCCAAGTGGTCCCTTCCACTTCCGGTCTCGGCGTCTTCCATTCAAGACTGCTTGAGTCCGCCGTCTCCGGGAACTCGGAGTGGCGTGTACCACTGCGGCGCGGGGGAGCTGGGCACGGGGCGGGGACGGCTCCTGGGCACCTCGCGCTGGCCGACCAGCTAAGCTAGGCAGCCCAACACCCTCTGAAGCCCAGGTCCCGGGAAGCTTTCACCTTCCGCAACCGGCCGGACGCGCGCTACCGGCGTCTGGGGCAGCGGGGAACTTCCTGCGGACATCTTTCATTCATTCACTCCTCATTATTGGCTAGGCGCTGAGGCTGCCCCGGAGACCGAGACAGTGCTTGCCCGGCGGGAGCTCCTTTTGCACGCCCACCCAGGCCACCAAGGGCGACGCTTGTCCCAGATCTGCCAGGACGGTCAGCTTCCAAGTGTCCTTTTATTTTTGAGATCATGTGCAGCAATTTTTGGTTCAGCAAATAGGGTCAGTGTTACTTTCAGGAGGTACAAAATAAATAAATAATACCCCTGCCTCTCACCACGTCATTTGGGAGAAAAGACTGTCTCATGAAAAGGGAACTTAATCAAATACTAAATTGGGCCGTGTGGATCATAAATTAGCCAGGACCAGACTTACCCCCAGAGACTCCACGGAGGAGGCAGCTCTTGGACGCTGGGGAAGGTGTTTGGAAAGGGAGGGTTTTCAGACATCACGCGCAACAGAGACACAGAGCCAGAGGTGAGGGGCTCTGGGAGAAAGTGCCCGACTTTGGAGCACCTTGGTGTAGCCGTTCGTTCTTTCCGTAAGCATTGTCTGGGGCATGTTAAGCCTTGGACTTCTGTCTAAAGGTTCAAGTGAGCATAGAACTTCCACTCAGACCAGGTAGACAGCTGAGACTTGCTTGTGCGACACTAAGCAGCACGCAGGCTCCAAGGCAGGGCAGCGGCAGTGGGCTCTGAAACTGCAGGGTCCCGGCAGGGAGGGAGGCTGGCTGGGCTCTGCAGGGCTGAACGTGCCTGTAGCATCTCCCTCCACGGGTTTGTTTCCCCTGGGTTCTCCTGGCGACCAGGCATGGGAGGGAAGGAAGAGGTTTGATCCAGTGGCCTGCAGACAAACTAAGCTGCTACTTCTCCAAGCCAAACCCACACGGAGGAATTGCTATGTGTGAACCACTTCTTTCCCACTTCTCAGCAAGGTGTGTTTGCAACCTCATCCGGCACAGAGGCAGACTGGGGCAAATACCAAGTTCATGAGGATGATTCTTCTCACATAAGCCCTGGGAGACCTGCTGTGGGGCTTACACTCCCAGGGAGAGAGGCCCCTCCTCCAGTTTCTCTGACATGGACACCTCCACACACTCCCCACACCCCTCCCTAATACACACACACACACACACACACATACACACACAGAAATGCCAAGTAAATCCAGACCCAGCTGCACCCTGCACACACCCCAAACCCTTTTGTTTCTGCACGTACATTGACGTCAGTGACGAGCACCATTGTTTTGGAAACGGGCAAGCAGACGTTCATGCACACTGCGCAGAGATCTTCTCCTGCTCAACTTTTCTTGGGTCTTGCTCCATATTCAGCCTGCAACCTCATGTCATATTTCCTCCTTAAATTTAACTTTTTCTATTTCCACCCATAAATCTGATAGAATGATATTGAAACCCAATATTTAAAAAATGATTGAACGCTTTAGACCCCTACAACTCTTTGGAATCTAATCTGTTTTCAGTGTCTCATAGCTGGTTTCTTCATTCTTGTTACTAGAAACCTTCATTCCCTCCCCAAATACTTGTTAATAATAACCTGAATATTGGGGGATTTGCAAAAATACACCTAACCGGATCCATTGCTTTTGAGGAGTTGACAGTGTAGAAGGGGTGATAAGTCAGGTTTGGAGCCTATTGGAGCTAAAATGGGGTATAAATCCTGAGAGAACAAGACAGACCTGGGCAGAAGCCTCCACTCCAGGCCCATGTATGCCATTCTCACTAAACCAGGATGGTGAGTCTGTGTGTGTGTGTTGGGGGAGGAGGGGAGAGAATTCCTGTTGCAGGAGGAAGGAGGAATGAAACCTTTCCTGGTTAGTCTGTACTGATCTGGAAGTGTGTTGGAATTTGCTGTCACTCAAACACAGAACTCTTGGCCAGGCACATTGTTGTTGACACTGGGGAAGGCAGGCTGGCAAGAAGGAAACCTGGGGGTGGGGGTGGTGAACCAGGGTCCCGAAGGGTCTGGGAAATCCTGCTGGTGAAAGGAACTGGCCTCTGGTCTCAGCCTTCACCCTGCCTCCCAGCCAAAGGCTGCTCTGGCCCTGCCCCAGTCCATTCCCACCAGTCCATTTCCTTCAACAGGCCTGGGCCCTGCCTGGAGGAACCCTCTGTGCTGGACCTCCATGCCCTTGTCAGGTGGCTCTCTGGCTCTCTCATTCACTCATGCACTCAGCCATTCACTGTTTGCTGTGCATCTACTATGTGCCAGGCCCTGTGCTGGCCAATGCACCTGCCCTGGGCTGGGCATGGAGGCAGCTCTTGTCAGGGACACCCTCAGCCAGTCCCCAGAAGTGGGCCCAAGGGCACAGGCAGCTGTGTCCAGGTCTGAAGACACAGGGGAGACAAGGCCCACCTGTCCCTCATGGTTGGGAAGGCCCTGAACCAGCCAGTGTCCAGAGGACCGGAGGTTAAAGAAGGTATCTTTATCATGCTGGCCACCTACTGAGAAGGGCCTTTTGTTTTTTAAGCTAAATATAGATTTGGGGAAGGCTGCCCTTTGTTTTGGGGGAGACATGTTCATGTTGTGTGTGCATGCGCACATGTGTGTGCATGTGCTCATAGGTCTTCCCCGGGAAGTCATAGATTAAGCCACCCTTATCGAGCACACAGTCTCCATCTTTCCTCACCTTGCCCTGGAGAGGAGGCTCTGAGCATGTCTTTGCCCAGCACTACTGGGCCTGGCATGTTGGCCTCCAGGTCCCCAGAGCCCCTTTGCAAAAGACTTCCTGGACATCACAGTACCGCAGCACAGGAAGGACCTCCAGTATAAGGACAGAGTGGGCAAGCTTGCCCTGTTCTCAGCCTGGAGGAGAAAGTGCTCAATTTTTTTCCATGAAGAATGAGTCTTAGGTGTTCAGATTTTTGTAGATGTCCTTTGTCATATACAGAAGGTTTCCATTTTTTATAGTTTGCTAAGAGGGCTTTTTTTTATTATTATTATCTGTAAGTGCAATCGGCTTTCAATCATAGCAATTATGCAATTATTATTATTTTAAAGTATCTCCCCAGATAAATCTATTTTTTCAGGTCTGGAAATAATTCAAATCACCATAGCTTTGTCTCCACTGTACAATAGTCTATATTGACTTGTTTACTTCATTATTGTAATTTAAAACAAAAAATATAAATGAATAAAAAAATTAGTGCCTAAGATTCTGCCTTTTTCACATTATAAGAAGTTTCCTATTTATTCCTATAGGAGTCCAATGATTAAATGTGCATTCAAATGACTCTCTCTTACTATCAGTTTTCTACATAAACAGCATGCATGGTTTTAACTTAAGCCAAAAATCGGTTTGCTATAGTGGCCCTTGGGAAAGGATTAGAACTTCAAGCTTCTTGGTCCTGAGGTCATTAACAGAGAAGCTGAGGGCTAACTGAGATGAAAGCTGTGCCCTTGGTGGCTGATGGGGTGGCAGTGGACAGGTCAGGGTAACCGTTCAGATCTTTGCCTTGGGACCTTAAGGGCTCATGTGTGTGTTAGGTTTTCTGGACTTGCACCTTGAGCCCCTTCTCAGAGGTTCTGGGCCCCCATTCCGCCTCTCCCTCCTGGCAGGACCCAAGGCAAGGCAGCTTGCCAGCAAGGCCCCCATGTCTGAGGTGCCTCTTTCTCTCCCATTGGTTGGCATGCCCTCCAGCTGGGCCTCAGGGCTGTGCATCTGGACAGGGTGGCCCCTGCAGCACACTTGCCTGGTGTGTGTCCCCCGAGGTTGGCATCTCAGCATGTCTCTCTGAGAGGTAGCCCAGCTGGCATTCCCCAACTGTGGATGTCGTGGGCAGTGTTAGGAAGTAGCCCTGCATGCCTTGGGGGCCAACAAGGTCATTCCCATCAGGGTGTCTGACCCTTCAGGAGGCCGCAGTCTGGGGTCCCCATCCATGCATGGTTGTGGGCCTCAGGGCACCCCTCGGCCTTGGGGGGAACTATGATCCAGCGTGTGCTCGCTGAGTGTAGGCACCGCTCATTGCTTTACGTGTGCTCTCTATTCGATCCTTACAGCCTGACGGGGCTCATGTGCAGACCGCCACCGTCCCTCTGCAAGAGACACCCTTGGCTTCACCATGCACCGAGGAATCACGCGGTGCAGTGCCTCATGTCATCCAGGAGAGACAGCCTTTGTCTGCAGAATGATCCCATGGCCACCCTCACCACCCCACCGCTGCAGAACCTGGGAACCAGGTGACCAGAGTTCAAATGCCAATGTCCCTCTTGTCTCCAGAACATTCTCCCTGCCCACTCCCTCTGGGTGTGGCTGGCCAGGGGCTCCCTGCACCCTCCTAACTCCCCTCAAATACATAAAGGGTCACAGATGGGGATAGCTGGGCACAGGTCCCTCTCGTGGACCACGACCTGCTCTTCGTCCATGCAGCAGGGCCAGCCCACCATGCCCCTCCTGGTGACAGAGCCCTGGGCCTCACGCCTGAGCCTCTGCCTGTAAGGTTTCAGTAAACCCCCTTTGTGCCTCACTGTGCCTTCCCACCATGTTTGTTCCTGTTCACTGGCTTCTCCTTGGTGCCAATGTGGAAGAAACACCACTTGTCCCTAGAAGCAACAAAGGGGGTTGACTGGGCCACTCTCAGGGTGGGTGCCATCCCCTCTGGGAGTGGTAGTGGGTCACCCGCCTGAGTTGTGAGGGCGGGAGCCCAGGTAACTGTGGACTGGGGCACAGGGCGGTCCTGCAAGAGAGGACGGGAGAGAAGGCTGCCGCGTCCACCCTCCTCCTCCTTGACAGGCTGGGGCCTGTCAGGGAGAGGAGGGGCACACGGGAGAGCCCCCCCGCAGCGCTGCAGGAGCTCTGCTGGCCCAGGGAGGGGACCAGGTGTGGTGGGAGCAGCAGGTGCTGAAAGGC